ATCTTTGAAGACGATGCCATATTTGACAAAATTGTCCCCTTCCGCTGCCAATCTAACGACTCTCTTGGACCAAAAACCGACAACGCACCTAAAGTAGGACAGGAAATTGGCTTATTTGGGGACAATATCTTCGAAGGAATCAGAAGCGAGCATCAGAATAAGAAAGAGGTCGCACTCGGAACACCGATTGTATCAAAGTCATCGAAACCTAGATCCAACATTGATAAATATGGCGAAGTCAATATTGACAATATGGTTCCCTTCATACATCCATTTAATGATTCTTCTGGACCAAATACCGACAACGCTGCTAAAGCAGCACAGGGAATTGATATAAAAGTCACTGTTGACAAAATTGTCCCCTTCCACTGCCCGTCTGACGACTCTCTTGGATCAAATGCCGACAACCCACCTAAAGCAGCACAGGAAATTGGCTTATTTGGGGACACTCTCTTTGAAGGAATCAGAAGCGAGCATCAGAATAAAAAAGAGGTCGCACTCGGAACACCGATTGTATCAAAGTCGTCTGGTTCACCTAAACCTAGATCCAACATGAATAAATATGGCGAAGTCAATATTGACAATATCGTTCCCTTCATACATCCATTTATTGATTCTCCTGGACCTAATACCGACAACGCCGCTAAAGCAGCACAGGGAATTGATATGAAAGTCACTGTTGACAAAATTGTGCCCTTCCATTGCCCGTCTGACGACTCTCTTGGACCAAATACCAACAACCCACCTAAAGCAGGACAGGAAGTTGGATTATTTGGGGACACTCTCTTTGAAGGAATCAGAAGCAAGCATCAGAATAAGAAAGAGGTCGTGCTCGGAACACCGATTGCAACAACGTCGCCTGATTTAGCTGAACTTAGATCCAACATGGATAAAAATGACGAAGTCAATATTGGCAAGGATGTTCCCTTCAAATACCGGTATCCATTTAATGATTCTCCTGGACCAAATGCCGACAACGCACCTAAGGCAGAACAGGAAATTGACTCAAGTGGGAACACTGTCTTTGAAAACGAAGTCACATTTGACAAAATTGTTCCCTTCCGCTGCCCATCTGACGACTCTCTTGGACCAAATACCAACAACACACCTAAAGCAGGGCAGAAAATTGACTCAAGAGGGAACACTGTCATTGAAGAAATCAAAAACGAGCATCACGGAACACCAATTGCATCAATTGCATCAAAGTCGCCTGCTCCAGTTGAGGCTGAGGCAGAGGAATCCAACAGCGACAAAACTGATATCAGCATCAAAGAGGTCCTTGTTGCCTTCCACTGTCCATCTAAAGACTCTCCTGTGTCAGATATCAACAAGGCACCAAAACTAAGACCCGATATTAGCAGCAGTGACACCTTTGTTGTAGAGGTAATCGGGGAAGTGGACACACACGTACATCAGGCCAATGAAACAAGAGTCGTGTCCATAATAGTACCTACTGTGCAACAGTCGCCTGATTCACTTGAAGCTGAACAAGGATCCGACAGCGACAAAAGTGAATTAAGTATCCCCGAGGATCTTGATTCCTTCAGCTGTTCATCTGATTCTCGTGGGTCGGATACCAATAAAGCACCAGCAGCAATACCCGACATAAGCCCAAGTGATACCTCTATTCCAGAGGAAATCGGGGAAATACAGGTGGACCAGAACAAAGCACCTAATATAAGACCCGATATTAGCACAAGTGCCACCTCTATCCCAGAGGATATCGGGGAAGTACATGAACATCGGTACGTGGATACGGGCGGTGGATCCAGGGTAAAACCCGCCGTATCCATGTTTCCAGATTCAGTTGCAGCCAAGGGTGGAAATTCTAGCGACAGAAGTGATTCAACCATCCCTGAAGACCTTGCTGCGTTCAGCTGCTTGTCTGAGATTTCTGTTTTATCCAGCAGCAAAAAGACCTCAGTAACAAGACCTGACATTAGCACTAGTGAAACCTCTATCTCAGAGGAAATTTGTGGATCCTGCGAAAACGTCCAACATGATACAAAGAATGGAGTCGAGTCGCCTTTAACACCAGATGACTCGCATTTGCTTAATACTGTGAAAGTGGTGCCAGGGTCAGACAGCGACCTAAGTATTATTGAAGACATCGCTCCATACAGTTGTTTTTCTGAGACGTTCCTCTCGACTGACATCAGACCAGTTACTGAAACATCGATTTTAGAGGAAATACATTCCAGCGTCTCATCGGAATCTAACCAAATTGAAACTGTTCACCAAGAAGAGAACAGCTTCCAAAATGGCCATGATAGAGCTATCAGCGTCATATCCCAACCTGGGGAAGAAATCACCGTCGGAAACACAGCTTCCAGGGAAAACAGCACCTCAAATTCTGTCTGTGGAACAGACTCTGATTCAAGTGTATCTGAAATAGCTTTATCGCCACCTTGTTCACAATCAATACTAAACCGTGGATTCGCCCAATCTGAACATTTCAGGTAAGGTCTTATTTCTTTTACATAACTATGAAATAGTGTTTGTAGATGGAGATTGGCGTGGAAGTAACCATTTGATATTCTAATTCAACTTTTTTATAATATATTTGGCTTCATCTTGGTTTTATCTTTTAAAATTGGTGGTGAAATGATATGATATTTAGTATTTTTAAGTTCATTGTGCAATACTAAAAGAGAAAATCAGTTGGGTTAAAAATGTTCGTTTTATATATCCAGATCGGGAGTCACCGCCCAGACTCCACCCACATTGGGCAACGTTCAGTATAGTCAAGATTCAGGACTTGGGAGCAACCCTGCCTCGGCCCACGGCACTGACAAAGCCTCGGGTGGCTTCGTTTTACCTCGTGCGTACAAGACTACACAGCGTCTTCAGCAACGCCTTACAGCCAGCAACAACCACGTGACCGTCAAACCTCGAGCTGTCACACTAGCCCCCACTGTTATAGAAAATAGGACATCTAGACGGACAAATGAGGAAAAGGACAATGAAACAAGGAAGGTGGCCAAAGGTTCTCGGCCTACCGCCGCACATCATCGTCGCCGCCGTAAGAAACCAGCAACACCTGTACAAAACACAACTAAGCGTGCTCGAGAAGCCTGGGGAGAAGAGGGCTATTTATCTGATTTCGAGGACTGAAATTTCAATTTTATTACGCTTTTGGGTGGGTTGGGGTGGGGGATGGAGGGAGGGGTTAAAGGTTAGGGTGGGTTGTATATAATATTTTCATTGATTTTTTTTTTTACTGAATTTAAAACATCACATTAAGGTGCAATTGAAATAATGGTCAATTGATAAAAATATGATTATGAGGGAAATATATAATATGATAAAAAAAGTCATCATAAAAAACATCGTAGTAAAACAAAGATAATATCTTATGAATAGATTATGCATTACTGCACAATTTGGATATACAAGTTTCACTGATATACTGTGTTTTAACCCATTAGATCTTAGCATGATTGTCTGTCTCTCGTTATCGTCAAAAAATGACCTTAATGCAATATAAGCAGTTATTGTAGTGAGTGACGAACATTTTGCACTTAATATGGAAGATCAGTGATCAGTGTTAAAACTAAATTTAAAAAAATCAACCTGAAAGAAGAGCTTCATTTTGGTTATATTTGCACAGTAATGATGCATGTTAAAAAAAGAAAAAGTAGGATAGTATAACATCTTATTTATACTATTCCGACTTTGACATATGCTTTGAATAACTTATAAACACATTATGATTGTACAACAATATTTATTTTTCATAACACACTTCTGAAGTGTTGCATTTATTTCGTACAATGGTTTAAGGTACCAACAATTTCATCAAATATTGTTTTTACTCTCTATATATAATAAAATAGCACCACCAATAACATCGCAATGAATTATATTCAACAGTAAAGTACTACAGCACAGAGCAATATTTTACATGAGCTGATGGAAACTTTTTTTAAATTCACAACTTACGCTTCATCAGATAATGAATAACATTTGTATGAAATTAATTTCAGAAAATCTCGATTGTTTCATGACGAAAATGAACTGTTTAAGTCTCATCTGTTGCCAATATACAGACAATACAGCATGTCTTTAAAATTAAATGGCTGAAGTTTTTTTAATGAGAAAATACGGTAAGCAAGATAAGTCATGTATAATCGCTTTTACCAAAGCACATTCATGGAAAAGTTACAGAAAAAAAGCAACTTTGCATGTGTTACCATTTACCTATACCTATTATGTATAAATAAAAAAAATTATAAAATCAGAATGGCATTTCTCGTCATGTTTTAAAGAATTTTGAATGGTCACTGGCACAGTGACAAACTGACAAGCACTACTAAAAGTAGGAGCATAAATGAGGTAGGCTACAGTATTTCAAATAAGATGGACTTCTAAATAATTAATGCCTTGAGATCATCCAGTTCCAATTTCTTTTATTTAATTTAATTGATGGCTTGGTGCATACTTAACAGTGCAATTTGGCAAACTTGAACAATGCAAATAGCTTAGTTGGCCAAAATTAAGGGTATACCTACTACACTGGCACACCAGAATATCTATTTTAATTCTGATAACCATGGAAAATGCAATCATTCTTCTTTCTGTCTTTACAAAGATAATCTGATTCCAAGAAATTCTAACTGGAGACATGATAATAACTGCATAAGCATACAACCTCCTTTTCATAATGACACAGTAACATGTAGACCGTTTTCAGGTCAGTTTTAACAACAAAAAATTTCACAGTTTTAACTTCATAAAGAAGCTTGCCTCCACCCCACCTCTCTCCCCACGTACAGGTGCATTCATCCCCTATGTGAACCACATTTGGGTAAACCCACACCCCTATGTGAACCACATTTGGGTAAACCCACATCCCTATGTGAACCACATTTGGGTAAACCCACACCCCTATGTGAACCACATTTGGGTAAACCCACACCCCTATGTAAACCACATTTGGGTAAACCCACACCCCTATGTAAACCATGTTTGGGTAAACCCACACCCCTATGTAAACCACATTTGGGTAAACCCACACCCCTATGTAAACCATGTTTGGGTAAACCTTTCCCTTACATAAGAGTAAACCTGTCTTGGTGTTAAATCCAATATTTATATAAAAACTGGCCCAGCACACAGCGCTGCTCTTCCTCCATCTTAAATTTCCAGATCACAACTAAGTCCATTCCACCTATCAGGGGCCTCCAAGAAATACCGGTCCATTGCCTCCAAGAAACGAGTTCTGTACAGCTCTGGAGACACAACTGTTGGCATTTTCCCTGAAAAAATGATAGCATAAACATAATCAATATGTGTGAGAAATATAATGGAACTTGCTTTGGCATTCTATTTTGTAGTATGTAATTTATACCACCTGATATCTGGATACTGTAAAATTGTCAGGCTCTTGGAAATGTAGCAATTAAAAAATATCATGGTATGCTAATATCATGACACATCATAAAAAAGAGATTATTTTAATTTTAATTCAAATTGTATCTCTCTATCACAAAAGCTTAGTTCAATACAACTATAAGACCTTTCAAGAACAAGTAACGTCAACCCTGCTTAACTGCACCAACTCTACGGGGACTCTTGCTGAGTGCAATCAAATTAACAGACTAACAAGCCTCCTCCTGGTGTTGAGATCAACACAGTAAAGATGGTGATCATACGAGTACATTTAAAAACAAGAGGCATGCTTATCTGATTGGTCCATATGTAAGGCCTCATTCAATACAGCTGCCTAACAGATTGAGGGGTCACTTGAATGCTTGTTGCATAATCCCCACAAGAAATCTATTCAGTGTCTACTGCTGAATAAAGTGACAAGCTTTTTAGTGAGTCTCCATATTTGATCTGTGGATCTATAAGTCCACTGTTCTGAATGTGCTCTAAGAGAAATCATGTGTTCTGACGGTCACCTTGTCCTCCCAGGATCCCTGAAGACTTCACCATGGTCTCCAGCTTCTTGTCCCAGGTAAATGTTCTGATGTAGTCTGGAGGACAGTTTATTAAAACTATGTACAATATATCAGTAGAACAATGCATTCTTTAAAAATATACATCAATATATACAATGTAACTAATAGCTTCTTGCTGAACACCACATCAAACTTATTCTGCATACATCTTCATAGTTTCCAGGTAAAGAACTGAATAATGCAATGCTGTTTGGTTATAAACAATTTTTCATCAACACTGATTCTAACTGATTTGAGTTGAAAAAGAATATCAAGATAGGCAACAAAAAAAACTTATGAATATCATTTTCGTAACCTATACTTAATTACCAATGATTCCTACAAGAACCTCTCCTTTCTGTTCATCTACACCCATCAGTAAGGAGTAGTCCATGACAAGATGGCTGGACAGAAACTGGGTGTCGTTGGTAATGGCGGACATCAACACCTTCCTGGCGTGAGGACGCAGGTATAACGGATTGTCTAGGCTCACTTTTGACAAAAAAAAATGAAGTTTTAGTTGAAATATTAACATATAAGTATACTGTAAATATTTAATATAAAAAAAAATTATATTTCAAAGGGATGGTAGAGTTATTTGGTAAGCATTATGAAAAAAAACAGGGGTTGTTATGGTAGCAATAAGATTGTCCTAATATAAACAGTGTTTCTTTTTATTTTCTTATGTTTATTACAACTCCCAGCAATTTAGACTATGCCCATATGGGACTCTATACTTCAATCTTAGAAACTTACTTTTCAACAAATTTTCATCTAAAAGCACTAAATCCTCACTCTTCTGATTGGCTGTCTTGACTAATCGGTTACGCTCTGAACCTTTTAAATCATATACCTAGAAGTAAAATAACCAGAACTCCTTTTTTTCAATATTGGTTTTAAAATTATAATAAAAACAACAATTCAACTGTATATTAAGTAATAATTTGAACCAATTCTTTTTGGTCTTCATAAATTAATAATTTAAAATGCACAAACCCTAGGATGTTTTCAGCATAAATTTCAAAAACTCAATAAAAAGAAACTATCCAAATCAATACAAACCTGAGTAATTTTCTTGCTTTGAGGATAAAATAAATTTTCCATCACCAGAAGATCTTGCTTGGTAGCCATGTTGGTTTGGTTGTTACGGAAACCAATCCTATATGCTCCTACTATTTTGGCAAGAGCAGTAGGACTCTGTATAAAAAATAGACAAAAATAAATTGATCTGAACTGCATAAGGAACATGGATTTTGTTTTTAAATGTTGAATTTAAACCTGTGAAAAATGTATTATAAAATTCATCAACTGTGAGAACAGATTGGTGACATATGGTGATCTTTTTCATTCAGGACAATGAAAGTTTCAATAAGATATGAAAAACATGTCTGGACACTGTTTTGGATGAATGATTTAGGTGAATATGACATGGGGCATTTTAGGCTAAAGTATCAGAAATAGAATCAAAATGTATTAATTGAGTGTTCAGAGCTGGCAATTTAGCCTCCATACCTTTAAACAATGATGGAAATCAAAACTTAAATGAAAGAAACACATTTTAATGCAACAGGCAAAGAACAAATGAACATCACTCTCTTTCATGTTGACAAGAATTGTCCCTTAAGACTGGAAATATTGGAAAGCTCTCTTAATCATTTCATCAACAGATAATATGATAGGAGTTGTAAGAGATCTCTGACAGAATCCACTGACCTTATCTGTATGAGATTTCAATGTGTACTCAATATAGTGGGGAGCAAACTCTAGAAAAGACTGCACCTCTGGCTTGGACATCTGCTTCAAAATGTAGCGGTCATCTGAATAAAAATATAGCAGTCATCTAAATAAAACATATATCGGTCATCTGAATAAAAATATTACAGAGGTCATCTGAATAAAGATATGGTGGTCATTTGAATAAAAATACATTGGTCATTTGAATAAAACTGTAGCAGTTATCCGAATAAAAATATTTCAAATCGCACAAATTATAAAAACTTAAATCAATGTTGCTCCTTGTGGCCATGGTGCACTATATCACAACACTGATTCAATTGCAGTTTTCTGGCATTACAAGCGTTTTTAATAGAAGTAAAGACATCATATATAATGACTGCAGGAAAAATCTTTCTCAGCTCTTTTTATGTTGACATTTATGGAACTCTCTCTCTCATGAATATCACTACAGAATGAACATTTTGATACAATGTAGCTTTATACTCAGACCTGATAAATTGACATTTCTTGTTAGAACTGAGACATAAGAACCAGCTCACCTTGAGTTTTACAAAAAGCAGATCCAGATTTCCCTCCCTTGGCAAGCCAGTTAATACACCTGGATAAAGACCTGATGTACCTGAATAAATATAAACAAAGAGCTGACAGTGGAATTCTATGTAAAATATCACTGAGAGTCAATGCTTCCGGTTGAATTTCATTAGCAGAACTGCCAGGTAGATGGATTCTGTGTCATGCATCATAAATTTGCCATTTTTAAGATTTGTTTTGAAATCTAAGTACATTTCCCACTATTGTCCAGCAGATCTTATAATATTTTTATATCATAGTTTTCAGACAAAACAAAGATCCAGTTTTCCATCATGTTTTCCAATGTTTTACAACACCTTAAGAGAACACACACACTTTTACAATAACTGTATTTCTCCTAGGTATCGAACCCTACAAATGTGCCTTTCACATTGTATATAGAAATGTCTTTTAATTTGATATTTCACCACTGGTTAGCTACCCCATTACATCACTGGATACGTCAAGAGAAGCCACGAGAACCAAGAATGAGAACCTACCCTGCTTCCCCCTCTGGACACAAGATTTTTCTCATCTGCTTGAAGCTCTCAGCATGGTAAACTTGACAGTAGAACTTTGATGATCCCTCAGCATATTCTGTTTTGGATTAGAATAAGACTTTTAGAATACAGAGGGGAAAATGTCAGAAAAAAAGTGATAGCATTGATAGAAGTAAAATAATGAAAACCTAAAACATAGATAATGTGAGACTGACTTTACTGTGCATTAAAATGTTGCCTAAATTCAAATATAAGAGAGTGACATATAAACACTTCTGATTATTACCCATTTATTCCCCGAGATAAACTAAAGAATCTAGACAAAAGACATGCATAAAACTTGACATGAATCAATACACTTACGGAGCTCTATGTGGTATTTAGGAGTCTTGGCTTCTTTTCCATCTATTTCCTCAACTAAAATAAAATTAAAAAATATTATACATCTTTTACTATTTACTGAACAGTGTGATAATGAAAACTGATAGTGAAGGCATAAAAACATATAGTAAAGGGATAAAAAGACAATGAATGTTCCCATAGCTGAGCATTCTAACATTCGTTTAAAACACAATTTAAACCATGGCAGATGAGTGCTGATAATTATGTTTTAAGAATCTCTACTAGGACAAGAAAACACAAAAGAAAAGATCAGCTTCACTTACAGTAGGTGCTTGCTTCATAACTAGATTCACTTTCACCAGGGGTAAACTTGACCGAGGCCTCCAAGTCCTTCTTTCTACTGGGGCTGGAGTCCCGGCTACTCTGCCCTTTTGCGCTCCGTAGAAACTTTAAGACACCCCCAGCTGCCTTCCAATGTTGGACTGACAGGAGTGAAAATGTTTAATGAAAACATATTTACTAGAGACATGCATTCTTATTAATATAAGGGACTGAAATAGCATGGCTAGTGTAAATTTCATAATATTAAACTATTACATTATATCATAATAATAAAACCAACCAATTGTAACTAAAACATGGCATATTTGTATAGCAATTCCACTGTCTTTAAAAAATATTTACAAAAGTGAATCTGTTAATTTAACAAAATGCAATATATTAATTTTACAAACTTATCTTCTCCTTACCTGCGTCCAGCCTCCCCGTGCTCTCCACTCTAGATAGTCCCCCCTTCTTGATCTGGCTACAAAATATGATTACAAAATTTAATTAGCAGGTGACATGTGTAGATCTCATCAAAGATTTAGCCTCATTTACAATAAATTAAATACAACTTATTTATAAATTAAGAGAGAAAATTAAATACACTTCCATGGATAAATACTGCCAGTTTTTATTCATTGTCATGAGACTTGGGGCTTTCTCAGGTGATCCCCATTGTGTTTGTATTCACAGAATAATACATTAAGCACCTACTTTATATCATACGCTTCTTTGGAAAGAGCAAGTTGCTTCAGTTCATTCAACTTCACTTTGTACTCAATAGAGCTGAAATAAGAAAGCAGGGTTTAATGATGGCAAACCATTCTCTTTAAACCAAATATCAAATGAAAGCAACCAAAAAATTCAGTAATTTTCTTTACACCAACAGATTCCCTTTTTCTATTCTTTTTTATCTTTTGCTTAAAATGTCATCACCTTTTGACATTATAAGCATTGGATCCTTTTTTCACAATTTTCACAACAGCTGAATTTCCCTCACCATGTTCATTTGACCTGTACATTACCTTAATGCATAAGCAATAATAGAGCTTGGTTCCCTGTCTAACACAATCACTGGAATGTCATCTGACAGAGGCAGGAGGTAGTGCTCATCTGGTGGGCTGGAACAGGGAATTATCATATATAAATAGAGAGATCTGTGATGTGGTGAAAAGACTACACTGTCTTTGTATTTTTTTAGGGGGTGAAAAGGTCTACCTTTTTTTTCAGAAAAAGAATCCCCTCTGAAATTGGCGCTTCCTATATATAGATGTAAGCATCATTGTTGACCACAGTAAAAAAACGTTGAAATTGTTTCAAGAGCTGATGCCCTTATACTAGTAGTAGTTAATGAAGACCCTGTAGTGTTAGTTTTATTCTTATATTTGCTTGTTACAAATTTAAGTTTCCATTTGTATCGTACGTTATCACCATTTTTGTGATGCATTTGCCTACAATGAAATCCTGTCAATATATAGTGTATATGTACGTATAGTGATGCTTATTTATAAATCTTTTTTTTTTTTTAAGTATATTTTGAAATTAACTTCCTAAAAGATGTGATCCTGAAAGAAAAAACCATGTCAAGGGCATAAACAATATGACTTCAAAATCAAAAGAAAGAGTACATAATAGACCAGGGTGTAAAGTCTCTTTTGTAGCCCTGTTATCTTACAAATTTTACAGTAGTCACAAAATGCACCGATCTTTTTTCCTTGAAAAAAAATGTAACAAACTTGTGTTCTGAAATTCCTCACAAGGTTTACTTACAATGGATTGTGTATGGGAACTGGACCAATACTAGACAGAAAACTGGTGATAATGTTCTTCATGGCTCCTCCCTGTTTGCTACCTCTCTCTGCGCCCTCTGCTGGAAGACAAGAGAAAAATTGCTTCCATATGTGATGTACAGATAAGATTGAATGACAATTATAAATCCGAACCAAAAGAAAAATGCAAGCATGCACATACATCCACACAAACACACGCACCCACACTGGCACCATGAAAATTCAACTGATGGCAGTATGGCAATACTTTAGATAAGATCTGTTATCAACCATAGCAGAACAGACATAAAGATCCACAGCAAACAAATATTAACAAATTTCACAAAGTTACATATAAATGGAAAATAACATAAACAACAATAGTCCATTTCAAAGACCAACAAAGCTAGTTCAATCCACGTTCGCTGTACAAGTACCTTACATTTGAGTATGCAAATAAACAACATAAAAGATGACAGCATACTAAGTTATTAAATTTACTACAGACATAAACAACATTTGCTCAGAGTTGCCTTAAATAACTCTATTCCAAGAAGGTACCTCCTTCGTCAAGTTATTAAAAATGAAAAATACAAATGAAAAGAAAGGGGACTGCAATAAAAAAGAGATTATTCAAATCATAAATGAGGATCTGGTTATCATTATTTCTGACCTCTCGTATTCTTGCTCTCATCAGCAGACTTTGTCTTTCTGTGTCCCTTGTGTTCAGAGACAGCGGAGATGGTGGCTTCAGGGGCACGCTCCTCACCAGATGGTTTGCCGATTATTACTTCTCGAGGAGCTGAAAGAAATAAGAAAGAAGAAATGCCCAAAATTTGCTTTAAAAATGTCTACCTATCTAAATTCTTGTATGATATATTAAGGACACTTTTACTGCAAAGTATATAAAATATCTAGAAATGAATGTACAGGCATCATTTACATTAGTGCATAACACTTGTATACAAAATATCAATAGGACAGATACATCTTCTCAACTAATTTAAAACAAATGGCAAAGACAAAATTGCTTTTTATAATACACTATTCTATGGGGTTTTTTTTCCTGCAAAAAGTAATATTTCCAATCTCAAAAGAAAAATTTAAGACAAACAGAATTCAACTCTAGTTATGGTTAGTGTTAAAATAAATGTGCATAAATACATTTATGTTGAGATACAAGTATACTGTTAAGATGAGTATACTGTTAAGATATTACGAAATATTCAAACAGGCCTACTGCATCAACGTGATGCTTCTGTTTTTTTTAAATAAATTACAAAATATACAAGACTATTCATTTGCCCATAGATCTCAGCAAAATTTAACTTCCAAATAACAGTTTCCAGTGAAGGAATTCATTGTTAGGGGTAAAAGATGTCACCTTTAAAATGTTACAACATCTAAAAACTGTTTTCAGATTTCAGTATGCAAAAAATCATATATAATACAATAAATATATTTTAATATTCACATAACATTGGAAAATAAAAGCAATATTGGATCAAACATCATATGCACCAAATGACAAGATATCCATGCAAAAAGAGTAAAATTCTTAACACAATGTAGAATATGAGGATTTTAAATTTTTTTATTTTAATTTTTAAATATAATGCAATTGCCAAATACCCTAAGACAGTGGGGGCAGTGGGTGTACCTGTGTCTGCAAGCTAAACTTCAAACAATTTGCAAATAATCATTTTTATATACAGATACTTTAAGTGTCTGCATATATTTTGATTGGTCTGTCTTTCTATGTTGTCGTTGTCACCGTTGCTGTCGCCATTGCTGTCTGACACATGACTTTCGCCCCATAACTGTCAAACCATAGTTTTGCTTTACTTTAAATCTACTGAGTGAATTTGTTTAGTAAAGAAGCAGGTTGCTTTTGAAAATAATGTCCAAACATTTGTCAGCTTTGCTGCCTTGTTTTTTTTTCTGATTCACAACGGTTGTAGATTGACCTATGAAAATATTTTGAAGATCAAATTATATCAGAATTTATACAGAATAAATGGTCATGGAAAGTGAATTATATATGTGACTTACACAATGCAAGCATTTAACAGACTCTTTATCTGCTCACCACCCATCAAAACCATCTACTCCACACAGCACCTACCATTAATACTACTAAAGTGACAGACGACAAACCCACTGTCTATGGGGTTCACAGGTGGCTGAGCAGGGTCACTGCCCCCATCCAGAGCCTGGCTGAGAAGCACAGCATTTATCCCAGGGCTGTCACTAAAGACATAACTATCTGCAGAGGTGGTTAGTTCCAAACCTGAAGTTACTGAAAGTTACAGGTGGTTTGTGTAAGGCTCTATATCCATAGATTTTAGATCGATCTATCCCCGCGGGGAGTCTCACTAGATTAGTTTCAGATAATCCGACTTAAATGTCCGTCCAGCCTACTACAAGCTGTAAGAGGGTAATTAACTTTCGTGTCTGCCCGGCTGACAGCTATTTAGCGTGAACCCCCAAGGAGTTAGGTCGATCTAAAGTAGGTCGATCTAATCTATGGAAATGGGGTGTAAGTGTAATATAATATGATACCAAGGCCCGTGTAACAATAGAATGAACTGAAGTTGACAGTTGAGGCTGGTTTAGTTTACTTCAATCCAGGATTATATGTTGCAGTCCAATCTTACTATCAGTCTGAAATTTCAGTCAATTACCACTTCTTATAAAAATAAATAAATAAATAAATATAATGGTCCTAATTCTCCCACTGAACTGGATCTCTTCTAATTTATCCTGGACCAAAGTAAACTAAAATATCAAGACAGAAAAACTGTGTAAATAAATGTACCCTGGTAAAATGAATTCATAAAATCATGCACTGAAAGGTTTAAAACGTATAAGTAATATCAATTATCCATAGTTTAGTATTTCAAGTAAAAAGATGATAGAAACAAGTGCAAAAACAGAGATTAGGTAATCTAAAATAAAGTTGGCAAAATAACTTTAAGCTTAGAGTGAAAGTAACAAGCAGACAACCTGCTCAGTGAAGAAAAAGGAGGGGGCTAGTAAACATGATGTTATAGCAGTCTTCAGTAACCTTTACACTATATTACAAGGAGTAATCTTCCATATTCCATGTAAAGAATATAATGTAGACGACATGTCTTCAGTTTGTAATTTTTTTTCAATTCCCAGATTGCCAGTAATTGGAAATATATACCAATATGACAAAGAATAAAATCTGGCTACCAGAAGAGTACATGTTCCTGTAATGGAGTCATATCTAAGGTTAAATTTGTCAGTGCAAGGATGTATATTCAATATACTTCCTTGGTCAATGACAGGATAAATTATTACAAATAATTAAAATCAGGTTAGATTTAAGGGTCGCTTTTGGAGGACTCTGGTTAAGCAGTGACAAAATACTCACCAATAATAACTATACCGTCATGAGACACATCATCGTGGGTTTCAAAACATATACAAATACAAACAAATACCAAAACAAACAAGCAAACAAATGAATAACAAAAACTGCACTTCACAAGAAAGCACACACACTTACTCTCAGGAGTCTTACTGATATCTTTCATAGCTTCTTCCATCTCTTTGGACACATTATTACAGCACCATGCAGCCAAGGGATCATAAGAGCCTGGTGAAGTGGAAGATATCATTCTGCTATATGCACATACAAAATCACTGGCTTTAAACATGGGGGAACAAACAAACATATACTCCATCCCAGGCATTTGAAAACAAGACACTAAGAATTCCCTCATCAGCAGGATACATATACATTATAACATGCAAGAGATATACTTCAGTGGTGAGAGAGAAAAGCTACTGTTTTTTGGTATAAAATAAGAAATAAGCATGCTAGGGAAGTAGAAAGAGTTTAGGTATGGATGAGGTGATACACATGATTATGTTCACAAATAGTATATTATCAATATATAAAAATTGGTTATTGTTTATCTTAAATAAGTCATGCCAAGTGTTAAAGTATTCATTAAAAGAAGAAAATTTTGTAACTAATAAATAGCTAAGAAGTACACTTTCAGTTCCTTAGTAAATCTCAAACTCTTAATATAAGATGACATCAATTAAATCACGAGTTAAAAGTTTCATTTGGAAATGCATATGTAATTTATGTAAAATTTTTTTTCTTTTTCTTTTACCTTCCTCTACTGTAGTTTTTTCCGCAGTTGGCAAAGATACCTTTTCAACCCCTGATGCCTGAATAATATATATATTACACACATTTAATTACTATTTAACAATTTAAATAAAAAAGTAAAGACTTTATACATCAGACAAGAATCAAAAATGTTTAAAATTTTGTCACATGAAAAAAATTAAATCAGTTTGACTCAAAATCCAATTTAAGGGTCGATTAGCCTTACTTAAATCAATTTGAATAGGTTATCCTAAACAAATAAACAAACAAAATTTTGCATCTTAGTCTTCAAAAGCACTCACATTACTGGGGGAGCTGTTCCCAGTCTTGGGGGTGCCAGAGTTGGACTCTTTCCCACTTTTCTGCATTGAATCCTTTTTGTTCTTCTCTTTTTCCATTTTCTTTTGTTGATGTTGAAATTCTAAGATCCTGCAAAAAAAAAATACAAATTATCATGTACATCTATCACAGTGGGGTGTATAATTAAAAAATTACAACTGCGAGAGCCAGCTGAGGGATTCCATAAAGTTGTATTTAAATTATGAAAAAAATTAAACCACAACAACATCTGATAATAAAAGGCCATTACTTTGTATTCCAATCTGAAACATTCTCTGCCACCAGTTGCTTCATCCTGACCATACCATCCGTCACTTCCAAGATGGCGGCATCAGATATCACGCTGTCTGCTGAAACCATGTCTTGGTTCACAGGAAAATGCTTGAAGAGCTTTTCCATTTTCTCTCGAAAGTCAGCTTTGTCTTTCTGAAAGAATTATATAAAGTGAAGTAATGTTATAAATCTGCAGGTTATAAAAAGATTAATATTATACTAATTTTCACCTCTTAAAAAATAATAAAACAAAAAAATCAAAATTCTTATTTTAACATCAACTTTACATGGTACACAGTGTTTGAATGAGAATCTATTTTTGATATTTAGGTGCATGATGGTATTGTTATCCTTTTACTTATTGAAAATAATTTTATAATGTACACTACCTGTTGTTGCCCCAGATGCTTTTCAACAACCTCTGCTTGCTTATCTGACTGAGTTTCCAAGCGGAGTTTATGCAGTAATTGCACTATAGAATCAAACACCTGAAGACCACTGAAATATATTTGAATTCAAAAATACAAAATCTTTTTTCCTTCTTGATAACAAGACACTAATCCTGTATACTAGTCCACTTACATCAATGGAAAAATTTATTACATCTTAGTTCATTCTACAAATTCGTTTATAAACAGGTTTTCTCTTTCTAATGAAAAATGTCACTTGTACCCAGTTGAACCTTACCACAAAAGCAATACTTATGAATAAACTTAAAATTTCAACAAAGCTTGAGTACAACGACCACTACATTTACTTACTCTTGATAAAGTTTCTTGAGTCCCTCCTTTGTCTTGTAGTGCCAGTTGACTGCAGGCATCCATTTTAATGTTTGTTCTTCCCAAAACCCACAGTCCTTCACGTAGCAGATCCTCAGAGGTGGCAGCGCAATGTCTTTGTTCTTGACAGTACTGTATCTGAGAATTTCCAGAAAAATAACAACATAAATATATCAAAGACTTCTGAACTCTTAGGAACATAGTTGATGACAAGACAGATACATATAAACATATCCATACAGGCCTCAAAATAGTTTACAGAACCCCCCCCCCCCAAATAAAAATGATAATAAAATAAAATCTTATAGCCTCTTCCAATGTATTATAAAGCTACGATCCACAAATATGTGAAAAAAATTTATATAATACAAAAATAAAACTGGCAAAAGACAAAATTGTTTGAATTAGCAAATTGGCAATAAAAAGTACTGCTTATAAGTCTCCTTTACAAAGATAAAAGCTAAATAACAGTGAAAAGTGTGCAACAACTGTGAACTAATCATCCTCTTTCAAACCAAATCATATGAGAAAAATGCAACAAAAATGTTGAATGTCAAACTCGATCTGACAGTCTTTCATAAAAGTATTAGTTAAGTTCAGATCAACTGTGAACTGTACATCAAAGAAAACATTTTCCTATGTATAGCTGATGTATAGCTATCTTACTTGAAAGATGCCACAGTCTGTTTGAAACCAAAGTACTGATAGTGATCACTGTGGAGAGAGTGTGTACACGACTTCTGGGCATCGCGTCGGGTGTACACGTTACCATGGAAACGCAGCTCTAGGTATTTAGCAAACGACAATGACCAAGTCTCTAAAGCTATAGGAACCACTGCGCTGGCCTGAAATCACATTGATAAAATTCATTTCAATTTAAATTTCATTTCATTCTATTCATCAGATTTTGAGTCCGATGGACAAAACAATATTTCACTTCCATGACACTGCGTATGGTAAAATATGACTGATCATTTCAAACTGATACAAATTTGAAAATACAAATTCCTTTAGCAACCAGCTTCACTTCAGTCTATACCACTTATCCACAGTGCAAAAAAAAAAAAAAAGAATCAAAATATTAAAAATCTACGAGTAGCCACTGTGCCACCTACCTGCTTGCACTTATTACAATAGCTCCATGTGAGAATGGTGTCAGTGAACCCTGGCAGTTTGTGTTCCAGCTTCCTCATGGTGATCTGGATACAGCCCTGGCCGTGGACAAAACGCCTGATGTGGTCCACCATTGGTGTGCCGCAATTCTCATGGGGGCACTTGTACGCCTCTCTGCAGAGATAAAATACTACTTTATTTAACTATAAAAAAAATCCCTGTTTATGTGACTATCATATGTAATAGCCAGGTAATTAAATCGTCAATCTCTCAAAGCAACATAACAACATCATGGACCACAAAGTCTGGACTTTACCAAAAAACTTAGTTACGAGGAGGCATGCCAGACAATTAAGCTGATTACACTGACTGCACCTTTGCGAAAATCCCCACTGGGACAGATTAATCATACTGAACAGATAACTTTTAATCTGATCACAGCCTAAGTCTCCCAGCAGGAAAGAAGCAAGATTCATTCGACAGATGTCTATAATAAAGCTGGAAACTCACCTAAAACAATATCTTTCAAGAAAGCCTCCTAATGTGATGTCATTCCTCCCATAAAAAGCCATTTTGACAACCCTAAATAAATAGCATAAATAAATGGTAGACATAATGATAGATATATGCATAATAACAAAAACAAATTTCTGTCAAATGCATGAAGATCTACGTTCTCTTCAATCTTCAAACTGATGCAACAATTGTTGAGAATATTGGAAAAGATATCACAATCACATATGTGAATAAATATAAAATATTCAGGTTATCTTTGTTGTTTCAAATAAAGTGTTTTACATTTAATTTCTATGTTTTCATCAAACCTACCAAGGAAATACACAATGATTCGGAGTATTGGATGATACATATGAGAAACTGCAGAAGGAAACAGCAATTCTCTGGTGAAGAGCTGGGTTCAAGCAGTCAGTCTGGAAAGGATAAATTACAATGCATGACTTTAATTCTAACCTAAATTTATGTAAGAAAAGTTGCTTTTTTTCAAAATAAATTTCAGTTTATGCCATTAGTTTTTAATCATATTTTGTGAAATTATAATTCACAGACCAAGTAATCACTGATATCAATAATAAAATGACAGAAAAAAACCCCAAAAAGTTACCTTCTTCTCCCAAATCAAATCACCGACCACTTCAGAATTTTTATGTTCTGTACTTTGTGCAATGTGGTCATTCCGGTGTGTCTTCTGGAGTTTGCTTTCTTGGGGACAAATGGGTTTGATTCTACCACCAGTCGCCCTGAAGTCTGCCAGCAGACCCTGGAAATGTTTGTGAAATTTTTTTTTAACCATAATCTCAAAAATGTGCACTGGTAACTTCTGAGTATTCTTGGATACATTAATTGGTTTTTGAGTTAGTACTGCTAAAATAGTTTAAAATTCACCATGAGCAAGGTGGCAGAAACTAAAATACCAATTCAGTTTCTTAAGACGAAACCAATATGGAAGTCTGCAGCCTAAGATAGAATACAATGGAAGAAGCATATTGAAGCCTTTATTCATCAGTGAAACACTTTCGGCTTTAAATGAAGATGATGATGGTGACGTTGAATGTAAAAAACCAACCTGCATCTCTCTATCTGTAACAGGTTTGACAACCGTTTCTAACAAGAATTGGTGAGGGGGAGCCACCTCCACACCATTCATCCCAAATACATCCTCAAAATGAGTCTGTAAGTCACCAAACCTTTGTCTCTGTTTTTTGTGACCATCAGGGGTCAAGTGTACAGACCAGTACAAATCCTTCTGTAGATATTTTCTGGAGGCACAATTCTGGCCTTCCTCTGTCACTAGGAAAGGTACCTCATAGCGCAAGTACGGCGATCCTGACAGAATTATGTCATCTAGTGTTTTCTTAAAAATCTGAGACTGTTTAATTGTTTCTGCCTTCATTTGTTCAGTTGTAAAAAAGATGGAGTCATCTTCAGTCTGTTGGTATGTTTGTAAGGGGTCTGATTTATCCAGTACCACAGATGCCGAAGTTGATCCACGTTTGTCTTCACTGTTCTCTGAACCACTGCTACTATATATTTTTCCACTGTCACTGCTGTTCTGAACATCAAGAGTATTATGACCGTGTGCAGAATCTCCATGTTTGGGAGATTTAGAATTTTTTGTTTGCCTTACAGGAGATTTACTGGCAGAACGCTTTGCTGGATTAGCATCTCTGTGTCCACTTCCACCTTGTGATCTGACATCAGGTTTGGGTTTGGTGAGCTGAAGAACTGGAATGTCACCTTCAACAATTTCTTTTTGCAACATATCTGTCAGCTTCCCCATTTGGGGGTCAAGGTCAGGATGAGGGAATGCTGAAAGTGCCTTCCCAGCATGCACTTCCCCATTGTCTTCTGAGACAGTTATACTGCTGAGTGGCTTGAACTCAAGGCTTTTTTCACTCTCCTTCCCCTGCTCTTTAAATTCAAACTTTTTGTCTGGACTTTCTGGGGATGACCCCAGGGCATCTATCCCCAGGGGGACCTCATCTGGGGCAGGGGGTGGCATGGCAAACTCATCCATGAGAAAGGAAATTTCCAATCTTGAGTTGAAGGCAATATAGATGATGAACTGTAGAATATTTTTCACCCTCTTCAGCTCGGGTTCTGATGCCCCCCTCAGTGTCACTGTGCAACCTAAATGTGCTGGACAGCCATCAAAATACATCAGGGTTTTCTTGTAGCCTGGAAATGTTTTGATGAATTTGTACATTTTGAAGAATAGTATTTTATCATATTATTACATAAGAATAGTATTTTATCATATTATTGCAAATTGAAACATGTCTTGTTGTAATCTTGTTTCATCTTGCAATGCAAGATGAAACAAGATTACAACAATGCAATGCAAGATGAAACAAGATTACAAGAAGACATGTTTCAATTAAAACAAAAAGAAAAAAGAACACTTTCTTCAATTGTTGACTTGACATCAAAATATCTATTTCTCTCAGAAGGAGAAAATAATAAAAAATATAAATATAAATTAATAATCTACCCTTTGGCAAGGAGTGAGTGTGGACTCTAAAATTTCTACAAGTTCCAAGTGTAGGCTTATTCACAAGACCATCAATAGACGAGACAATATCTGCCTGGGTGAGTCTGGCAACCCTCTTCATCACACTCTGAAATCACACAATTTAAATGAAAATATTAAATAAATCACTCAAATGACAACAGTGAGTGACAAATTATATACCCCGAAAAAAAAAAACCTGGACCAAATACTTGAAATATATTATTACATTTGTCGTTTTTCCTCTATAAAGATAAAATTGCTTTCAGAATAAGCACCTCATATCACTTCCATTATTCAAGGATGCTTTAATCCAAAGGTAATCATTCTATAAACATGTGGTAATCAGGGGCGGATTTAGGCGGTCAGATTTTCAAGTTTACATAGACGGATATTAAACTTTTTCTGTCGGAAGACGGTCAAAAAAGAGGATGGATCAACAAAGATATTTTGGAAGACTGTCAGAAAATATCTCTGGATCCGCCCCTGGTAATCATACACAGTACAATTTCACACTCACTGGTTTTACATTGAGAACCAGAGTTATGCCTTCATCCAGGATAAACTGTTGAGCTAGCCTTGATACTGATTTCTCTACCAGCAGTAAGTCTGGCTTCCATGCCGCTATCTTTGAGACATTGTTCTTGATAAATTCATTTTCCTGCAAAAGGCAAGGGCAGACAGATTTCAGTTAAGATATTAAGTAACATTTTAAAGTGTTGTACATACAGATAATAAGTGTTATTGCCTCTTACATTCAGAAATGGAAAAGGACCTTTAAAATAAATTCTAAAAATACAAGCACTGAGGCCGCGCAGCTCTATATGGGATGTCCCCAGGGACAAGCCTCTTGAGAATTTTTTTTTTTTTTACAATTTTTGGCAAATACCCCGATTCCAAAATAAATCCAGAAAATTAACATTGATGAAATAAATATTGGGGTTTTATGGAAAATTTTCCTTGTACTTCACTTTAAATATTGTGTTACCTGTAATATCTGTGGTTCTAAAGAGGAAAACTTCTGCTCTCGTCTCTGATATTCTATGCTGCACCTGAGCAGCAGGATCTTAGCGTTGTTAATACTGTGCTGCATCTTCTTGTGGGATATATTCTTACTACACACCACACCATGGTAGATCTTGGTATCTGTCTTCTCCCCTCCTGGTATCTGAAAGTAAGGTGTCATTTCTAGTAAATCTTCAATGATAAACACTAAAAGTGGTGCCTAGGCCATGTGGAAAATTATTAAAGCTTATAAAAAAAAGATGCAGTTAAGGGTTGCTTCTAGCATGAAACATTATAAAAACGTTTAAAAACTGTTAAAAAGACTTTAAAAACATGTTAAAATCTTGTCATAAATATATGAGCTATGAACAAGAAGAATAGTAATTCAGAGCTTGTGCCATGAAACTTTATCTTCTGCATTCCATCCATTCTTAACTCAATAGCTTGTAATTCCACACTTGAAAACATTTTAGCTGTAATTTTTAACAAACATGAAACAGTACTCTTTCCAGCAATAATTCAGGCTGTTTTTATACCTTTTTAACCTGCACATAAGCTCTTATATCCATCTCATCTCCCTCATGTCTGACGTCAGGGTTCACCACTTCAGCAACTTTCGTGGCTTTTGTCATGATCAAATCTGTCCATCCCATTGACAAACCTTCCTGGGTCAGCAACTGCTTGGTAAGGTTGGTCATGTGTTCTTTGTGAGCTTTACTATAATGAATGAAAACAATTAAATGTATATGCAGTAGTTCCATTAACAATATGTAATGAGGAAAATGGCCGGCAGACGTTTTTGAGAAGAAAAATGGATTGTCATACTAATGGCAGACTAAACACACTTGGTTTCAGTCATAAATTGAAAAACCAGTCTGTAAAACATAAAAAGAGACTATAAAGAGTCAAAAAAGCTGTCTGTCACATACATCATTCTTTGGTAAGCTAAAGAGGCTGTGGAATTGTCACTGCTGTCTATGGTATCATCTGAATGCCAGCTTCTCTGCAGTGACTCTATGCTGTCCATCTTTGTATTGCTGGCACTTACAATGAGAGCACCTGAAAAAATGATGGATTGTTTTAGAATTAAAATAATCTTTTTCTGGTATAGTGTTACAGTTTATTCTACAGTTTCACATAAATTAATATATGTATAGATTTAAAAGTAAATCATGTACGCAAAAATATATAAAGATAACATGATACTGGAGAGGAAATAATCTGTTTATTTTTGTCGTTTTATAACACGCATGCACACACAAGCACACTATTTAATAAATGTCATATATGGTAAAAACACTAACCTCTAATAAATTCCTCAAAAGCACCAGTGTTTTCCATATCAGTCTCTGCAAAAGACTCACTGTCCATAATTTTTCCACCTGATGTAGAAATTATAAAAGTAAGTTACACAGACTGCTATTCACAGACAATTACAACATTTTGAAATTTCAATTGTGTCTGTCTGATGTTGACATGTTTTCAGGGTACTGAGAAAAAGCACTGAACCCTATAGCAGGAAAAAATAAAGTATAGGATCTTTGGAAAGCTATCCCTCCATGAAAGGATTTTTTAACATAGTGAGAAATCTATATTTCACATTAGGCCCATAGCCAACAAGTTCAAAGGGGTGGGGTTTTTTTTCTGAAAAAGTGGACCCTTTAAGAACTTTTAACATGAAACCGCCGTATACCTAGATCAGATTTTACCCAGAACAGACCTTTTCTTGACATAAAAGGCAGTTTGTACGAACCCCCTGAACCCCCCTGGCTATGGGCCTACACATGAAAACCAAAAAATGAACAAAATAGCTTTTATCATGTAAATGAATATAGACCTTTATCTGGTTTCTGCAGCTTTTTTCTTTTAGGAGACTCATCCCCCCCTTTTCCATCTTTGCTGACATAAAACACAGAGGGAGGGTGAGTAGATGGCTTGATGTCTTGCTCTTCTGAGAGTGACACTGAAATAAATAAATAAATCAGTGCATAAAAATATAATCAGTCATCCAAAAATATTTCTCTGAATGTTTTTCTTAAGTTCTGTAGAACTACAGTCCATTGCACAACCATATGTATTAATCATGTTTTACTTTTATATTGCTTTCAAAGACACAAAAAGAACATGAAAAATTCTACCAGCCCTTGACCCTCTGGTGACCACTGAATAACTGAAACTATACAAGTACCCTAGCTTGCAAAATAATCTTACATGAATCACTGTCTTGCTGTTGGATCTCACTCAGCCAAGATGGCTCCAGATTCACCTCCTGGGCAGCTGTATCTTTAGACAGATCTTCATCTGGGCTTTCTCTTGCTGCAGCCTTAAAGGAAAATAAGCAAGTTATTCCGCATACAAACTGATTGCACCAATTAATTGACATCAGACTCAGTTCTGCACAATTTATGTTATAGATGACTTATGTTTTCACCCCTGTTTGTCTGTCATCAACATAACTCAAAAAGTTATGGACTGATTTTGATGAAATTTTCAGGAACTGTCAGAAGTGGGCCAAGGAAGAGATGATTAGATTTTGGTGGTGATCTGGATCAATAATCAATCAATAATCAATAATAATCAAAAATCGCTGCCTTGGCGGAGGTCTGTGCTCTTGGAGTGCTTTTCTAGTTATTTTTTGCATGTATAAAAATGTGTAATAATTACTTTTACAGTACACTGCAAAAAGATTATAAATTAAGATCTTATAATAAAGCAATACCCTTTTCACACTGGTACACATGCGCCGTGTGGTACACTTTACTATTTCGCATCATTTTCACTGGTCTGAACATTTTGTTTTTCACTACAGGGAGCTTACTCCATTTCACAAGTTCTCCAGTTTCCAACTGTTGAGACCAATCAAAATTTTTCCAGGGATTCCATTTAGATCCCTCTAGCCACATAGACTATAAAGTTGTCAATCTCTCAAGAGGTACAGAACAGTAGCTGATGTCAAAGTCTACAAGCACAATAGTAATAGTTGCGTGTATGTGCACATAACTCTACAGTACAATATGTAGTGAACAACTCACCTCTCCTGGTCTGTACAGGACATACTCATCTCTGAAGATCTGCTGGTTTAAAGTAACACACTCCAACCACCTGGCATCCACCAGAGCTTGCCCTATCACCACGGCCTGCATTCTGGAAAGACCAGAGGGATCACAAAAATATGAATTAGAAAGACATATAGCAAAGATGAAATCTGGAGTAAAACAGAGGTTCCACTATATGATACAGATTTATAGCCCAAAATGCATAGATACATAATCCAAAATCTGAGAGTGAAAACCAAGGTTCAGAGGGGAGTAGGACATTTCTATACAATGCACTGCCAGGCAAATTTTTTTCCTTAATTGGGTCATTAACAAACCAAGGTCATTTTTTTTTCACTTTGATAAGCATGTAAGCTAAGGATACAAAATTCAATTTTAACCAATTAACACACAGTTATATTCGTACATGCAGATACTTAAGGAAGGAGCACAAAAATACAGGCAGTGCATGATGGATGGGCACCACTCACACATATGACCAAAAATATGTGATTACTCACCTGTTGCCAGCTTTATCAGCTTTGATCAGGTAGTCCACTAAAGAATTCCCTAAGATACAGTTTGGGTAAGTTCTAAGACGATATCTATGGCTCTGAAACTCAATTCCCTCTGTTGGATGTTTTATTAATTGCCAAATGTTCTTGAGCTGCACAGAGTCCTAGAAAAAGGTATTCATATATCAAATTTTAAGTACGTGTCAAGAATATACATGTACTAACTGGCATTTGACTAACATTGACATTTGGATATTGTGCATGGGAATTAACATTTTCAGTGATATCTTTTTTTTTTCAATATTCAAAGGCAAAATTCCTTTTTCTAACAAAAAATGTCCTTTTTTTGTAAGATACACCAAACACTACTCCCTGAAGGCATCATCTAAAACCAAGAATGTTTTTCAAATTCTTCTTGAAATTGAGAGTCTGCCATTATTTTTTCTTTTAGGCAAGAATGTCTAGAAACCCTAGCAATTCACACAGAACAAACTGATGACCATCTACAGTGAAAAGTGGTGTATTTGTTTTACCTCAATCAGTAACCTTCTTTCATCTTCTGCTATCAGCTGCTGGGAGGCCAACTCAGTCTGAGGAGTCAGATCAAACATGTTGGAAGAAAACTTTTGTCCATAACTATCCAGGTCTGTTGCACTGGCTGACCTGAAAAGGATTCAAAAGTTTTCATCAACAGACTTGCAAAAATGTTTGAAATTAAATGAGTGTTATTTACAAAATCTTCCATCAACCTTTCATTGACATAAGTAAATAAACCCATAAGCTCCTCACCTGTTCCAGTTACTATCTTCATCTCCATTTATTTCCTTCCTCCTTGGTATGGGGGTCCAACGACCAAATCCATGGAGCACTACTTTCAAGCTGCTTTCCTTGCCCTCCTTTGCCAGGGTCTTCAGATCTTCTTGAAGGGGTTCTGATATCTCTCCAGATGGATTTTGCTGAGCATAACTCAGTACCACATTGCAACAGTAGGAACAAACCCTCAAGTCACCTACAAGAGTAACATAAAATACATATTATTAACTGATTTAAGAGCAACTGTCTCAAAGCTGGATTCAGGAGAGGATAGGTGATTCCCTGCCTCCTCCCTCCCCCAGCTCTACAAAAATTATTTCTACAGATAGTCCCAGAAGAGTGAGATGGAAGATTTTTTGTATTTCTGCAATCAGCCGACCCATAGCCCCCTTTACTAGTACATGACCTGTATTGAAATGTTGGATCCCTCTGTGTCTTGACACATGAACTGTGGTTTAATCTGCACTACTTATTTACCTGTGCTGTTGAAAGTATAGCTTTAACTTGCAAATATAAAATATTTTTGTTTTAATATAATATTTCCTTGCAAATTTCATAATATTGCAAATATTTTTCTTTTGACTGAAACTATTTTTCTTTTTCTCGGTATTTGGACAAATGCATTTATTCATGCATATCACCATTTCATAAACCAATTTAAAGTAGGTATCACTTTTATTAATGATATAAATTTTCAAATCTGACCAAAACCACTGAATGCAAAGTAACCACCAACCTGTGTAACCCATCACCCTCCCTGGCACCTCCTGATTGCAGCAGCGACTACAGAACACCTGTCCACAGACACGACAATGATGTCTCCGTCTGAAAGTGGTGAATTTATCTCCACACTCGTAACATTCCTTACAATCTTTGTCTGGCATCCAGTACTGCTTGAACTCCATGTCTTTGTAGATCTGAGGGGAACAGACAAAAAAAAGATATCAATGAATTATTTGTTTCATACTGAATAATAAACAAAAAAATAAAAATAAAAAAGCAAAAGATGCAGCTTCAGCTGACTTATATCTCTATCTATCTTGAAATCTTTTATCATTGTTTCAATTGTTGAATATACACCAGCAAAAATATGATTAAGAGCTGATCATAAATGCAAGTTCCCAATGGAAATTTAGACTGACGTGCCTTTATATCAACTAAAAACAGTTCACTTATCAAAAGCACCATCAAGTAGGTAAACATAAAAGAACCAAATAGAAATTATCTACTCTTGAGTTATCTTATCAATAGGCACTCAAACTGCCATTAACCCAATGTGTGTATCACCTGTGACTGTGTATTCATTGCCAAGATGCTGCTTAGTCTATTTAAAACTCCTGTGAGTGTCCTTTTGGGCATTATAAACTGCCCACTTCTGTTCATCACGCTGCCATCTGAAACACTGCTTCCAATACTTGCATTATCTGAAAATACACTGAGCCAAATCAAATTAAATGGTATAGGTTATTGTGTGTTTTCTTCAGAAACCAAATACAAGTAAAATGATTTTTAATTCATTACATTTCACTCAACACAAGAGAGATAATAAGGATTTTAAAACACTTTCAATATGTAATGTTAATTCACAGAAAAAAAGGAGCATCAGCAGAATTCTGAAGTTAATAATAATAACAATGAAAATGATTCCTGTCTAATGTGATATGTTTTAGCACATACCTACCAGTAATAAAAAAATTTACACTCGAAAGAAAGAAGTTAGAATATAGACCACAAAGAAAAACAGAGTGAACTAAAAAACAGAAAAGCCAAATGAGGAAAAAATATAACATTCAAGTCTATAAACTACCATACTGGTGCAGGGTATGAAACAAAATAACTTGCTAACCATCTGCATTCTGTATACAACTGCTGCCACCTTCTGGTAAAGGTAAATCAATGGGAGGAATTATCACCCTCTGACCCTCACTACCACTGCCCTGACCACCCTGCACTGAGCTACCATTGGTCTTTTTCTCTCCAACATCTTCCTTGTTTGCTGCTCTTCCAGGAACTTTAGACCCTAAAATGGGATTGCAGGTTTACATTAATATGTAAATGTGTTGAAATTACACATGACCTCTTACTTATATATAAACCTTTTTTACATGTTGCTCTAAGAAGAGTACCATTATTCTTTAGAAATAAGATGTTGTTTACATAAAGTAACTGTGACAAGAAACATTTTGACAGTCATATTTAATCAAAATTTGAAAAATCAAACCAAATTAATATTTATGTCTTCAGTTGGTCTACATGGTTAATGAACGGGACACTTACATTTTCACATCTATTTATTACTTCAATCATAATTAACCATGATTAATAAATAATTTATGTAACCTTTCACTCTCTTCCATTTAGAAGACACCCACGACAGTAAACCTCCACTCTTATCTTCTTTTGAGTCCAAAGCACCAAACTCTGTCAGGGTATGGCAGTCTTTAGGGTTGGGCTCCATTTCTAAAACTGACATCAAACACTGTAGTTATTTTTGACTTAAGACAGGCGTAGCAGCATTTTGTAACGTAGAGAAAAATAGGTGGTACGTTGTAGTAAAAAAGAACAATAAATGTCGACCATCTGTAAAATATATCTGGATTTTGTGACTTTCATAACAATGACTGTAGTCAGCAGACTTTTGCATTCTGGCTTTAGTTCTTAGCAAATACATATGTAACATGAGTCTATAAAAAAAACGGGTTAAATAGTTCATAAATAATTCACAAAAATATTTTTTTATATTTTTCTTCTTTCAAAGTTTCAATTAATTTGGCATAAATAAACTTACCAATAATGAATCTCGGTGCTTCTACTCAGGTGACATATCAAATTATAGGGGAGAATCGAGTTGATGCGATGGTCATTTTCAGTCTGTCTCCAGAGGATCTTCACTACCGCCCAATCACGGAAGGTACATTTACTTCGAGGCCTCACTATCCAAAATTTTGTCCGGCCGCCGCCATTTTTAAATCATGTGACCGGTGAGTTAAATTAATTTATAATGTTAGTTGTGTATTCAATTTTCACTATATCTCTCTTAATTTAAAATGATAAAATTTATCTTTTTACCTTTAAAATAATAAGTAAAAAATAATTTTTGGTATAATAAATGTAGATTCTCTTCAGTTTAATATAAAGTTGACTTCCTTTCTAATAAAAACTAAGATAGTTAGCAAGAAGCGTCTTTACTCTAAACCAAAACAAACCTTTGCAAGTCATGCGAGAATTGGTACGGGAGCGACGCTAGTAAGTTAATGAGTAAGAATGTATTTATTATATGTTAGGCATCACCCTTAATACAGCGTTGAGCACTTGGAATTATTCGGACGTGTAAAGAAATGGAATATTAACAGTAACATGCTGTTGAATTATGATCGACGCCGTCTTTTATTTTAGCAACATCATTTGCACCATGCCTCAGATTTCGGCCTAGCTTGTAAATGGTTGGTAATATGTTTGGCTTAAATTTTAACTTGTTACGAATGCCAGTAAATAGACTAGTACTAGTAGTATGGTTGTCTGAAGAAACTTTTAATTCCTATAGGTTGGATACAAGATGGCCAGCAATTATGTAGAAGAAGAAATAAAAGAAAAACTCAGAAGTAAACTTAACCAAGAGAAAGTGAAACTGTGGCTTTCTCCATACACAGCAGAAGATGGCTCTAAAGGATCCAGTCTAGACGTATGTACACAGATAGGCATTGTACTTAATGAGTCACATTTTGGAAATGATAAAATAATTTTGTATTAGTCTCTGGTGTATAAACAAGCTTAGTTTTTGTAGAATCTTCCAAATGCATTCACACTAACTATTTGTTTTCAGTACAATGTGCTGAAAGTTAATGGACTGATTACAAGTCTAGTTTTATTTGAAATATTTATGGACATTCAATTTTGATTAAGCTTTTACATTCATTCAATCAAGGAGTTATAACAGAGATTCAATACAGCTTGGTTATTCCATCAACATATATTAACCCATTACAGTGACGTCATATTTGCTCCGTAACACTAGTCCCGCGGCCATGCTGGAGGGAATGAACGACGGGGAATAGTAGCGTAAATATAGGTAAACCAAATAAAATAAAGTAAACTTCATATCACGATCAAGGACACCAAAGGGAAAGGGATATATACAAGCTGAGGCTTCAGCTGATCAGCGGGATCGACCGATATGAACTCAAGACAGTCTAAAAACGTGAAATCCTACTAAATGCTACTTACCCAACATCGTGTTGTCAGAAGATAGTTCAGTTATCTTGTACTTCATTTTTCTTGTTCATTGGGTAATAACAGTTATAGTTTGAGAGAGTTTAATGTGTAATCATAAGTTTAACCTTAAATAGAAGCAACTTTTTTCATAAAGGATAGATATAAGAAATTTGAGCTGATCATCAGGATAAACCCTTGTGGACTCAAGGAAGAATGTATGATTGTCTTATGACATGAAATATTGCTGTTAGTTATGACTTATTTTTACATCGTGAAGCTGTCAGAAATTATTTCAGCATTCTTGTACTTCATATTGGTTCATTAGAAAGTACATGTAACAAGACTGTTGTTCATTCATATAGCAACATTGTTAGCATTTTATTATTAGTTCAGTCATTCACAGAAGCATTTGTTAGGCACTACAAATATCCTCAAACCTCAGTTTAAGTGGGACTTAGAGAATGGAAATTTGCCATGGGACTATACACTTGATATCAATGGAGCAATAGAAACTATGTCAATGATGAAAAAGACGTGTCCTATGTATCAAAATAAAGCTGGTGAGTTGTGTTGTAAATAAGTTTTCAAAATCTACTGTCATAAAAAGTATTGTATCAAACTGATTTTATAAAATTTAATATACCATTTGCATTGAGAATATTTTGCTAGGCATTCAGTGAACAAAATTAATATATTTTAAATTTTCTTTAAAACTGCAATATCAGGTATTTGTTGTTCTCTTTTTTTTTAATGTAAAGCCTAACTATATTGGGGATTTTCACATGGTATGCAGAACATTTGCTCTATACCATCATCAACTTTTTAAATTATTTCAGCATTCTTGTACTTCATTTTGGTTCATTAGAAAGTACATGTAACAAGACTGTTGTTTGAGAGAGTTTAATATTCACCATGAATGCAACCATTCATATAAGCAACATTGTTAGGATTTTATTATTATTCAGTCATTCACAGAAGCAAGGCATTGTTCACACTTATGTATTTATGATGTCCAATAATTGTAAAATAACAATAATTCAGTTCATGAATTGATTTCTGCAACCATTTGCTTAAACATATAGGAAAATGCACATTTTGTATGAATAAAAGAGAACATGAAATGCTCAGTTCTGAGTGTCGCTTCAATTAAATAACTCCTGTCATGCACTGGATTTCACTCTCCTGATGTTCAGATCCTGTCTCCTCAGCTGGTCACAAAGATCTAGGAATATTTAACATTTTTACAGAGGAAAGTGCAAATTCATTTCATGAGGTTATATGTCAATTACACCTGAGGTAGAATTTACTTGCAAAATAAAATTACTCTTATCACTACACCAAATCGAAAATTAAGCCAATAACTTCCAAATACACTTCATACAGGTAATTGATTTAATTGGCCCAGCTCAGCTGTGTACAGTACAAATATAGCCTTGACACTAATTGGGAATAATGCTAACCAGGTATTAAAGAGGTAGGTGACAGCCGATAAAATCTAGAGAGCATCGTAACTGATAACAAATTACACCCAAGGCAATAGGTGAGTCTTCATTATAAAAGTCGAAACCCTGCCTGGGTATGTCCACACGTTTTGACAAATTAACTTACTCTCCACCCAAACTTTTTGGGCACTACTACGCCCCAAACGTACACACCTAGGTCTTTGGTGTTCTACTGTTTTTTCTTTTATGGTAACATCTGCACAGCTGGATCTTCATTATTTGCTATAAAATAAATTAGTTTTATCCTTTACTTTTCCGAAGAGTCTTGATTCAAAGCCACCTCGCAGTCTCTCCTCCGTTTATGGTTTTAGTTCCTTCACCATTGATTGTTACCACTGCAGGCAGTCTGTGAACGCTTGTAAAGTTAGTTACCTTCTCTCGATCAAATACCCTGCAGTAATTCATCATTTTGCTCGGTTAAATATCAAAGAAAATACAGAAAACGAAAACTAAACTACAGACATGGCTTGTTCATGCGCAGCAGACGATTCCGGTCTCCCTCCAGTATGGCTGCCGTTTGTTTTGATGACGCAGGCTCTAATGGATCAATAGTTTCAAGTGATCATATTATATTTTAGAAAAGGGACTTAGATGTATAAGGGCCTCTGATCGTTTTTGATATTGTTACTTATAGGAGCTGTCAACAAGATATGCTGTAGAGTGCAATCTATCAGTTGACAAAGTTTGCTGTGTCCTTGAGGACTTAAGACTGCATGCACTGGAGAAACTTGCATCCAGAAATAAATTTCAGCAAACAGGAATAGCATCACTGAAAGTAAAACTTGCTGGCAATTTTCAAAAGGAGGTAAAGACAGGAAAAATNCACGCTGGTGGTACTAATGATTTTTAATTCATTACATTTCACTCAACACAAGAGAGATAATAAGGATTTTAAAACACTTTCAATATGTAATGTTAATTCACAGAAAAAAGGAGCATCAGCAGAATTCTGAAGTTAATAATAATAACAATGAAAATGATTCCTGTTTAATGTGATATGTTCTAGCACATACCTACCAGTAATAAAAAAATTTACACTCGAAAGAAAGAAGTTAGAATATAGACCACAAAGAAAAACAGAGTGAACTAAAAAACAGAAAAGCTAAATGAGGAAAAAAGATAACATTCAAGTCTATAAACTACCATACTGGTGCAGGGTATGAAACAAAATAACTTGCTAACCATCTGCATTCTGTCTACAACTGCTGCCACCTTCTGGTAAAGGTAAATCAATGGGAGGAATTATCACCCTCTGACCCTCACTACCACTGCCCTGACCACCCTGCACTGAGCTACCATTGGTCTTTTTCTCTCCAACATCTTCCTTGTTTGCTGCTCTTCCAGGAACTTTAGACCCTAAAATGGGATTGCAGGTTTACATTAATATGTAAATGTGTTGAAATTACACATGACCTCTTACTTATATATATAAACCTTTTTTACATGTTGCTCTAAGAAGAGTACCATTATTCTTTAGAAATAAGATGTTGTTTACATAAAGTAACTGTGACAAGAAACATTTTGACAGTCATATTTAATCAAAATTTGAAAAATCAAACCAAATTAATATTTATGTCTTCAGTTGGTCTACATGGTTAATGAACGGGACACTTACATTTTCACATCTATTTATTACTTCAATCATAATTAACCATGATTAATAAATAATTTATGTAACCTTTCACTCTCTTCCATTTAGAAGACACCCACGACAGTAAACCTCCACTCTTATCTTCTTTTGAGTCCAAAGCACCAAACTCTGTCAGGGTATGGCAGTCTTTAGGGTTGGGCTCCATTTCTAAAACTGACATCAAACACTGTAGTTATTTTTGACTTAAGACAGGCGTAGCAGCATTTTGTAACGAAGAGAAAAATAGGTGGTACGCTGTAGTAAAAAAAGAACAATAAATGTCGACCGTCTGTAAAATATATCTGGATTTTGTGACTTTCATAACAATGACTGTAGTCAGCAGAGTTTTGCATTCTGGCTTTAGTTCTTAGCAAATAACATGAGTCTATAAAAAAAAACGGGTTAAATAGTTCATAAATAATTCACAAAAATATTTTTTTTCTTCTTTCAATTAATTTGGCATAAATAAACTTACCAATAATGAATCTCGGTGCTTCTACTCAGGTGACATATCAAATTATAAGGGAGAATCGAGTTGATGCGATGGTCATTTTCAGTCTGTCTCCAGAGGATCTTCACTACCGCCCAATCACGGAAGGTACATGTACTTCGAGGCCTGTTCACTATCCAAAATTTTGTCCGGCCGCCGCCATTTTTAAATCATGTGACCGGTGAGTTAAATTAATTTATAATGTTAGTTGTGTATTCAATTTTCACTATATCTTAATTTAAAATGATAAATTTTATCTTTTTACCTTTAAAATAATTAGTAAAAAATATATTTTAGTATAATAAATGTAGATTCTCTCCAGTTTGACATATAGTTGTCTTCTTTTCTAATAAAAACTAAGATAGTTAGCAAGAAGCGTCTTTACTCTAAACCAAAACAAACCTTTGCAAGTCATGCGAGAATTGGTACGGGAGCGACGCTAGTAAGTAAATGAGTAAGAATGTATTTATTATATGTTAGGCATCACCCTTAATACAGTGTTGAGCACTTGGAATTATTCGGACGTGTAAAGAAATGGAATATTAACAGTAACATGCTGTTGAATTATGATCGACGCCGTCTTTTATTTTAGCAACGTCATTTGCACCATACCTCAGATTTCGGCCTAGCTTGTAAATGGTTGGTAATATGTTTGGCTTAAATTTTAACTTGTTACGAATGCCAGTAAATAGACTAGTACTAGTAGTATGGTTGTCTGAAGAAACTTTTAATTCCTATAGGTTGGATACAAGATGGCCAGCAATTATGTAGAAGAAGAAATAAAAGAAAAACTCAGAAGTAAACTTAACCAAGAGAAAGTGAAACTATGGCTTTCTCCATACACAGCAGAAGATGGCTCTAAAGGATCCAGTCTAGATGTATGTACACAGATAGGCATTGTGCTTCATCATCATCATCATTGCTCTTCGTCCCGCGTGGGACATAAGGCCACAACATTCCATGCCCCAACACGAAGGATGGATTTGGGCCCCAGTGCATCCGACTTCGCACTCCTGACTTCTGGTGGTGGGCTTTCATCAGAAATGGTCATAGTGTTGTGGTCTTGACTCGAATACACTGAGGTCCTAGTTGAAGTAGAAGTTTTTGTGGTTTCTGTAACATTAATTTGAACCGAGAGGGTTGTTGGCCCCCCGCGGTAGGTTTTATGTCAGGGTTTTCCTTCCCATAGCCAGAGCCTCGTTAGCCTAGGCCCGCTAGGACCTAGTTTCCAGGGTGTACCACGGGGAGGAGAGGTTGACTTGAGTGATCTACGGGTCACCGGCAAGCTATTTAAATTTCACCTTTCGCCCTTATGGACTAGCCGGCCTTAACAACACTGGATGTGAAGCCAAGCGCCTGAACACCCCTACACCCCAGGCATTGTACTTAATGAGTCACATTTTGGAAATGATAAAATAATTTTGTATTAGTCTCTGGTGTATAAACAAGCTTAGTTTTTGTAGAATCTTCCAAATGCATTCACACTAACTATGTGCTGAAAGTTAATGGACTGATTACAAGTCTAGTTTTATTTGAAATATTTATGGACATTCAGTTTTGATGAAGCTTTTACATTCATTCAATACAGCTTGGTTATTCCATCAACATATATAGTTTCAAGTGATCATATTATATTTTAGAAAAGGGACTCTGATCATTTTTGATATTGTTACTTATAGGAGCTGTCAACAAGATATGCTGTAGAGTGCAATCTATCAGTTGACAAAGTTTGCTGTGTTCTTGACGACTTAAGACTGCATGCACTGGAGAAACTTGCATCCAGAAATAAATTTCAGCAAACAGGAATAGCATCACTGAAAGTAAAACTTGCTGGCAATTTTCAAAAGGAGGTAAAGACAGGAAAAATGTGTGTGTGTGTGTGTGTGCGTGCATGCGTGCGTGCGTGCGTGCATGCGTGTGTGTGTGACAGAGAGAGAGAGAGAGAGAGAGAGAGATTAACATTTATATGTTTGTTAAGCAGAAGTGACAGCCCATTCTTTAATTTTTTCAAATAAATTATCATGAAAGTACATGTGTCATTTATCCATTAATGACAGGCTGCTTTAGATTTGTTTGTTATTCTAACTTTAATTTTAGGCAAATAATGGCACAAGAGAAAACAAATATACAGTAGAAATTCCTCTACATGAGCGAGGAGAGAATTTAAAACAGCTTATTTCTAAAAGAAGTGGCATTAATTTGTCACATGTGAAACTCATTAGTAGTGGGCGTGTGATAGAAGACGGAAGTTCTTTACAGGAACAAGGCCTTAAGGTGAGTTTTTTTACATTTTAAAACTCAATATGTACATGTTAACTACTCTTGCTTGGAGGTTTGACTTATTGAATTTGATTGTAAACAATTTGATTTATTCCCACAAATTGAACCATGTGAACAGACGATACACTTGATCATTTAAATACTGATTTATTTGAGCAGAAGTGATATTGTAGAGCAGTTTGGTAAATTTGGTCAGACTTCTTTAAAATGTAGATTCTTTCAAATACAAACTCAAATACAAACTTGACAGGACAATATGATGGTGATAATGGTTTTAAATACACCAAATCCTTCTGAATGTTATTGTAGAATCAAAGTCTGGTCATGGCTATATGTCTCACTGAGGCAGAGGCTGAGGCCAGAGTGCAGCAGGAGCAGCTGCTGAAGGTTTCTAGGACAAGAGAAGCAGCAGAGATATTAGCATCAAAAGATGATGGTACTCATTTCAGTATTTATTATTATCATTTTAATTTTATTTATTTATTTATTTATTTTGTCTAATTCATGGAATTTTTTTATTTTACATATTGTGTACCAGTGTTTTAAGGACACCTGATATCTTTTCAATGCAAATGCAAATTGCTTATGTTCAAAATGATATTCTTACAAGTTGAAATTGACAGTTTGCTATGGCCTGTTTAAGATGAATTGTTCTTCAAATATGTGTCTTTATGGGCACCAATTGGTCATACTCTGTGGTATATATAACCTGAAATTGGATCAAAATTTTTAAAGTACAAAATGTGATACTATACGTAGGTAATTATTTAAACCTTATTCTGTATATTTGTTTTAGCTGGAGATGGCCATGAACCCTTCCTTCAAATAGCAGACCAGGCTGGGAAGTCTTTGCAGCTACCACCAGAGGAAAGAAAGGTTTGGCTTTAGTTCTACTTTTTGACCCTAATCCACTTTGAAATTCCTGTTCTTCATACAGGTTTTTATACCACATTCTAGCATTATTGTTCTTCAAACTCGTACTCTTTTATTCCACATCAATAGCTGAGCATGTTTTTTATCAAGAAATTTGTCTGCTGCTCACTGATAATTGTGATATCTCTAACTTCAGTTTACTCAGATAAAAGCCTGTGATATGATAAGCAGTCATTATATATTTTCCTCTTTTAAAAATACATATCATTCTGTGTTGCAGGCCTTGACTCTAGCAATGACTCTTCATGAGAAGGGCAAGGCAGCTATCAAAAGAAAACAATATGGAGAAGCATTACTGCTGTTACTAGAGGCAGACAAAGAGTTCAGGTGAAGAGTTCTTATAATACATTACAATTTATGTAACTCATTGAATTTAATCTGTTATTTTGATGGTGTGACTAATAAACTCTATGACTAAAAAGCATGTCAAAGGTTATTCAAAAGGCTTATCAGTTTTATCTATAGTTTTGTAGACATATACTTGTACATAAAAATATAATAGCTATACCTCTACACATTTGATATCAGTGACATTTGTTAAAACTGTAGGGCATTTTATAAAAAATAGCAACCCTTGTTAACGTATTGGTCTCTTATTTCAGAAAGTGTAACTCTGATATCCTGAATGCAGTGGACAACTATGCAATTCTTTGCCTGGATATTGTATGGTGTTATCTGTGCTTGCAGAGTGTTAATGACTTGCCTGATGCAGGTACGTTGTTCCTATTTTATCAATTTTATACATATTATGTTAAAGAAAACTATGTTCTTATATGAGTTTCCATGTACACTCAAAAGATTTTCATTTTCTACATTGAATAGTTGAAATGTGAGGCGCTTGTTTTACAACATTTTGTATATAAAAAATATATAATTTTCCTGCAGAAAACCAAATTGTGAAACCATTTATCAGAATGCATTACCTCACTTTGTTTTTCATTGTTTTTGCATGCTATAATTTTCGTTCAAATGTCTGTCTGCCACTTTGTCCATTTGTCTATCCAGCCATGTATTCGTAGTTTTTTGCTATCCCCTCTCAGACCATTAGAGTGAGGAACTTGAAACTTTGGATTATTGATAGACCTATCATCAGAAATGTAGATGAGATCTTTGGTATTTTATACATCTGAAGCTGGGGCTGGCCCTGGGGATGGTGCAATTTTTTTCACATAAATAATTTTTTCAGTGATATTTATAAATAGACACACACTTCACCTGTTAGCTGATGATCATTGTTTATAATTGAATGTTGTTACAGGGTAAATGTCTTTTACCTTGTTCACAAAGGTTTTACTCTCTGATTTACTAGTTCACTTGATATAGTGAACTATTTGATCTGTGTTCAGTATACATGCCATCAGGTCTTTGAAGATTATGTTTGATTAAATTTTAGAATCGAGGCTTCTGGCTTGTGAAGATTGTTTCAATAGGAGCTATGGACAGAATTTGGAGAGGCTGGCAGTTGTCAAGGTAACAAGGTCATGTCTAAAAATGTTACTGTTATAGTACTGTATAGACCTTTTGTTAGTACAAAGATTTTAAAGCAACTAAGTGCATTTTTTATATTTTGTACATGATTGTTTGTCTTTTTTGTATGTTTGTCTAGTGCGCGGTTTTTCTGGAAAATGAAGGTAGTCTTCTCTCACATACATGTATAACTCGCGCAGTCACTGAGTGCAGTTTTTATGGGCAGACACAGTGTTTCTAGATGTATGGCCATCATAATGCTATTAAGTATTACTAATATTAAGTATTGTGTAATATTATCAAACTTAAAAATATCATTGTCATTGTGGAATGCTTGGTCATCCTTTTAAACTGTTTTAATGAATGCTGCTTCAATCAGTTCTTTTAATTTTATTAATATGCCTGTTTATTTCACAGATTTGCTGCTTTGTTTGAGGAATTCTATTCAAAGCCCCCATCAATAAGCATGAAAGGCAGATAACTGTTTGATCATATATGCAAAAAAACTATCAAACTGACGATAGTTTTTGTCTCAAAAGAAATTTCATTGTTCTGTTTTTGTCATTTTTTTCTTAATTTCAGTTTTGATTATCAGAATTTTCATCCACAATTTAAGTATGGTGATACTTGTTTCAATCTTATGTAGTCATATCTCTCTAGTGAGTTTTTTTAGTTATATAAAATATAATATACCACCAGTATACACTTCCACAATTTCAACTCTTTCCCAGGGTGAAATAGGATCTGTGCTTGCCTTGTTTATGCGACTTCATCTTCTGCAAGGTATAGTGGCTTATCATCAACACAAAAGACATGAGGCCATCACATTGTTAAATAAGGTCAGTTTACATAACATCATATTTGCCATTTGACACACATTAAACAAGGAGTTTTTAGCTCTGTTTTATAATTTAAAAAAAGTTATGGAGTTTAACAAAAAAATCATGTTCAAGAACCTCACTATAATTCTGACATAACTAATATATTCTTACCTATCGTAAGGGCACATATACAGTCACACATGATGAAAATCATTTCAGCTCTGAGCTGGCTAAGAACTGGTTTTATATATTTTGACTGTGTTAACAATTATATAGACTGATTGAATATGTGTGATTTACCCATGATGTATATACCAGTGTCCATTTTACAAGATGTAAAATCTAATAGGAGGTGAAAGGAATTAATAGAATGTGTACATTAATTAGTATGCTTGGGTTGTTTTAAAGAACTTCTGAGTTAAGTCAAAAAATGGCATGCAGTGACATTTTTGAATATTTCACTATTTTTATATTCACTATATCACTATTTGTATTGTATATATAAATAACCTCTAAAATATGTCTGCAAGCAGCCATTTCAGAAAGAATAACTTTTTTGAAAAAGTGGACCTTTTTGCCCCTTAGTTCAATGACCTTAATTAAGAAACAGCAAAAAATGTGGTACAAAAGAAATTCACTCTGAGTGGACCTTTAAAGGCAGATCTTGTGAACACTCCCCCCCCCCCCAAAAAAAAAAAAAAAAAAAAAGGTCTGTCAGACAGCACACACTGTTTGTACTTGTTATTCCAATTACTTATCAAAGTTTACTTATAAAAGTTACAGACAAGCCCATTAGTTGTAGCCCATCAGTTATGCCCCAACAATGATCTCTAAAATGTTACATTGAATATCTACCCTAGGCAGAAAAAGAACTTCAAAGACTTGCAGTGGATGATGAAAAGATTGCAGAAGGTATGTACATTATTATCTATATAACCACTCCACTGCGCCACTGGAACCAGGTTGTCTGTCTGTGTGCATATAATAAACTTGATACCTTGATAACCCTATAAAATAAGTAGTACTAAATTTTACCTATACATGATAAGGTGGAAAAGTGCTCATGGTTTTATTGATAATAATTTAAACAATTTCTTAGTTTTCTTAGACCAGTGTTAAAAGGTATTTCATGCCTTTTGAGCAAATCCTACTGTATTAAAATGTTGCAGGCAAGTACACTGTTTTATAGTGCAATACTTCTCATTGGTTACATTTGGGATTGATGTTAATGTATTTATAAAAACAAAATAATTTTCATATCTTCATCAACGAATTCCTCTCTAGGAATTTATTATAAAAACCAGGCTGTATTATTTCAGTTGTTTCTATGGGTTTTACACCTCAAGAAGCCAGACTTGGATTGAGAGGCAGTAATGGAAGTGTAAGCACAGCAGTTGCGTATATTATGAAGAAGAAAGAAGTAAGTTTTCCTTCTCTCATATATTTTGTACCTGTATAAGGCCCTTTTTACATCGAATGGTACACTTTATTGAACCAGTGGACTTTGAGAAACTGACAGGTTAATAGCTTTCCTGGCTGTTATTGAAGGGAGTCACTTCAATGTGTATGTAACAGTGTGTAAAAGTACAATTCCTTGTTAGTCTTACTCCAGTCATTTGAAATTATTTGAATTTGCAGATGGAAATGTGAAGCATTTTATTTCCTTGTATATATACATATGGCTTAGACAATGATATGTGTAGTAATGAATATTATTAGTTCACTGTGTTACATTTTTACATTTCATGTTATTCAACCCTGTCATTTACATTGTAGGAAAAGAAAAAAATGAGGCTTAAGGAGAAGGAGGAAAGAGAAAAAAGAAAAAAGGAAAAGCGTTTAGGAAAGACGGCCAGTGGGGAGAGGTGAGATGGCCATTTATTATATGATTTATATAGTGTAATTGATAAATTATTATTCACCTGATGCAGCTTTTTTTCATTAGTTACCTGGATGTATTGCAGCTTACATAATGTAAATACATTGATGTGATGCCCTCATGAAATGCCACCTGTCAGCTTAATTCTGTGCCCTTTTTTACTATAATTTACAATGTACTTTGATGTACAAGAGAACTAGTAGGTAATACAGAGTGAGGTATTTGTGTATTTCTGAATAAGTCAATCCATCCTGCTGTCTCTGGGCGCTTTGAATTTCCTTAAACTTGAGTACAAAAACCTTGTCAGGGCTTAGAAGTTTTGATTAATTATAATATTTTTTTCTGTAACAAAACTAGGTTAATCTTTTGTTGCTGACAGCAGTGATGATCAATGAGTATGTGAGTTTGTAAAGTGTATCATTTGGATGCTTATTTTTCAGTGTCAGTGTGGATGTCTATGAAATGTTATGTTCTATGGGATTTCCACCTGGAGCTGCAGCTGAAGCTTTGAGACAGACAAATAACGACATAAATATGGCAATCCAGGTATGTATGCTGATAAACTCTTTGGATTCAGAATGTTTTAACATTTAAAAATGATATAGAATATAGATATATAGAAATATATAGATATATATACAGATATAGAAAACCCCCTTTTCAATTAGAAATGTAATAAAATACCTAAAATATTAATTTTATTTTATTCATACTGAAAAAATACCATAACTATATCCTTGGTAGATTAACTTTTGATTTTGACAAACATTGTTTAAGGAATAAAAGAATATTATTCTTATTGTGAAAAAATGCCTAGTACACTTATTACAACATTGTATTGGCTTTGTGGCAATTTCATGGTATTTTCTTTTGAAAATCCCCTGCTTAATTTTATCAGTACTTAAGGTACTATAGTCCAGATTTTATCACCAGTTTTTTTAAATATAGCTCTTTTTTTATCTTTTTGTAGACATTGTCAACACAGCCAGAACTCCTTCAGCTTCCTGATCCTGTGAATCCAGACATAGAAATTACAGATGAACTCATTGCTCAGGTGAAGTTATTTTTAAGCACAATGGAGCATCAAGTTGTCAATGTGGATGTCATAGCAACATGAAATCCCCTACTTAACATGAAACAATTTTACTGTGGGAATGATCTGACTTCCAGGGTAACATCTGCACAGGGATAAAACCTACTTACCTTTAATTTCCTATATTTATTTATTTATTATTTTTATCGTTAATATTACTGTTATCATTATAATATATATATTTGTAGGTCACTAGTATGGGGTTCAGTGCTGACACAGCCAGGGAAGCCTTGAAGAGGTCCAGTGGGCAGGTGGAAAGGGCTATAGAGGAACTGTTGAACTCAGGTGGGATCCTGTCTGCCTCACCTGTCACCCAGTCTTCTGATCAACAGGACACTTCTGAACCAGGTACCTGTATGTCTTGACCAGAGAGCCCAGTAGAGAGGAACCATAAATCTGGTTTATACAGAAGATGATGAAGTAGTTTGTCTTTATTCTGTAAACAGTGGTTTTTTTATCAGATGTTTGAAGAGAAGCAGGTTGAATAGGGGAAAAGATCATGTTCAGATGGCTGATTTACGATTATTTTTATTCTCCAAATAGGAAATGTGGTCTGTTACTTGAGAACCCACCAGTTTGATAACATTTTTAAAAAATGGTGTCCAGCTTCACATTTTTCTCTAGCAATATCTTCATTCTTTTTATAAATATTCTCAAAATTTCCAGTAGAGATTATAATTTTAATCTGTCTTCACATTTTCCCTCATGTTGAAGGTCCAAGTTCAAGCAAGAAAACTCCTGAAGAACTTCAGAGAGAGAAAGATGCAATAGACTCTATCATTCCGGATATCCCAGAAAATGAAGAAGATTACTTAGATTTGAGCTCTGAAGAGGAGTTACAGTTTTTGGAACAGTACAAGGCTTTACTGAACTCGTTATAATGGGATGGGGACAAAACTGGACACTTGCAGAAGCTTTCCTGAAAAGCCATTACGCCCTTGTAGGATTTTCACAAGTATTTGAAAACTTATTTTTGTTAAAAATCTATGCAAATTTTTTCTTTGAATTTTCTACCATTTGATTAGACTGCATTTAAAAAAGTAATTTGAAATATTAGGGTTTGTAGAAGAGCTTGTCACATATTTTCAACTCACCTGGCAATTTTTTATTTATAAATTTTATAAACAGACATACCCCATGTATGTCTGTTTATACTCTGATCACTTTGTATGTCTGCAATTGCTCTTGGATACATGTTGTTTAAACTACAACTGGTAAACACTATTTTTGTTTTGCTTTTAATTTTTGGGTGGATTTGTTTGGTTAAAAGGCAGGTTCCTTTAAAATCATAATGATTTGATTATTTTTACAATTAAAGTTTTTTTTCCTGTTTAGTGTCTGTATCTTTGCAAGCTTTGCTGTTTAATCATACTTTATATCTTCAATGTTTGATAATTTGAATACTGAGATGATAGAAACATATGAAGATAATTCATATATTTTCATCAGGTTTTTCTTGTGTATGAACATGTCAATTAATAGGCAATAACATTTTTAATTGTTAACTGATTGTTAGTTAAGATGTTACCTGAAAGTAATAACAATAAAGTTATTTTAAAAATCAGATTAAGCAGCTAGTGTTGTTCGGATACCAAAAGGGAATGTAAAAATTGAAACAATTTTCTACATAATTACCATTAGGGTAAATTCTGATAGAAAAAGAGATATACCTCACAACTTTTATCCCAGACAAAAAACTTCTATTTAAAAAACATGACCTTGATTGCCTTTTTACCAAGGAGAACAGCATCACTAATGTGTGACTGTAATACACTCATAGGACACCTTCCTCGGCCCAGGAAGAGTAGATACATTTCTGTACGTCTTGAAAAAATCACTGTGCAAGGCAATTTGGTTTGTTTATGATAGGACTGAATTTGCACAGTACTTTTTATGTACAGACACAGATGTGTCTGTACATATTGCCATCACCTGCGTCTGTCGTCGCTGTCGCCGTCGCCGTCGTCGCCGTGCACTTTCCTTGTAAACACGATAAGTGGAAGGCAGTTTTACTTTTTGGCTTTATATTTACAGAGCTGATGAATATTCATAAAATGCAGGTCAAGTTCGAAAATCAGCATGATCGGGCCATTATTGTAGAAGTTATGCTGTTTTTTTTACTTTTCAGCATATATGCAACACTGTAAACACATTTCAAGGAAAACTGATAGGCCTGTTGTCATGAAACTCACAGGAGTAATAGATCTTACTAAAACGCAGGTCAAGTTCGAAAATCGGCATGATCAGGCCACTATTTTAGTAGTTATGCTTTTTTTTCACTTTTCAGCATATATGCAACACTGTAAACACAATACTAGAAAAACAGATAGGCCAATTGTCATTAAACTCACAGGAATGGTCAATCCTGCTAAAATGCAGGTTGAGTTCGAAAATCGGCATAATCAGGTCATTATTTAAGAAGTTAAGCTGTTTTTTTTACATTTCCTCAGATTCAATTCTTAGGCATGTTAACAGTTTCATTATTTAATTAATAAGATACATAAAAGTGTTTGTTTGACATTTCCTGCATCTTTACAACATTGTTAGTTGATTTTGTAAAAATGATGGTAATCTTGTTATCGTGTATTGTGTAATAAAGTTTAAAAAATGGAAATAAACTCATATCATTGCAGTTTGTCAGATTCAATCATTCACTATGTTCAGAATCTCAGAATGGAAGAAATTGGACATTTAACACTGCTCTTCTATTTTCTTAGTTGATCATATAAAAATGGCAGTAAACTGTTAATTTTGTTGTATTTTAAAAATTGTTAAAAATGGAAAAAAAAAAAACATTTCAGAACAGTGCTGTCTTGTTTACATTTTGGCATTTTCAAGTTGTGACTTTGAAGTTCCATGGGCCTGAAGACCTTTGCTAGTCACATTTTCTGAATATCCATAATACTAATATTTTATTATTAAAAATTGATGGTCATTATGCTGTAAAATATTATGTAATATTGCATCAAAATTTGAAAAAACCTATTTTGGGCACTGCTCCCATGATGACCATTTAAGAAAAACCATGTCACTTACTGTTCTCAAACTTACAGGAAAGAAACATGGGACTAAAATACAGCTTCAGTAGACAATGCAGTTTGTTAGGTAATTCTTACTGCCAGTTAAACATTTTTATGTACAGACACAGATGTGTCTGTACATATTGCCATCACCTGCGTCTGTCGTCGCCGATGCCGATGCCGATGCCGTCGCCGATGCCGTGCACTTTCCTTGTAAACACGATAAGTGGAGGACAGTTTTACTTTTTGGCTTTATATTTACAGAGCTGATGAATATTCATAAAACGCAGGTCAAGTTCGAAAATCAGCATGAACAGGCCATTATTGTAGAAGTTATGCTGTTTTTTCTTTTTTCAGCATATTTTTTTGTGAAAATTAAATTTTTCACATATTGGCATTTTCAAGGTGTGACTTTGAAGTTCCACGGGCTTGAAGACCCATGCTAGTCACATTTTCTGAAAATCCATGATATGTATGTTTTATTATTAAAAATTGATGGTCATTATGCTGTTAACCATTATGTAATATTGCATCAGATTAGAAGAAAACGCAATTTTGGGTGCCTCTGCCATGATGACCATTATGGGAAAACCATGTTACTTATGATTGCCAACTTTCAAAAATGAAATACAGGACTAAAATGCAACCTGAGTTGGAAAAGCGGTCTAATTGGCTTCTTTTCCTGGAAGTTATACATTTTCAAAGTGTAAACTTGAACTCCCATGGGCCTGAAGCCTTATGCTTGTTACACATTGGTATTACCTGTTGAGCATAATTAAAATTTGATGTTGAATTTGCAGTTAACATAATGTTCTTATGCATCAGAATTGACAGTAGCCTATTTTGTGCATAGTTATTTCCTGTTTTTTGTCTGTACATTTGACAGCTTTGCTGCCTTGTTTATGTCATCCATTACAGATGGCAAGAAACGACACTGCTTTATGAGGCAAACAGTCTTGATTCAATACCATAACATTATGTTTTTGTGGAAGATGTCAATAGAACAACTGATACTCTATGTGAGTTGGACCTTCTGTAATATCTTTATTATTATTGCTGATAACCACTTACTATAACTAAGAAATACTAGCCAAAATACATACTTTGCTAATGGTGAAAGTACAGTTCTCGAAATGAAGTTGTAACTTGTATAGAGAAGACAATTCTTCCTGTTTTACACAAAGTTTGGTCGATTTAAATATTATATAGAAATAAAAAAGACAAAATTAGGATATATACGCATATGTCTTACTAGATGGACTATATGACAGATTACCATTCATGTTTTATAGTGTTACAACATAGCTTTTCTTTATAAGCCATAAAGAAGTCCCTTTGATTATTATTAAAATGTTTATGGTCATCAAATCTCAAGTATTGATATGATACCAGTGTATGGTGTCTGATAGCTAAATTGCACATTTTAATATTTCTTGCTGTAGTTCTCTTAAAAGAAATGTGAGATTCATAGTTCATCACGTACAGAAAATCTTACTTTCAAGTCACATTTAATTTTATAATAATAAGAATAACACACAGGTCATATTTATAAACTAAACCAAGAAATATTTTGAGTATCTAAGCCTACTCTTTGATCCTACCTATGGTGCAAACAGTAGAGATGAAAATGCATGCATTTTGAAATGCTTCTAAATATTTAATTTTTAGGAACCTTGAAATATTTAGAAGATTTTTGTAATTCTCACATGCAAACAACATTGACAAAGTGATGTCAGATAAACTAAATCAGTGATATAATGCAATATATATATATATATATATATATATATATATATATATATACAGATTAAGACATGAATAAATAATATGTCACAACACAATATATTAATGCTTTTTACCTATAAAAATTAATTATCATATCTACATGTATGGGTTTTAATTAGTGGTACTGCATGAAGTAACTATTTGTAAATTCTTGGTTGACAACCTTAGGAAACAGATTCTTCAGTTTCATAGGATCTGAAGACCCATCATAATTATTATACCTCATTAAATTAGGATGAACATGTTTGTGACAGTCAGATGTTGCTGACACTGTGTTCATTTCTGGAAAATAATGGAGCTCATTACAATAATCAACTTTTCCTTCATCAAATTTTGGGACAAAATTGGGATCTTCTGTCAGAAAAGTTTGTTTTCCATCCCAATCTTTGGTTGAGTTGTAGAACTGTGAGGCTTTCCTTGAATCGTAAAGCATGTGTCCTTGATAAGATGTCCTTTGTTTTACAGTACGACTGTCATCAGCATTCTTACAATGACTTCCAAATGGGATGTTTCTGTTCTCTCTAAAAGAGTTACTTGTGTGTTTCAATTTTTCATGTAAAGATTGGCACGCATATGTATCACATTGTGGAAGATTTTGTTGAACCACTCCTGTATTTGAATAAGAAACTTGCATTTGTTTAGCCGAGGGAATAACAGCGGGGTTGGCTGAAGAGCCCTTCATAAGGTCAGGACTTGCAGCTCCATTGCCTGGTGGCCCCATGTTGTAATTGCTTCCATTTTCTTGATTTTGCCTCAATGTTGATGGCATTTGGTGATTTTGTGCACCATCAGAGCTGCAGGATGGTCCCTGAATGAAACGGTTGGTTTCATTAAAGACTATAGGTAGAGGAGTAGAGAGGGCATTGCACAAAAGAGGCATTCTCTTGATGATCAATCTTTTTTTAACAGAGTCTGAATTTTGGCCTTCCTCACTCATAACTTCAGTGAAATTATCCTGATTATTCTTGAGAACGTTTGATCGTGGTAATGCTGTGCTTGGATACATTTTATCCCTTTGTTCCCAAAGATTTGTTTCACTGTTTGTTGCATCTTGACTTTGCCATTGCTGGTGCTGCCCACTACTGGCTGTCAACTCTCCATTCAACTTTTGAAGTAGTTTTGTTGTCAGTTTTTTTCTCAAGTCACTGCCCTGAGACACTGCTGATCCAAACTTTTTTCCATGGAAATTGGATGGAAGACCTTGGTCATTATCCCTGTTAATTAGATTTTGTTGTCTTTCATCACTTTGTAATGTCCTTCGGTCTTGAAATGGATTACCACCAGTCGAAAGAAAACCTGTGCTCACTGATTCTTCCAATTCCACCAGAAAGCCACCATTGTTCTTCTTTCCATACATACAAGGAGATGGTTTTATATCTGAGGCTTGTGTAGTATTTTGTTGGTTTTGTTCATTCTTGTGAACAATCTCTGGTATGGCAGCTCTATTAGGGAAAACAAAATAAAGATTTTACTTTTGATCAAACTGTTCCAAAAAAGTAGAAATGTAACATTTAGTTTCATGCTTCAATTTTATAAGAAAATATTTCTAAACAATGTAAAATGGAGATTAGAGAAAATTATTTGATGACCTTTGAAGATGTGGTGTCAAGGGAAATTTTAGGATAGCGCATGGAATTGTAATATTATAATGGTATGTTTTAATATTAAAATATTTTAATATATAATAAAGATATTTTGAAGAACCATTTAAAAGTAGGAGACTTCACTAAGGAGAAGGGTCAAAATTATGTATTATTGCATGCCAATAATCATCAAGGAGAAAATTATATTTTATTCATTATAAGCAGCCATGTGTTTCTCTGTACTCATTCCCTTTTTGCACCAATCAATATTTTCAAAATATACGTCCATACACAAGTAATTACCTGTCCTCTTTCATTTCAATATCTCTACACTGTTCAGGTAGAGGTTCACTCACACTAGTGGCTTGGTGTTGACCTTGAAGGTGCTGGTAATCTGTGTCTGCAAGTATAAAAACATGTGGCTTAGGGACCATTCCCAGACCCTATTGTACTAACTGTGGATCGATCTATCTCCAAACGGATTTTTGCTAAAGAGCAGTCAACTGAAGTGGCTTAGATATCTGTCATGCATACTGAAGCTCTGCTAAGGGGAATTAATTATGGTTTAGCAGCTTTAGTAGGCATGCCAGACATCTAAGCCGCTTAAACTAAAAGCAATTTAGCAACAAACCCTTGAAGATGGGTCGATCCTGTTAGGTCAATCTTGATATGGAAACCCAGTCTTATTCAAGGTGCAGGTGCACTGTTGAACTGGATGAGAGCAGTTGTCAGATATCATCAGATATACGTACTCCAGACATGCTGAGTGCACTAGTGTCACAGTTGGTGCAAATCACTGTACTCAAGCTCTTAATTTTGCTTTTTCTCATGAATCACCTACCGGTATTAGTGCTAGAGTACTAGTAAATGTAAAAATACTTAAATGACCCCTTTATTTTGGCACACACGTTGCCATTTAACTGTAGGCCAGATCTGAGCCAGTTCATTCCTTGTTATAAATCATCAAAATAAGTGTTCCTAGAGCTCGGAGTTTGTCATTTATATTCATTTAAGTCTTTGCTGTGCATTTCTGATTCAGTTTCACACTGTGGGCATGATCATAAATTAAACCATAAAACTGTCATGTACGTACATATAAAGAACAAGCCAGCATATTTCATTGTTTTCCCCTATTTCATCTCTTAGTATATGATGATGAATGAAGTATACGGGTCACATAATGGTTGTGAATGAACAAATACGTAATAAAAACAAAAGCACACAGGTGCAGTTAAATCAGTGTACCTGAAAGGGGGGGGGGGTTTACTTGGTACTGTGCTAACTCAACTGTGGTTATGAGATAACTAGGATTTATTACCATATGAAGTCAGTCTTATCATTTAGTTATCCCTACCACCCTACTATAATGAGTTCATTTGCACCAAGCAGAGGTTTTGGTTATAATTATATCTGTTCACAGTCAGACGAAATAGCTTGTACAGTACTAAATTAGACCATTACAAATTGGACTGTAAACACACCTTGACGGCAGACATTCACTATTAAAAACAAATGATATCCCAAAACTGCACTTGAATCAAATCAAACTGTTCAATACAGAATATGAGATGGCGAATGTATTGGATGACTCTGGGTCCAAAGCATAGTCATACAATCAATTAATCTTAATCAGTCCGGTTCAGAACCAGTGGAATGAAATGTTGTGGAATTACTGTCCAAACAGTGGCATCCAATACCACAGACACTGGGTTCAGAATTATCCATATTAATATTCCCTGAACTATAAAAGTGGCATCGTTACCTGAATATTTGTATAAGCAATAAATGAAAGTACAGTACCTAGTAATTTCTGGGAATGTAGAGCATTTAGAGTCCGGAGGTCAGGGATCAGTTTCAATAGTTTTCCATGCAATGCTGAAAACAAACAAATATATATTGTAACTGCAAAGAAAATACAATGTATAATGAATAAAACTACTTTCTTTTTCATTTGTAGTCAACATTTTTGTATTCAACTGTACAATTTACTTGTTAATAATACATGCCTTGTGTTATTACAAAATTCCTGGTTATAAGGAACAATTTCAGGAATTTTTAATATCACATAATTATAGGGGGGGAGTTTTCTTTAAAAGTAAGTGAAGTCTTTCAATATGAACTGTGATTGTCTTCTATCATTATTCCATTGGAGAACAATTTTTGAACTATGAAATACTTAACATACAAAAATATTTTCCACATCTAACCTTTTTAAATTTTGGTTGGCATGTCCCAAATTGCTGCATGTATCAACTTGCTTTAAACCAACTTCGAAGTTATTAACTGTTATGCACAAACAGAGGTTCAACTACAGCGACAAAAGTTTCAGCTTCTGTTCTTTTCGTTATCAAATAATTTGACCAATCTCTACATCTATTTTAATAAAATAAGTTACTCCACAAATATGACTTTTAAAAAAATTACACAAGGTCCGTACCTTGGTCCTTGGGGTGATTTAGCAGTAATATGGTGTGCAGTTCACAGCTTATTCTATTTTGAATGGCATCAATCATATCTGGGTTTCTCAAGCCAGGGTGATCTGTAACATTAAGTTTATATTACTGTCATACCTGCACTATACTAGTTTAAAAGAACATTCACCTTTTTTTTAATCCAAGAGTCATTTTGGCAATAAATTTACACAGCAGTAAAAATGTCTACAGCATAATGTTGTGAGGTTTGTAATGAATATGTAATAATGGGCACAAATTTAATGGTTGTTTTAGCTGCATGTAGTTGTACCACCAGCGTAGGCGCTGNAAATCAGTCTAATCATTTAGTTATCCCTACCACCCTACTATAATGAGTTCATTTGCACCAAGCAGAGGTTTTGGTTATAATTATATCTGTTCACAGTCAGATGAAATAGCTTGTACAGTACTAAATTAGACCATTACAAATTGGACTGTAAACACACCTTGAAGGCAGACATTCACTATTAAAAACAAATGATATCCCAAAACTGCACTTGAATCAAATCAAACTGTTCGATACAGAATATGAGATGGTGAATGTATTGGATGACTCTGGGTCCAAAGCATAGTCATACAATCAATTAATCTTAATCAGTCAGGTTCAGAACCAGTGGAATGAAATGTTGTGGAATTACTGTCCAAACAGTGGCATCCAATACCACAGACACTGGGTTCAGAATTATCCATATTAATATTCCCTGAACTATTAAAGTGGCATAGTTACCTGAATATTTGTATAAGCAATAAATGAAAGTACAGTACCTAGTAATTTCTGGGAATGTAGAGCATTTAAAGTCCGGAGGTCAGGGATCAGTTTCAATAGTTTCCCATGCAATGCTGAAAACAAACAAATATATATTGTAACTGCAAAGAAAATACAATGTACAATGAATAAAACTACTTTCTTTTTCATTTGTAGTCAACATTTTTGTATTCAATTGTACAATTTACTTGTTAATAATACATGCCTTGTGTTATTACAAAATTCCTGGTTATAAGGAACAATTTCAGGAATTTTTAATATCACATAATTATAGGGGGGGGTTCTTTAAAAGTAAGTGAAGTCTTTCAATATGAACTGTGATTGTCTTCTATCATTATTCCATTGGAGAACAATTTTTGAACTATGAAATACTTAACGTACAAAAATATTTTCCACATCTAACCTTTTTAAATTTTGGTTGGCATGTCCCAAATTGCTGCATGTATCACCTTGCTTTAAACCAACTCCAAAGTTATTAACTGTTATGCACAAACAGAGGTTCAACTACAGCGACAAAAGTTTCAGCTTCTGTTCTTTTCATTATCAAATAATTTGACCAATCTCTACATCTATTTTAATAAAATAAGTTACTCCACGAATATGACTTTAAAAAATTACACAAGGTCCGTACCTTGGTCCTTGGGGTGATTTAGCAGTAATATGGTGTGCAGTTCACAGCTTATTCTATTTTGAATGGCATCAATCATATCTGGGTTTCTCAAGCCAGGGTGATCTGTAACATTAAGTTTATATTACTGTCATACCTGCACTTTACTAGTTTAAAAGAACATTCACCTTTTTTTTAATCCAAGAGTCATTTTGGCAATAAATTTACACAGCAGTAAAAATGTCTACAGCATAATGTTGTGAGGTTTGTAATGAATATGTAATAATGGGCACATATTTAATGGTTGTTTTAGCTGCATGTAGTTGTACTGAGTTTTACCTGGGGCAGTTAGAACTAAAGCACACAGCATGGCTGTTTCTTCTCTTTTCAAGTTGAATCCATTTATTTGAGCAGCAAATGAAATCATAGAATCCATGAGAGATCCTTCTCTGTAACTCTGAAGTGATATGGAAAAATTAATTATCCCTGTGCTAAAGTTTTCTTCAATCACATCAATCTCATTAATCATAATAGCTGATGTATGGTCTTTTTATGGTAGATATTATACATTTTCTTTGTATCATTATACTGGCTTATATACATGTATGGTATATATTAATTTGACAAATAATTTGAGTGGCACAGTGATTATTTAGCCAAAACAAACAGCAGACTTAGATTCAATGACTGCAGATATTTTATCTCTTTTTTAAAAAAACATTTAAATAAATTCATTACCTTCCTACTGTCCATTCTATAACACTGGCCAGCAGCAGTAATTGTTGATTTGGAATCCGTATCAAATAGTTGACTAAACTGGAGGAGAAGAACCTCAAAAACAGCTCCCTTGAATAAAAATACTATTATCAATAATTATCATTTATTAATAATATGCATATATGCTAATATTTCAATTGCCATATGATTTTCAAATGACTTTTTGAAATCAGTGGGGTCTCCAAAAATTAAAAATTAATTTCTCTTTACCTTGTATAATAGGACACACAGCTATTAAAGAAATATAGCTTAAGAACCCTTTTACACTGAGTGTTCTAAGTCGAGAATACACTGTACAAGTAGATCATGAAAGGTTCTTTCGTGTTCATTAATTACTTCAAGTGGCTNTAGTTGTACTGAGTTTTACCTGGGGCAGTTAGAACTAAAGCACACAGCATGGCTGTTTCTTCTCTTTTCAAGTTGAATCCATTTATTTGAGCAGCAAATGAAATCATAGAATCCATGAGAGATCCTTCTCTGTAACTCTGAAGTGATATGGAAAAATTAATTATCCCTGTGCTAAAGTTTTCTTCAATCACATCAATCTCATTAATCATAATAGCTGATGTATGGTCTTTTTATGGTAGATATTATACATTTTCTTTGTATCATTATACTGGCTTATATACATGTATGGTATATATTAATTTGACAAATAATTTGAGTTGCACAGTGATTATTTAGCCAAAACAAACAGCAGACTTAGATTCAATGACTGCAGATATTTTATCTCTTTTTTAAAAAAACATTTAAATAAATTCATTACCTTCCTACTGTCCATTCTATAACACTGGCCAGCAGCAGTAATTGTTGATTTGGAATCCGTATCAAATAGTTGACTAAACTGGAGGAGAAGAACCTCAAAAACAGCTCCCTTGAATAAAAATACTATTATCAATAATTATCATTTATTAATAATATGCATATATGCTAATATTTCAATTGCCATATGATTTTCAAATGACTTTTTGAAATCAGTGGGGTCTCCAAAAATTAAAAATTAATTTCTCTTTACCTTGTATAATAGGACACACAGCTATTAAAGAAATATAGCTTAAGAACCCTTTTACACTGAGTGTTCTAAGTCGAGAATACACTGTACAAGTAGATCATGAAAGGTTCTTTCATGTTCATTAATTACTTCAAGTGGCTTAACCCTTTTTCACAAGTTCACTTTTTTCATGTTAAGTCAGAAGTTATTTAATTAATGGCATAATGAAGCATGGGGACATTTCACTTACCTTTAAAAGGGTAATCTGATCTTCAACACAAAGGAGTAAAAATCCAGGTATTTTCTTAGCAAATTCCACCACAATTTGTATTGAAGTTGTGAACAGTTCCATTTTATCATTATTGTTTTGTCCAGATTTATTTATCTCAATATTGTGTCCATTATTTATCATGTGCGCTCTTGTCGAGTGCAGTGGGCATACCTGAAATGATAAAAAATTAATTTCTTTAAATTCAAAAATGCCTGCCATTATTTTACTGTGTAAGTGGCATTGCATATCAGTATCTGAGGGATGTGGGAGTTGGCATATTGAAATTTTCAGGAAAATAAAATTAAAAGATCTAATTACACCCAAGGTGCCACTTTAAAGATCCAAATAACTCAAACATTTCACTAGAACTTTGTCTCTGACTAAATCTTCACCTGATAGACAAATAAATTAAAGGAAATTTCCATTACCCTTTTCTGAACACAGTCAACAAAGGGCAGGTTTTTATTTGGCATGTCTTTCCCCTCTTGGACCATATGACCAATGGTGGCACAGGACATTGTCCGATACGCATCCAACACCAGCTTAGAAAAACTGATGTCCATCTCCAGCAATTTTGCCAACTCCCCACTTGTTGACTGAGACTTCAATTTCTGCATTTGTTCTTGGATTTTAGCCTTTTCCTTTTTGGGAACTCTACCAAATCGTACAGCTGGAAAAAAATTTAATTATTTAAAAACCAAATAAACAAAATTAATTTAAATCATCATAATTTATATTCACTGAAATAAATATTATAAGTTTTCACTATTTAAGCAAGCATTTCAAAGAAATGCAATGGCACAGCATTTTATATCACCTCCATATTTTGTACGTAGTATGTAAATGAATTAATGAAGCAAATTGACAATACCGTATACAGGCTGATCAATATTTGGCCACCTAAGGCCACTTGTATTAACAACAAACTGAAATGAGAATTATCAGGAAATTTTACTGGAGCTACTTGGCCGTGAAATAAAATGTAAATCTGCAATTGATTGCCTGGAGTACTGAAATAGGTTGTGTGTCCTTGGGGGAGCAGACAAGGTTAATGATAGCCCTGCTAGGTCACCAAGTCAATGTACCTTCAACCTTGACTACACTACGTATGAATATCACACGTTTAACCTCAATATGCAGCTGCTAAAAATGTACCGTAAAAGGGGTATTTATGGAATGATGCTGATGATGTTTGTCATGTAATATATACACCTGCGCAGAAATTGCTTCTGTTTTCTGACCTACCTCTATTAGTATATACTTGATACTAGAAAAGAATTACTGTTATTTTTGGTATCTTTGCAATCCCCCAAAGAATTGTTTGTTAATAATAACTTTAATGATAAATAACATCATAATATCTAATAACATCATAATATTTAAGATAATTAATCTTATTGAATATAATATATCTATTTTAATTCTTAAGGTCATGATATTAAACACAGGCAATAATTTGTTACAATAATGCAAGAGTAATTTTCCAAAACAGTTTTTAGTGTGGTTATATTATAAAAACAATTGACCAAATCTCAAAGAACCAATATACGGTTTTGAATATTTGTAGTACAATGTGATTTGGGATGAAAGAGATATAAATAAAGTTCAATATAGAAGCTGTGCATGTGTAAGTAACTGTGTGTGTGTGTGTGTGTATGAGAGAGAGAGAGATAGTAAGCATGCAGGAGTTACATACTTTCATTTACTGCTCTTATCATGATGTTCCAATTTTAAAATATTCTGAATATTGGTTAAACAAACATTTTTTAAACTTCAGGGATCATAAAATTGGAACTCTCCCCACTATACATCTGATGTACTGTGTATACTACTGTACAGCACCCACTGTAGCACATGTTTAAATAAGTATTTTAATTTTAAAAAACACTCTAAGGGTGAATTGTTCTATAATTTTCTGACAGACTAATTTTAAGCCTAATAATCCCTCATTCCTCATTTGACAAGCATTCAGTATTTCATGTTCTCTCTCATTTTGAACTTTTTATAAACCAAAAGCATTTTTTGGATCAGATGCATAATTTTGAACTTAGTACAGTCATTTCAGTGCATATGAAATGCAGGAAACATACCAATCATGAATATTTACAGTGCACTTCAAATGAAGCAATTTCAGTGTTAAGTCCTCCTTCTTTGTCTGATCTTTTCCAAAACCTGCACTTTAAATTCACACCTTAAACTGTTGCATGTTAAGGGCAACGTCCTTCTTAATGCTTAAAATGTAGCAGACTTTTCACCACATGAAAGCCATTACTCTGGAGACTGATAAAAACCTTGAAAACTGAAAGGCATAACCAGGTCAATAACCTAGCCTGTCCTTGTGACCCAAGGCTAGTTAGGTGCAGCGTTTTCCCCATGAGGAATTGTTCTTCAAACATCTGACGTCACATATGGCCTTTTTTAGAAATGTTGTGAAAATTCCTGAAATGTCAAACTTTTACTTCATTTTATTAATGAACTAAACTGTTTCCCAAGATACACAACAATCAAGTATTTTTGTTTAAAATCAAATATGTCAGATGCATAATTAGCCTGCATCTTCAGCTTTTTTTACTTTGCATGTTCTTTCAGAATCAAGGTGCAAGGTAAAATATGTAAATCAATTTTGTATCATTTTGGTTGAGTCTGCTTTTCAAAATTCATTTTTACTGTCAGCAATTTTTTTCAACAGTGAATCCTTATCCTTACCCATTGTAACAGGTGTGAGTTTTTTTTAGACAGAACAAAATTAAAATCACTTTTAGAGAATGCTGTCGCTTTCTTGGTCTCCTGATGACAGTTTTTAAAAATTTCTTTAAAACCTGTTCACAACTTTTCCATAAAAAATCCATAATGCTGTAACAGAAAAACAGACAAATGGACAAAAAGACAACCCAAACCAAAAAACTCTTTGTCCATGGTAATAAGAAAACAAAATTATACAAAGACTGCTTATCTTGCATAATTTTCAAACTTCAGGATGGGGTATCCTAAGAATTTTTTTCTTTTTTATAATTAAAATAAAAAAAGCACTCACCATCTCGCGACATGCCCGATGCGATACATTTCTTTAGTCTGAAATATATCAGAAATAAAGTAAATTAACAAACTGCATTTAAGACACAAACTTAGATCTCACCCTACACTGGGTTAGGAAAAGGAAATCATGCCACACTATTCCTGTGCTATTCTGAGTGCCTATGACTTCAAATCAATGCGTTAAAACCGGAATTCGGTAGTCATGCCTGACTTACTTATGTATAATTAAAAACAATCAGAAAAGAGATAATTTTTTTAAGAAAAAAGAAAATAACTTTTTTAGAAAAAAATTTTGCGTGAGCATGCAATCTCCAAGTTTAAGATTCTACATGTACTCTCGGTACATATATTGTGCGCTAGCTTTTTTATTAGTATACGAACGATAACGGAGAGCGAATGCTCGTTCCTCTATTTCTCTCTCTCTCTCATTATCTCTCCTAACTGACTTAATCGTATCCTTAGAACACAAACCTTATGTACCAACCTGCAATATTGGCATCTATTTCGATTCACCCTAGTAATGTTGCACTGTTGGTTCCTGACGCACGGCCGATACTTCAACTTCTGCTGGATACTCCGCCGAAAGAAGCCCTGATATTATTATTAATAAATTTAAAAGGTTAATTGGGCTACGTGTATAAGCCATGCAGAAAGTTTGTTGCAGTTTATTTTCTGCACAAAACTTCCACGAAATACATAGAAAAATTGGATTCATTGATCGGATCATGTGAAAACTTGATCTAACCACCATGTGCTCTCTGTTGTTTGTAAAACGATTTTCATATAAACTGAATGCTTGCATAGCCTTATGAATAAAATAGTCATTCAATTTTACAACATATTCAACAAAGTGAAGATTTTCGATTAGAATTCACAGGTGCATTACTGACACTGGCAAAAACTTAACAACTATATATATATATATGAAACGGGCCGTCACATTGTCGAAATAAATTCATTGTAGGCCTACTTCTTACCTTGCATCCTTCGCAGGCATGGACACCATAGTGATAACCGCTAGCTTTATCTCCACACACACGGCACAATACTTCCTCTCCGTCAAATTCTATACACAAAATACGTATCTTTTTCTAAACAGATCACTACTCATATTGTAAAATAAATTTTAAAAACACAATATTTAAAGCAAATCCGATGAGTGGATTTTCGCCGCTGAGCTGTCAGAGTACGATCAAATATACTTCGATTTTAGTACTTGTAAATTTTCAATCTTTTAAACACAAATCATTGTTAATATGTACTTCCTAAAGAATGAACTAAAATTAGGTTAAGCCGGTCTTCAATTATAGAGGAATTTCTTTTTTCTTTTCAGAACCGTCATTTGACCACATATTTCTATTGGTCTGCTATTTTAAGCTTTTTGTCGTTTCATAACTTAACTTGCAGATTGCTTTTACAATAAGCGTAAATAGTATGTAGGCCTATGTGGTGAATACATCAAGAAACCACAAAACCACCACAAAAAACTCTTAATGATTCTGTTTGCCAAAACTTCTTGAACTTCTTGAGTTAGACTGTCAACTGACTAGTCAGCAAAATATGACCTACATGTTGAAGGTAATTATAACTTTTTTTGTGTGTGTGTGTGTGTGTGTGTGTGACAAAAAGAAATAAAAAACAGCAGTTATTTTACCCCGACCGGTTTCATCGCATCTTCAGGGGGTTTATATATATATATATATATATATATATATATATATATATATATATATATATATATATATATATATATATATATATATTTTTTTTTTTTTTCTTTTTTTTTTAACGCATGAATGTTGCACAATTAATTATTAAAACGAACATGCATAGTCTTATTGCCCGTTGACTGCATGTTCTATTACACGTTGCTGACACGTTAAAAATCTCTGGCGTATTCAAATATATATAAAGAAGACACTCACCTAATCCGTCCAAATTATTGCTATCCATCATAATTAATGCGTCTTTGTCTCTGAAAGTATGAAAGGTTGTTAGATATGAAACTTAATGGCCATTTACGTCCAGGAACTCGTCATATCTTTGTCTTAATGTTTGGACAAAATCAAATGAAACACTACTGCGAATTCATTTTTGTCTTGTTGCAGGACTACTAGTTCATATCTTCCCCTGCGGATTCCCAACCGAGATATGGTCACCTCAGTATACCAATATACTCAATCCTTTATAGCTGAGTAATTTAACTGTTTATGAGAATACCCCAAAGCTGATACATCATTATCACCAAAGTAAGAGTCAAGGTAAGTAACGGTGAGTTAAAGGTTCGTGTATTTTCCACGGTTTTGATCAGGTCGCCAAAATAAATTTCATTTTGATTCTTATTTTACAAAAGCAAAAACAGGCAATGATTAAAAATATCTAAATCCAGGGTTCAAATATAACTTTTGTTTGAAAAGAGGCTTTTGCTTTTTAATTTAAGCAAGCGCTTATTTTTAACGTATTTTGAAACAAATTATAATATTATGTGCACTCTCCATATGACTGTCTGTATTTCAGCATTATAATTTAGTATTATATTTTATTTGATAATTTAACTAATGTAAATAATTTTGCATTGAGAAATATTCATCGATGAAACGACACCATGAATAAAAGGTTCTTTGCCTCTGACGTCAGTTACAGAGTTTAGGGGATTTTCTAACCTCTCGCCTTCAGCTAAAATTAAAGGTATCCTATCCGTGATTTTTAAGACAAATGTAACTAAATCTTTCTGAAAACCACCTTCAGGCTTTAACACTTTTAATGTGGCCACCTAGGAATCTAGATGACGCAAGAAGGAAACCGAAATAATATGACGAATTTATGAAAGAGAAATTCGTGATGTTTTAAGTTATTTCAGTATGCTACTTGATCTTATAATGAACCCAAAGACTACACCCTCCTGCGCCTCTAGCACATCGTCCGAATAATAAATAATATCTCTTTCACCTTTGGCTTAATCATTCAATTTATTTCAAGCTAATGTACTTTTTTCGCACGTTTTGTTATGCTTACTGTTTGCGGGGATTTGGGGGGGGGGGGCATCTGATTTTATACGTGACAAAATAGTGCGATAATTTCGTTTTTTTTTAGTTTTGGTATTCGCAAACTACCCTGTGAGCTATAATCTGTACCACGTATTTTTGCTGTTGTGTTCACATGATAAAGCAACCAGACGTTTATAGATTTGTTAAAAGATTTACAAAAACATCTAAAAATAAAGGCGCAATTTTCGCATTTAATCCGCGGGCTAAAATGTAATTAATATTGATGTGTCAATCATTTCATGTTTACTTTTCGAATGCCGCGACCAAAATACATGTGAAGTCTGTTCGTTGAGGTAGGTGTGTGTGTGTGTGTGTGTGTGTGTGCGTGTGCACTTTTTATTTTGAAACTATAAAAAATCCCGAATGTCAGCAGAATGAAGTGGCTTTGTTCGACCTCAATTTACTTCGACGATAATTCCCAGAGTTTCTTTCTTCAATATAATAATAATAATAATAATAATAATAATAATAATAATAATAATAATTACATTCATCATATCTGTATAGGCCTACATGTATTTATTTATTTATTTATTTATTTATTTATTTATTTATTTATTTATTATAATTTTATCATTAATATTATTATCATTATTTAGTTTATTATTTGTTCTTCAATGTATGTATTTATTTATCTGTTCACTTATTCATTTATTTTAATTAATTCATTAATCAATTTGTTCTTTTGTTTGACCGAGACCCTCGTGTTAAAAAGTATGAAATTCAAATCGGAAAGACCATTAAACAAGTAAAGCACATATAAATTAAATCCAAAGAGAGAGATTACTACTGTATATTAATAGTATAAAAAATGACGCGATTCTGCATGCGGGTACACTGTTGCGAGTCATTCGGTTCAAAGCCTATTTTAAAACAGAGGTTGTAAAACAAATACTCACTGAATCACACAAAAACTAATCTTCACGTCATAAACAAACGTCGACAAATGATAGCAGGCAAACAAAGCCCGTTTGTAAATATACGTTATGAAGCAATCTAATATATACATGTACAGACTTGACATTTTATATGGAATATTTTTGTCAAACTCATTTTTCATAAATTGTTTCCTATTTTGCTGACTGATCAAAGAAAATAAGGATGAACTCGTATTTTAATAACTTTTAATAATCTATTTGATGCCATTGTGACATCAGTTTATTAATTGAATTCGCCAGGTAGCTGCACATTCCCTTGGTTCTGGAAGTAATCTGCTTGTGCTCTGTGTGAACTGACAATCTCATCGTGCAACTTACATTTGTTCGTAAGGTGCCCTCTATCAAATGATGGTCAAGTGGTTCCCAGATTATTCCTTAGTTTGATGTGGTTCAGGTTTTCATCGTTATTTGGACTGGATACTACATTTGGCACCAATGTGGCATCCACTCCAAATACTGACGCTGTCAGTGACCCTATAGTCACTTTAGACGCGGCACACGCTTCGTCGTATGCCTCTTTAGGATGTCTGTAAACTCTGGTTTGACAAGTTGAGCGGTACAGGTGAAACCTGACCTTAAGAAAGAAATCCACACAGTTTCATTGCTCTACCCAGGAACGGTCATGTCACCAATTCATTAGAGAAACAGACGACAATATTTTACTGTTTACAGAGGTCGTCTCGTACTCTAACCTGCTAAAACCAGCTTCTGATATGTGTGTAGGACTAAGTGGTAAATGTCAGATTACTAATTACAATATTTACACTATTAACACCAAACCCTTATATGTTCAATTTTATCTGCGCTGCATTTAAATTTTGTAGATATATGATATAACTGATTTCTAAAAATTTTCTAATCGTGCCAGTCTGTAAGATAAAATATCTGGGAAAATATTCAAAAACTCCCTTCATCCATGTATATTTCAATCCGTTTAACAAATTCTATTATACTTATTGGTGATGGATCCTTGTTAATTATAATGTAGTGAAAACACTCACACACAAATACCGCTTTATCTGTCGTTCTAAAAATAAATAGGCTTACCCCTGTGTATAACCGTAAACAAAAAACCTTGAATGGTGTTAAAATGCAGGTTTATCTGCAATTCTTTTCCAATGCGCGACTGTCTACAAAGACTACAAACTAAGCTGTATTGCATCTTTAATACATGTAAAATGGCAACTAACCTAAAATTCGTCGATCAACGAACAAAGGTCCTCCGAATATAGGTTCACAAGCTGCTCCGAGTTAACTTAGTCTTTGGAGCGATAACTTCTTTTCTCCTGTCCTAGATAGTAGATAATCCAGGTAATTTACGAAAAAAATGCCCTTTGTGTCGAATGTTCATTTCCCGGAATTCAGCTTCCAAACCATCAGATCTTTAAAGGTTATATAAGCTATATCCTGTACCCATGTACTATGGTAAATAACGCCGTTATGTGGTACAGTAGACTACATGTATTCCGGTTGAGGGTTGCTAAACGCCGCGAGTTTCGGGACCATTCTCGTTTTGTATCCTACTAAGCAAGTCTAATTAAGTGTTAAAGCTGGTTCTACCCCTCTCGTGCCCCATTGCAGTTCATTTCGGTTTCATGTACTCTTACAGTGGGTTTATTTTTTCTCTTTTTTCATTAACCAATCAAGCTTCAGTTTCTACCGTTCAGTGTCAGACTTAAGGTCGGTCATTACCCCAGTGGCCTAGTGACCTCGTTTTTTCAGGCCATATCGATTTGAGGGTCACGTATTTTCCTTCTCTTGCAGTTGGGCTACGTGCAGTCTTCATCTGGCTGCTCAGCAGACACCTCGTCTTTACTAAAATTATATTGGGCGTTGAATCTCAACAAAATGGGATGTGTACTTTTAAATACAATAAGTACGTTTAAGTAAAATGTCTACTTTGCCAAAAGTGCCGTACAAGAAGTGTCAGAGCTTACTTAAAATAAAAAACATTTATAATGTCTTGGAATTTTTCTGGAATTTCTGTTGATAAAAGATTTGTTGGCCTGGTTTGTGGTCGGATTTTGTTTATCATTATGTATGTACGCACTTCTCGCCATACGTGTTCAAGGAAATGCCCACATTTTTTTCAGAAAATATGAAATGGGCGTTCACAAGAGGTTGTTTTAATCTGGAAACCGGTCCGATTGGAATCGGCAGACAGCGACAAAATTACAAAAAGTAAGTCTAATTAGGAATCTGTGAGGTGCGTCTGAATAGTCAAAATATTTCTTAAATATTTTGTTGAGAGGTTCATCAATTCCACGTTTCTTATAAGGACGAGACATAGTTTTGCCTTTTTCTTAAAGGAAAGACTAAGTGAAAACGCTTCTTGGACTTATTTTCCTTTTAAAAACTTAGTCAATTCCCAATTAGTTGGACCAATGAACCTTCAGTCCATTCTGTGTGCAATATGTGTAGACGCACCCGTATTGCCCCATCAAACTATCGTGCTCGCTGACTTCTTTTTGATTAACATATATCATTACATAACTTTAAAATAACATTACTCAAGTGCTCGTCAACTAGTAGTTTACTTGCGGTTCTTTTTTCAAATCTTTGAATCTTGATAAGCTAAAAGGGCAGACAGGTTACAGTGAACGTAAATTTCTACCAATGCGCAACTGTTGCACATCCGACTCGGTTAATAGTACTCGCCCTATCTAGGAAACAATTAAACAGGTATATATGTCTGATCCGGATACTCTGGGACCTACCTGTAGAGCTGCACGAGTTAATTCCGTATCTGTCACTCAGCATTCGCACAGCTATCGTAGTGTACTGGTACAGAACGCTTGCTGAACTTGTCCTCATACGTACATTATGTACTTATATGGCACTGTAACCCACTCAATTCGGAGAAATGGTCGCTCATCCGTGACCAACGTGACATTCCTAGGTGACCGAGTGCCGCGAGGCATTGAAATTCTGTTTTCTCTCAAAAACAAAATGAATAAAATAAAATAAGACACGTGCCTCGATTTATTTTGACAGAACGGCCAGCTTTAAGCTTTAAGAGAGACTACTGCATGCGATTTTAAATAAAAATGAAAGCTAGTCAGTTTACGCAGTTTATGGATTTCAACAACCGAATATTAAAAGAGTACGTGCTTAAAGGAAGCGTTAAAGCGTGCCTACCAGGTAGGGTTACACAGCGTTTGCTGGGCCCCAGTCGTCGGCCGTGGAGGAATGCCCATTTTAAACTATTTAACACAAATGTCAATATGGTAATAAATTACAAAAAATAGAGGCATTGCATCTAATTGTTAACAGATGGATGGAGTCGCCCAAGTCGTCCGGGGACTGAGACACCACCCACTTGACCCCGACTTGAACTCACCTGGTCCATATATGGGATGTCAGGTGAGAGTCTTTCAGGCTGTTCCTGGAAGAGCACAATGGATTCGTTGATTTGTTATGTGTATCAGGTTCTGACCTCAAAAAAGATCAAGGTTCGTGTGGTGTTGTTTGGTATAATGTTAACATAATATCACGCTATAAAGACGTACATAAGACCTAGATGTGGTTTCTAGCAAAAGCGCATTGGGTCTGCCAGGGGCCTTTTTCAGTTAGAAAAGGAGGGGGTTAACTATTTAAATATTGCAACAGGGTGTCGTGTCTGGTTTAAATACTGCATGATTTTCTGACGCTGACAAGGCCTTGCTGCTGCTTTTTTTCTCAACGAAATGTTCTTTGCAATGTTGTGCATAAGTTCATGTAATTAACTGCCTTTGTATTTTGTCCAAAAGAATCGTTTTTGTTTCTTCAGGGTTATAGGTCCCGCCAAATCATGCATAAACCGCATAAACCAGTTGACCATCGGCATGTGCACTCAAGATGGAGTCAAGAGGCTAGATTGATTGAAATGCATGTTATTACCACCACCACCAATAAAAGTTTTACATATTCAATGAGAATGACAAGCCATATGGTTTTTAACTATGACTTGTCATTCTCATTGAATATTTAGGGCCTATTGCTTTCGCTTTTATCTGCGCGGCGTTTCAAATTATGGAAACTTCAGATCGCGGTTGCACATACTGAAAAACGTTTGATCTATATCGATCCCTTATTTAATGTTAACTTTTTAGACATATTATATATTTGGTGGTCACGGCCACAGGGGGAGGTGGGCCTACATGTTTTGTTTACTCCCCTTTGGCCTTACCCCCTGCTGCCTGCCGGGGATGAAAAATGCTGCTGTGTCTGTCATGCCAACTTTAACGTCGGAGGAAAACATAGTCTAATGATCAAATTATTACGCTGTACACGGTTCATTTGCTTTTATCCAATTTTAAATGAAACTAACGTCAGCATGCTGATGCTCGTAAATGTAAGGTGGGCACAGAATGAGCGCGTCTTTCATTCGTAGCCCTCTAGTGGCAAATTGCAGGTGAAAGTGAGGTGAAACATACATCAAATGAGAAACCGGAAGCAGGAATAAAGATCAAGACAAAACTTCAACGATGTTTGAGGCAGCTGTGACCAAGTTTGTCAAATCAGTCGGACAGGGCTCCCTTTTACCAGTGCCTAGCTTAGACGAGGCTGAGAAATGTCGACCACTAGCTGTCGTTATCAAGAAGAAACGCCGGTGGTTTTGGCAATGTTCGAAATACGAACCAACTCCTTTCTTCCTACACGAACTTCTTACAGATGAAACCACACTTGGATTGAAATCAGAAACAAGGGACTTAGTTACATATAACAGAACTAGTAGATTTTCAGCGAAAGGTATTTTCAGCTTCTTATGTAGATGAGATCTGGAGTAGCGCTAACACTCGCCAATTTAGCCAAATGCTAAAACTGGCTAAAGAAAAAAGGCTTGATTTGGCTAATTTTAGTCAAATTATAACAAATTGGATAACATATGACAAAAAAAGTGGTGATTCGGCTAAGCGAAAAAAATTGCTGGCGCTACCCCAGGATATACAACTTCTGTACTCTCCATCTTCGCCCGCCAAAGCTGTCATTCAGAATAACCAACCTGGAACCACTTAATTGTCTACAGTAGAACTACAGCAAACCCATATTACTGGTAAAAACATTAGAGTGCCCGAGGACTATAATATGTGAGATTAACCTTATATTGCTAGTATAAGTATAACAGCCTTTACTCAAATTAATTCACAGGCAAAAATTCAGACATATAAATTACAATTTACAGTGTACTAAGTATATTGAAGAATCATATTTTTGACCATCTTTATAAGCATACATTAAATTCGCATACCAATGTGTAAGGTCCTTTTCACATGAAGCAGTATACATATACTTTAGTAATACAACTCAACATGTGTCAATACACACTGAGATGACATACATGTACCAGTACAGGTAGATGATATTATCAGCACCACATAGTGACTGGGATTTACTCATCTTCACAAGCCCACTTTTTCTGTTTGGGTGGATAAGTTGACCATGCTCAGTGTAGGGACTCATTTAGCTGCAAGACTATCTCAATTTTAACTAGATATTATAGTCCTCCAATGTGTATTCGTACAGTTCTGTTGCTTAAGTATACTGTACTGTACTGTGAAAAGGGGGGTGGTTTGGTTCGTTGAATGTTACCACTAGTGGATAATATTTTCCATGTGTTTTTTTTTTCTTTTTTAGGAAGCATTGGTGCCAAGTTAAAAGTATTGTTTGATGTAGAATTGAGCGGGTCAGACACAGTTCTTGTTGAGGCCAAATTTGGAGATGTAACCAAGGAAGAAGTGGACGTGCCAACTTTATTAGATGTTCTTAGCCATAGGTAGGAGTACTCACAGCCCGGTGTGACTGAATTGCGCAATACACCGCAACACAGTGCAATACAATCAGCTATTGCGATGTATTGCGGAATTCAGTCACACCCCTCACTGACTTATTCCGCTTACTGTGAATTTTTACTTGTAGTATATATGACCTGTGACCTTTTTAGAATATTATTTTAAGCCAAAAACTAAGTTTGGTGTTACTTAAAAACCACAATCAATTCATAGGTCTATTTGCAGATTTTGAGCAAAAAAAAGCTTTTGATGTATTTTGTTTTTAGTGAAACGTATCCTTTTATTATTGATATTATTATGGTTTTTTATTATTCAACAGGAACTTACAACTTGATCATGAGTTTATAAAGCAGGTTCAGGAAAATCCACGAAAAGTGCTCTGTGTGATCACTGGAACTGCCGTCACTACCAAGGATTGTACGATTCACTCACACATTGACTGGGATCTAAAAGACAAGCTTTCTGTAGACAAACTGAAGGTATGATGTGTAAACTAGATATGAATTAAATTATGTAATTTAATTGAATAGTGCCCCTGAATACAAATGGCTCTTTGACATCCCAAACAGTTGTTTTGCATTTTTGATGTGATCGATGTGAGATAGTTTAGTTCTGATTCTTTATATGCATTTAGTAACCAGCTAAATCTAGCTGTTAATGATGAAGGAGGCACATACTAGTAATTATTTTTTCATGTCACAATAATAGATTGTGCAGACAGCAAACCTTTATTATTCGTGAAAAATGCAATCTTAAATAAGTTTTTAACACACTCCATTGAAATCCTATTTAAGGCTGTTGATGCCAGTACTTCAGAAGATGTTTCCAGTGACGGAGACAAGATTTTCTCTCTTCCCGCCAATACACCGCTTGCTTACAATGTCACAGAGTTGAGAGTCAGCAGCACTGGGAAACTGGAACTGATGGTAGAGGAAGGCAAAAAAGGAGGGTTTGACACCGTTGATTCATCTGCCTATGAAGATATGGGCATAGGTATACTATTTATAATACTCATAAGTATAAAATTTAATTAACGGAATATTTTTAGTAGTAATAAAAATAATATTTTAATAAAAATTTGGAGATAATTTTCAGATGACTAGTTCTGTGTATAATTGATGATTTTCAGAAACTTTTCAAAATTGACACCTTGTACATCACTTTAGAAATTGATTGTTTATTGTGAGGAGTTAAGTTTTTGATCTTAGTCATCACTTATAGGCCAGACCATTTGCAGGTTAAAATAACATGATAGTAATAAGGTCTTTATTTGTGCTTAAGGGTTGCATTTCTGGACATAGTGAAAATGCAAGGAATGGCTAATATACTTGTTATCTGTAGGATATTAATGAATAAAGAAATCAAAAGAGGTAGTGCTAAATTTATTGAGGAAGCCAAGCAAGTTTTTTTATGTCTTTTTTTTCTGTGTCATTATTTTTCAAATTTTTAGTATTTTAATACTAAAACGACATATCTTATTTTAGATAAAGAAGCTGAACATCAACTCCAAGGCATCCGCGGCATGAGTGATGAGAGCAGAAAAACCTTTGTGGGAGCAGTTTTGGACATCTGTGATACACCTGTTACTATTGACCCCCTGCTAGTTTTGGTAAAAATCTTTTAAGTCATTTTTGGTAAAATCGTTATAGCCATCACCTGTGACTGTTGTCTTTGTCATGATCGTCATCACCGTGCACTTTCAGTGATAACATGAAAAGTGGAAAAAAATCGAGCTTTTGTATTCAAACTTACAGATCTGATGAATATTCATAAAATGTAAATTGAAACATATTCTAATTGAAATATTACTATTCACTTCACTTGATGATTTCTTATAATATACAATATTCCTGCAAATTTCTCTTTATCACGAAAAAGGTACACCACATGCAACATGCAATGTGAATAAATTATGATCTCTAAAGTTTTATTTTAGTTTCAAGAATCTCATTTTTTAGCCAGTCTAGTATTGGAGATGAAGACAAAAATAGAAATATAGAACTTGAAAACAGGTTCATCGATTTCTCAATTACAGATATATATATTGGATATACTGTACTGTTTAAGAAAGAATGTGAAAATTTCATTTTTTTATTCCTTTATGAATGGACAGCCATTGTTGTTTGCTTTCAAAATGTATAAGGGCAGCTGGACTTGTTATTCAGTGCATTTGTATGAAAAAAATGTTCAGACAGTTTCCAGGCTGAGTTAATTAGTATGGAAACTGAAATTGTAGCACTATTTGAAATGACAGCAGAAGAGAGATTTTCAGGGATGATATTTTTCAGACTATTTGTGAATTTCAGACTTTTGGGGAGCCAAAAATGTCATTTTTAATATCAGTGAAGACCTGTCTGAGCCCCACACCATATTTTCAGACTTTTTCACAAAATGGCAGTCTCAACCCTGGATTTTTCAAAAGTAGAATTGTTTTTACTGATGGTTTATTATCATCTTCAGCTATTATCAAAATTTCTTTCTTTTTACAAAGATGTTAAATCATAAGGCAAAATAACTGATTGTGGTGTTTCAGTTCATTTTTATCAAAAGGAAACCGATCAGCTTTTATTCCTTGTTATCATATCTTACTTATTATGGCATACCTCTCATACATTACTTTTTCTTTTACTTTAAGATTAAACAAGCACACAAGGCTGCCTCGGCTAACACAGAGAAGTTTATCACTGTGGACAAACTGAGGAATACTGTTGGACAAAGTGATGCGGTTGTTTCCCTTTTGAAACAGATAGGCTTCACATTCAGGGTTTGTTGAATTTTATGAACTAGATAATATCACACATAGTACTTGATAAGTACGTGATAAGCTTCTTCTATATATTTATTTTGGAGATTAAGGGATAATGAAGTTATCCAACATGAAACAATTTAAAATTAATCTTCAAAGACTATGGCTCATTGCATTATTGTATTTCTACAGTAGATGTATCCTTTCTTCTCACAGACTGCAAATCAATTGAATTGATCGTATTTCATGTAATTGTAGGTCTTAAAATGATGTTATTTATTTTTTAATATAACCACCTTTAAAATATGTATAAAATTTAAAAAACAAATAAGATAAAATAAGATGAAATAAAATATAATATATAGATTACATAGAATATTTTTAAAAATTAATTAAAAAGCTTTTAAAAGTAGTCCCACAAGTTTATATTCCTCAGATTGTCTGTTTTGATATGTGGGACTATTGACTGAAATATAATATTGATATTACCAATTATCAAATATCAATATTTTCTTCTGTATCTTTTTAGGATGACGATGTTGTTTACCCTAAAGCATCTCCTTTGTTGGATGCCACAAGGGTTCTGTTTGAGGCCTTGATAGAACTGGACGGAGAGGAAATATTGGACTTCAGAGAGTGCAACTCCAATTTAGCAAAACCTCTTTTGCATGTAGTAAGTTAAAGGCTGTTTCCACATCATACATGTATATAGGTATCGCAACACTATGACTTATGCCTAATGATTTACATGTGTCTGTTAATTTTATGCATGCATCTTTTCATCTTAGGGCTCATTCCCATTGAAACTATCGGTCCACAGGGACTCCTGCTGAGTGCAATCAGTTTAACAGTCTAACACTTCCCTCTTGTTTCCATCATACTTATAATCACCAGCTTTTCTGTGTTTCACTAAGTGAGGAGTAGGCCTGTTGATCTGTTAAACTGATTGCATTTGGTGAGAATCCCCACGGAGTAAGATCAGTCTATGTAGACGGATAGGTTCAGTTGGAATTAACCCTAAGTTTCTTCTCTTAGGCCCATTCTTAGATTAACATTGAGTAGTATACAATCTGAACTGGTGTACACCTTTTGAGACAATGATAGCTTAAAATCATGGTCATATTGTAAAGATTCAGAGCTTCCTGAATGAAACCTGTTTGCTATAACAAATAAAGTTAGTCCTATTTATATACAAACGCATTTAAAAAACTTTAAGGTTTTTCACTTACAGTGGACCTCTATACTGACCTTTAATTGTTAGAATAAAAAAAACAGTGATTTTACTCATCTTCCAGCTTAACCAGGCGCTGCATGGCCGCGATGTTCCCCTGGATGACATCAAAGCTCTGTACACTGACAGGAATCCAGCACAGTCTTTTCTGAATGAAATGGATTTCCATATTAAAGGTCTTGACACCCTGAACCCACCTGCTGGACAGAGCAACAAACTGGAGGCTGCCTATATTGCTGTGTTAGCCTTGTGGGGCTAGAAATAAAAGATGCCCGTGGAAGTACAATTAAGGACCTTTCCCAGACCATGTCATACTAACTGTGGCTCCATCTATCTCTCACTAAATTACAATCATTTTGCTAGGGGTAATAATTATGGTTTAGCAGCTTCAGTAGGCATGCCAGACATCTAACTCGCTTAAGCTGAAAGAAATTTAACAAGAAACTCCTCGGAGATTGATCGATTGATTCTGTTAGATTAATCTAGGTATGGGAACCCAGTCTTGCTGGCAGACTGGAAGTTTTGTATAGGAGGGGGTATAGATATACAGTACTGCAGCATGTGGTAGTATAGGGCCTTCCAGATTTTTTTTTTTTTTTTGGGGGGGGGGTCAAGTCCAGGGCCTTTAACATGTTCTAAAGGGACCCAAGCATGTGCTTATTTTGCCTCTAGGTTAGCTGCCACTGCACAAACAAGAGAAGAGATAAGGCTGACTTTAATTGAATTTAAGTGACCTTTATGACTGCCATTTTTGGTCACTGCTTACTCTCAAGTGTATATGTATATGTATACCCAATGTATAATTTAAAGTCATAATAACCCAGTGAAACTGGTGCAGCCAAATGCCAAATATTTGGTTTAGATTAAGGCATTTAACATTTATATATATTTATGCATAAGAATTGGTAGTTAGATTTATCTGCTTCATCCTTATCTGATATCTGTCCTTTAACTCGACCATGCCATATATATATTGTGATTATATTCACTTCCCCTGCTGCTTAAAGTGAATCTCCTTATTAATGTTATCAAACTATGGTTATACCTGCCTGATGCTATATTATATTATGTCCATTCGTAGAAAGCTATGCAAAAGCCTGCTCTGTTAATATGAGAGAAGAACTAAAGATGGGGGAAGAGGAGGGAACTGTTGACAAAGTGCACTGTTCATGTTTAAACAATTATTATTTTTTCAGCTCTGTGAATATATGTAAATGACAAGTGAATGGGACAAATTTTAAACTACAATATAAGAGCAGACATAGTCCAGCTAANGGGCCTTACCCCCTGCTGCCTGCCGGGGATGAAAAATGCTGCTGTGTCTGTCATGCCACCTTTAACGTCGGAGGAAAACATAGTCTAATGATCAAATTATTACGCTGTACACGGTTCATTTGCTTTTATCCAATTTTAAATGAAACTAACGTCAGCATGCTGATGCTCGTAAATGTAAGGTGGGCACAGAATGAGCGCGTCTTTCATTCGTAGCCCTCTAGTGGCAAATTGCAGGTGAAAGTGAGGTGAAACAAACATCAAATGAGAAACCGGAAGCAGGAATAAAGATCAAGACAAAACTTCAACGATGTTTGAGGCAGCTGTGACCAAGTTTGTCAAATCAGTCGGACAGGGCTCCCTTTTACCAGTGCCTAGCTTAGACGAGGCTGAGAAATGTCGACCACTAGCTGTCGTTATCAAGAAGAAACGCCGGTGGTTTTGGCAATGTTCGAAATGCGAACCAACTCCTTTCTTCCTACACGAACTTCTTACAGATGAAACCACACTTGGATTGAAATCAGAAACAAGGGACTTAGTTACATATAACAGAACTAGTAGATTTTCAGCGAAAGGTATTTTCAGCTTATTATGTAGATGATATCTGGAGTAGCGCTAACACTCGCCAATTTAGCCAAATGCTAAAACTGACTTAAACTGGCTAAAGAAAAAAGGCTTGATTTGGCTAATTTTAGTCAAATTATAGCAATTTGGATAACAAATTGACAAAAAAAGTGGTGATTTGGCTAAGCGAAAAAAAAATTGCTGGCGCTACCCCAGGATATACAACTGCTGTACTCTCCATCTTCGCCCGCCAAAGCTATCATTCAGAATAACCAACCTGGAACCACTTAATTGTCTACAGTAGAACTACAGCAAACCCGTATTACTGGTAAAAACATTAGAGTGCCCGAGGACTATAATATGTGAGCTTAAAGGGATAATAACTCTTCGTTTCGGCCAAAAAATGAATTTTCCTGGAGTAAACAACAATTTTCCCATACTTACCAATGGTTAATGAATCCATTTTTACATTCAAAGTTAGTCCCTGGTTTTTTTCTAAAAAGTTTGGTTTTTTGTTAAAATCTCTTAAGAGATTTTAACAGAGTATAGCCATCAATGGAGGTCACGTGGTTTAAAGACAAGCTCAGATAGCAGAATAATAGCCATAGCTGCCGTTTTTTGTGGTAAAACAGAATATATTATATTTCTATGAGTTATTCACAATGTTATTATTGTGAAATATAGGTCTCATACGAAGAGTTATTATCCCTTTAACCTTATATTGCTAGTATAAGTATAACAGCCTTTAGTCAAATTAATTCACAGGCAAAAATTCAGACATATAAATTACAATTTACAGTGTACTAAGTTAAAGTATATTGAAGAATCATATTTTTGACCATCTTTATAAGCATACATTAAATTCACATACCAATGTGTAAGGTCCTTTTCACATGAAGCAGTATACATATACTTTAGTAATATAACTCAACATGTGTCAATACACATTGAGATGACATACATGTACCAGTACAGGTAGATGATCGATATTATCAGCACCACATAGTGACAGGGATTTACTCATCTTCACAAGCCCACTTTTTCTGTTTGGGTGGATAAGTTGACCATGCTTAGTGTAGGGACTCATTTAGCTGCAAGACTCCCTCGATTTTAACTAGATATTATAGTCTTCCAATGTGTATTCGTACAGTTCTGTTGCTTAAGTATACTGTACTGTACTGTGAAAAGGGGGGTGGTTTGGTTTGTTGAATGTTACCACTAGTGGATAATATTTTCCATGTGTTTTTTTTTTCTTTTTTAGGAAGCATTGGTGCCAAGTTAAAAGTATTGTTTGATGTAGAATTGAGCGGGTCAGACACAGTTCTTGTTGAGGCCAAATTTGGAGATGTAACCAAGGAAGAAGTGGACGTGCCAACTTTATTAGATGTTCTTAGCCATAGGTAGGAGTACTCACAGAGCGGTGTGACTGAATTGCGCAATACGCCGCAACACAGTGCAATACAATCAGCTATTGCAATGTATTGCGGAATTCAGTCACACCCCTCACTGACTTATTCCGCTTACTGTGAATTTTTACTTGTAGTATATATGACCTGTGACCTTTTTAGAATATTATTTTAAGCCAAAAACTGAGTTTGGTGTTACTTAAAAACCACAATCAATTCATAGGTCTATTTGCAGATTTTGAGCAAAAAAAGCTTTTGATGTATTTTGTTTTTAGTGAAACATATCCTTTTATTATTGATATTATTATGGTTTTTTATTATTCAACAGGAACTTACAACTTGATCATGAGTTTATAAAACAGGTTCAGGAAAATCCACGAAAAGTGCTCTGTGTGATCACTGGAACTGCCGTCACTACCAAGGATTGTACGATTCACTCACACATTGACTGGGATCTAAAAGACAAGCTTTCTGTAGACAAACTGAAGGTATGATGTGTAAACTAGATATGAATTAAATTATGTAATTTAATTGAATAGTGCCCCTGAATACAAATGGCTCTTTGACATCCCAAACAGTTGTTTTGCATTTTTGATGTGATTGATGTGAGATAGTTTAGTTCTGATTCTTTATATGCATTTAGTAACCAGCTAAATCTAGCTGTTAATGATGAAGGAGGCACATACTAGTAATTATTTTTTCATGTCACAATAATAGATTGTGCAGACAGCAAACCTTTATTATTCGTGAAAAATGCAATCTTAAATAAGTTTTTAACACACTCCATTGAAATCCTATTTAAGGCTGTTGATGCCAGTACTTCAGAAGATGTTTCCAGTGACGGAGACAAGATTTTCTCTCTTCCCGCCAATACACCGCTTGCTTACAATGTCACAGAGTTGAGAGTCAGCAGCACTGGGAAACTGGAACTGATGGTAGAGGAAGGCACAAAAGGAGGGTTTGACACCGTTGATTCATCTGCCTATGAAGATATGGGCATAGGTATACTATTTATAATACTCATTAGTATAAAATTTAATTAACGGAATATTTTTAGTAGTAATAAAGATAATATTTTGATAAAAATTTGGAGATAATTTTCAGATGACTAGTTCTGTGTATAATTGATGATTTCAGAAACTTTTCAAAATTGACACCTTGTACATCACTTTAGAAATTTATTGTTTATTGTGAGGAGTTAAGTTTTTGATCTTAGTCATCACTTATAGGCCAGACCATTTGCAGGATTTGTCTAATCTTTTTAGTTTTTAAAATAACATGATAGTAATAAGGTCTTTATTTGTGCTTAAGGGTTGCATTTCTGGACATAGTGAAAATGCAAGGAATGACTAATATACTTGTTATCTGTAGGATATTAATGAATAAAGAAATCAAAAGAGGTAGTGCTAAATTTATTGAGGAAGCCAAGCAAGTTTTTTTATGTCTTTTTTTTTCTGTGTCATTATTTTTCAAATTTTTAGTATTTTAATACTAAAACGACATATCTTATTTTAGATAAAGAAGCTGAACATCAACTCCAAGGCATCTGCGGCATGAGTGATGAGAGCAGAAAAACCTTTGTGGGAGCAGTTTTGGACATCTGTGATACACCTGTTACTATTGACCCCCTTCTAGTTTTGGTAAAAATCTTTTAAGTCATTTTTGGTAAAATTGTTATAGCCATCACCTGTGACTGTTGTCTTTGTCATCATCGTCATCACCGTGCACTTTCAGTGATAACATGAAAAGTGGAAAAAAATCGAGCTTTTGTATTCAAACTTACAGATCTGATGAATATTCATAAAATGTAAATTGAAACATATTCTAATTGAAATATTACTATTCACTTCACTTGATGATTTCTTATAATATACAATATTCCTGCAAATTTCTCTTCATCACGAAAAAGGTACACCACATGCAACATGGTTGAATAAATTATGATCTCTAAAGTTTTATTTTAGTTTCAAGAATCTCATTTTTTAGCCAGTCTAGTATTGGAGATGAAGACATGCCACTTGTAAATTAAGACAAAAATAGAAATATAGAACTTGAAAACAGGTTCATCGATTTCTCAATTACAGATATATATATATTGGATATACCGTACTGTTTAAGAAAGAATGTGAAAATTTCATTTTTTTATTCCTTTATAAATGGACAGCCATTGTTGTTTGCTTTCAAAATGTATAAGGGCAGCTGGACTTGTTATTCAGTGCATTTGTATGAAAAAAATATTCAGACAGTTTCCAGGCTGAGTTAATTAGTATGGAAACTGAAATTGTAGCACTATTTGAAATGACAGCAGAAGAGAGATTTTCAGGGATGATATTTTTCAGACTATTTGTGAATTTCAGACTTTTGGGGAGCCAAAAATGTCATTTTTGATATCAGTGAAGACCTGTCTGAGCCCCACACCATATTTTCAGACTTTTTCACAAAATGGCAGTCTCAACCCTGGATTTTTCAAAAGTAGAATTGTTTTGACTGATGGTTTATTATCATCTTCAGCTATTATCAAAAATTCTTTCTTTTTACAAAGATGTTAAATCATAAGGCAAAATAACTGATTGTGGTGTTTCAGTTCATTTTTATCAAAAGGAAACTGATCAGCTTTTATTCCTTGTTATCATATCTTACTTATTATGGCATACCTCTCATACATTACTTTTTCTTTTACTTTAAGATTAAACAAGCACACAAGGCTGCCTCGGCTAACACAGAGAAGGTTATCACTGTGGACAAACTGAGGAATACTGTTGGACAAAGTGATGCGGTTGTTTCCCTTTTGAAACAGATAGGCTTCACATTCAGGGTTTGTTGAATTTTATGAACTAGATAATATCACACATAGTACTTGATAAGTACGTGATAAGCTTCTTCTATATATTTATTTTGGAGATTAAGGGATAATGAAGTTATCCAACATGAAACAATTTAAAATTAATCTTCAAAGACTATGACTCATTGCATTATTGTATTTCTACAGTAGATGTATCCTTTCTTCTCACAGACTGCAAATCAATTGAATTGATCGTATTTCATGTAATTGTAGGTCTTAAAATGATGTTATTTATTTTTTAATATAACCACCTTTAAAATATGTATAAAATTTAAAAAACAAGATAAAATAAGATGAAATAAAATATGATATATAGATTACATAGAATATTTTTAAAAATTAATTAAAAAGCTTTTAAAAGTAGTCCCACAAGTTTATATTCCTCAGATTGTCTGTTTTGATATCTGGGACTATTGACTGAAATATAATATTGATATTACCAATTATCAAATATCAATATTTTCTTCTGTATTTTTTAGGATGACGATGTTGTTTACCCTAAAGCATCTCCTTTGTTGGATGCCACAAGGGTTCTGTTTGAGGCCTTGATAGAACTGGATGGAGAGGAAATCTTGGACTTCAGAGAGTGCAACTCCAATTTAGCAAAACCTCTTTTGCATGTAGTAAGTTAAAGGCTGTTTCCACATCATGCATTACGTGTATATAGGTATCACAACACTGTGACTGATGCCTAATGATTTACATGTGTCTGTTAATTTTGTGCTTGCATTTTTTCATCTTAGGTCTCATTCCCATTGAAACTATCGGTCCACAGGGACTCTTGCTGAGTGCAGTCAGTTTAACAGACTAACACATCCCTCTTGTTTCCAATATACTCATAATCACTAGCTTTTCTGTGTTTTACTAAGTGAGGAGTAGGCCTGTTGATCTGTAAAACTGATTGCATTTGGTGAGAATCCCATGGAATAAGATCAGTCTATGTAGATGGATAGGTTCAGTTGGAATTAACCCTAAGTTTCTTCTCTTAGGCCCATTCTAAGATTAACATTGAGTAGTATACAATCTGAACTGGTGTACACCTTTTGAGACAATGATAGCTTAAAATCATGGTCATATTGTAAAGATTCAGAGCTTCCTGAATGGAACCTGTTTGCTATAACAAATAAAGTTATTCCTATTTATATACAAACACATTAAAAAAACTTTAAGGTTTTTCACTTACAGTGGACCTCTATACTGACCTTTAATTGTTAGAATAAAAAAAACATTGATTTTACTCATCTTCCAGCTTAACCAGGCGCTGCATGGCCGCGATGTTCCCCTGGATGACATCAAAGCTCTGTACACGGACAGGAATCCAGCGCAGTCTTTTCTGAATGAAATGGATTTCCATATTAAAGGTCTTGACACCCTGAACCCACCTGCTGGACAGAGCAACAAAATGGAGGCTGCCTATATTGCTGTGTTAGCCTTGTGGGGTTAGAAATTGAAGATGGCCGTAGAAGTACAATTAAGGACCATTCCCAGACCCTGTTGTACTGACTGTGGCTCCATCTATCTCTCACTAAATTACAATCAACTTGCTAGGGGGTAATTAATTATCGTTTAGCAGCTTCAGTAGGCATGTCAGACATCTAACTCACTTAAGCTGAAAGCAATTTAACAAGAAACTCCTCGGAGATTGATCGATTGATTCTGTTAGATTAATCTAGGTATGGGAACCCAGTCTTGCTGCAGTGGCAGACTGGAAGTTTTGAATTGGAGGGGGTATAGATATACAGTACTGCAGCATGTGGTAGTATAGGGCCTTCCATATTTTTTTTTTTTTTTTTGGGGGGGGGTCNGACAGAGCAACAAACTGGAGGCTGCCTATATTGCTGTGTTAGCCTTGTGGGGCTAGAAATAAAAGATGCCCGTGGAAGTACAATTAAGGACCTTTCCCAGACCATGTCATACTAACTGTGGCTCCATCTATCTCTCACTAAATTACAATCATTTTGCTAGGGGTAATAATTATGGTTTAGCAGCTTCAGTAGGCATGCCAGACATCTAACTCGCTTAAGCTGAAAGAAATTTAACAAGAAACTCCTCGGAGATTGATCGATTGATTCTGTTAGATTAATCTAGGTATGGGAACCCAGTCTTGCTGGCAGACTGGAAGTTTTGTATAGGAGGGGGTATAGATATACAGTACTGCAGCATGTGGTAGTATAGGGCCTTCCAGATTTTTTTTTTTTTTTTGGGGGGGGGGTCAAGTCCAGGGCCTTTAACATGTTCTAAAGGGACCCAAGCATGTGCTTATTTTGCCTCTAGGTTAGCTGCCACTGCACAAACAAGAGAAGAGATAAGGCTGACTTTAATTGAATTTAAGTGACCTTTATGATTGCCATTTTTGGTCACTGCTTACTCTCAAGTGTATATGTACCCAATGCATAATTTAAAGTCATAATAACCCAGTGAAACTGGTGCAGCCAAATGCCAAATATTTGGTTTAGATTAAGGCATTTAACATTTATATATATATATATATATATATATATTTATGCATAAGAATTGGTAGTTAGATTTATCTGCTTCATCCCTATCAGATATCTGTCCTTTCCCTGCTGCTGAAAGTGAATCTTCTTATTAATGTTATCAAACTATTGTTATACCTGCCTGATGCTATATTATATTATGTCCATTCGTAGAAAGCTATGCAAAAGCCTGCTTTGTTAATATGAGAGAAGAGCTGAAGATGGGGGAAGAGGAGGGCACTGTTGACAAAATGTTCATGTTTAAACAATTATTATTTTTTCAGGTCTGTGAATATATGTAAATGACAAGTGTATGGGACACATTTTAAACTACAATATAAGAGCAGACATAGTCCAGCTAAGAAGGAATGAATATTTAATAATTTTTTTTCAAAGCTCTTTATATGGTAAACTTTTTACCAGGTGTTACGCAAGCCAAGTTTCACATACGAGTTTTCCAGCTCGACAGTTTTAAGGATTTTGTTAAAAATGTTTTGCTTGAAAGAGATACTCAGTTAAATGGTGTACTGGTAGAACTGTGCCAAATTTATACATTTCATTTTGCACTCCCACCTGGTACCTGATATATATATATATATATATATATATATATATATATATATATATATATATATATATATATATATATATATATATATATCACAGAGAATAAAGTTGATACACTATATATATAAAGTCATTCAGTTACTTGTTGCATTTCAGTGTTAAATTTTTCTGTCCATGATATAATGTGTCATGTTTGTGAAAAGTATGCATTTTCTTTTCAGATTTATTATTATTATTATTATTATTATAGGTCTGCTATATACATACACACATGCAGAACTGTGACAAAGCTTGTGAAAAATGATATGTTATTTCATTTGTGCATGACCTGGATGTTTATAACTAAATATTCAGATAAGAATAGAATATATATTCAACCACCTGTTATTTATAAAATTTAAAAATGGGGAAGCCATTTTCCATTTTGAGCCGAGATAAAGGCAATAAAATAATAATTGAGCATATAATAGTAAAAGTGATTCCATATATTATAAATGAGCAAAATACATGTTAGTTTATGATAGTTTAAAATGATGAGCATTAACATTAAGACTGGCATATAGCCAGTAAAATTCTAACTTTATGGTACTAGTTTCAATCTACGTTTTATCAGAAATCGTGATTCAGCTTACCTACATGATTCAATTTCAGGTTCAGTTTTGTCCGAATCGTTTGAAATGCATTTTATATATTTATAGTATTTTAGATAAAATTATAATGCTAAAAAAAGGATTACGCTCAGAGTTTTCAATTTTACAACATTTGTACGGATAAGAGTATTTTCCCTTTTTGTAAGACGTGAATGTACAGATATTGTTTTGAAAGTAGTATGCATTAATAAAGACACATTTTGGTCGCCAAGTTTATTTGTTATTTCTTATTAAAAGGGCGTTTTATGATTGGATAGCTTGAAGCGGTTCTATTTCGCTTTTAATTCGTGTCGGAAGTATAGCTGCTGGACGGTCAAATGAGACGATCAGACTCGAGAGTTCTCAAAATGGAGTAAAGTTTGGAAGCTTCTGTCGGACAAGCCTGAGTCCAAATGACCTTAACATTTGTCTCTTCATCTCTCTCTAACTCTCTCTCTCTTGGTTTTGTCGAAACTTCAAAATGTGTTTCAAAGTGCAAGACAGTTTTAAAATAATTGAGGCAGCCAGATTCCATCAACTGGGTAGCAGAAACTGCAATTTTCCTCATTTGCCGATTAAGTACTTTGTTTTGCAAGTTTATATCTATTAGATGTAATCCAATTTGCAACAGCAGATTCAATAATTCCTGCCTAAAACCGGTGAGACATAATATATATTTTCTCTATTGTCGATTTAATTTATTTTGTCTATTATTTGACCATTTATTGTACTGAATTTTTGTGTAAAAAAACAACAATTTCCATTTGATTTCCTAAAACTTGTCGCCTTTAATAAATGTTTCGACTAACAAACGAAAAATTAAATTAACGTCTTAAGGAAAATATTTCTCTGTACTGGGCTTTTTGCCGAGTGAACGCTTATTTGCCATATTAAATTCGGAGAAAAATAATGAGTAATTCATTTCTTCAACTTGAAACTATGTACTTTTAAAATATACACTAGTTCCTATTATCTCAAAAGAAAATAAAAGCATTTAAGAGTGTTGCACTTCTAACTCGATTCCATTTTGTGGTATGGATATTATTACCTCCGCCAAGGAGGTTAGTTTCATCCCTGTTTGTCTGTTTGTTTGTTTGTTTGTCTGTCTGTCATCAACATAACTCAAGAAGTTATGGACCGATTTTGATGAAAATTTCAGGAACTGTCAGAAGTGGACCAAGGAAGAGATGATTAGTTTTTGGTGGTGATCCGGATCAATACTCAATCAATAATCAATAATAATCAAAATCGCTGCCTTGGCGGAGGTCTGCGCTCTCGGAGTGCTTTTCTAGTTGTGTGTATTTTATAACGTTGAATTAAGAAGACAATTACAATACAATACAATGCTATTTGAATCGATAATTTAGTTTGAGACCAAGACATTAATTGAAAGAAAAATAAGAGCGTGATAAACTGTATAGGGACAAATACAACGTATCATTAACGCGAGCTTGGTCAATTTATTTCCTTCCAATTTTTTTCATATAATTAAGTTTCGACGCACGAAATGCGGCAATCCGGGTGAAAATTACGTGTTCTCTCTCACGAACGCGTACACGTATATAGTTACTCGCACGCACACACACTCTCATTAAACCGATGATAATCCCTATCCGACCATCAAATATATTAATCTATTGATTTTCCTTTGCCGCGTTTCTTTGACAAAGACAAATTAAGGCTTTTTATATTGTTTGCTCAGGGTTCTTGGAAAATAACACCAGGTGTCAGTATCGGCATTGACTTCATAATAACATCCTTAGTCCATACAGGTGAACGAAGGCGGACGTGGCATTAAAGCAACCTACAGCGACATGAAAAATGCACCTATTTTGATTCAGGGGAATACAATAAAAATCATTTGACGCTGAGGTCATCGCGGATAAGGATGTGAAACTGGAATGTACGTAAGCTCACTCACAACAAGATCATCTTTCAACAAGGTACGGACGGAGGTAGAGATAAGACTCAATGAAAAGGACTGAGCTATCTGGAAACGACTGGTACATTTACAGGTGGTAGATAGGAAAACCAGGATATTCTATCAATAGAGACTACAGCAAGCAGGTGAAGTTTAAAAAAGGCAGGTGTATTGCAGACTCGCAATATTACAAAGGAAAAAAGATGGATACACGGACAGCTTATTTATTTCTTTTAGTAATTTTTGTGAGCAGTTCTTTTGCTCAGAATGATACAACTGCGTCACCACAGACGACAGCGTCTGCGGGGAATGGAACAACTACGGCGTCTCCAGCGAATGAAACAACCACAGCGTCCGCAGAGAATGGAACAACTACGGCGTCTCCAGTGAATGAAACAACCACAGCGACCGCGGGGAATGAGACTACGACGGCGTCCCCAGCGAATGAAACAACCACGGCGTCCGCGGGAAATGAAACAACTACAGCGTCTCCAGCGAATGAAACAACCACGGCATCGGCAGGGAATGAGACTACGACGGCGTCCGCGGGGAATGAAACAACCACGGCGTCCGCGGCGAATGAGACAACTACGACGACGATGGGGAACGATACAACCACGGTGTCGCCAGGGAATGACACAACCACGGCTCAAGCGGGGAATGAAAGCACAACTAACGCTTCGACCTCTGAACTGCCGCCCACCACAACGGCCATGCCAGAGAGAAACGTCGTTACCACCCCTCTAGGAAAGATTCGCGGGAAGTTTGTGTCGCTCACTATCAACTGGAATGGAACAGGTATTTTGCCACTGATCGAAACCTTCCTTCTCGCTCTCTCTTCTTTTTCTTTTTCTTCTTCTTCTTTTATCCGTTTTCTTTTTCTACCGTTTTTGTCTTCTTCATGCCTTATTATTCTTTATATAACTTTGTCAACCTCTATCCATGTCTTCTCATTCCGTTTCATTTTGTTTTTTTGTTTTTTTTTCTTGTTTTTTTTTTTCACTTTTACTGCAAGTATCCAACAGCTTAAGGAATAGGAAGGAGCGTCTAAATTCCCTTTTTTTTTTTCTAAAATAAACGTGCTTACCATGTCGTTACACTAGATGTCTCGCCTAACAAATCTGAAGTAAAAAATGTACTGAAAGAAATATATAGTCTATTCAGGACACCAAAATGCCTGACCCAAAGTAACTCGGGGAAATTATGGTGCAATTAGGGTAATTCTGTGGTGCTTAACTAGTCTTACATCGGTCTAATTTCCACTTTTGAATAGAGATGTAGGCTAAATCATATTGTGTTTAGAGAACTTGCCCCCCCCCCCCCCTCTCACACACACAAAGAGAGAGAGAGAGAAAACACATAGAATAGGACCGTATGAGAGAATGTACTTGTAAACAACAGAAAAATGAAAGAATGAAACTAGCTGATAAGAACGTCAAAGTTCAACTAAAAGAAGGCATCAATAACTGATGATATGTTTACATTACATTCATTGTGTATTTCACAGTCAATGTATCAGATATAACGCCAGTAACTTAGCAATTAATGTAGCGCGAGCGGATATGATGACAGGTACTCTGTTATGCAGAAGAAGCGGGTCTCAACATCTCCTAGTCATGGTCCCGCCCTAATGATCTAACCAGGCTGGGTCACAGTGCTGCATATATGTAATACATTCTATTACATATATTGCTTCTACATGTATGTAGGGTTCGTCAGCATTTCGGAGTTTATATATTTTTCCCTCATAATATTAAGGAGACATATTTTTCAATAGAGCGATCATATGGGTTTTGGGTCTACAACGTAAAATTATTATCTGATGCATAGTTGAATCCTTATACGTAGATATTTGTAATTTACATGAAAACGTGTCATTTGGATAAAGTTCTGTGAAGTAATAGTTAATGATACCGAATTCAGTTGTGGTTAGATTTTTGGAGAACCACACCTTGTTTCCTTATCCTTAACTTTGGTTGACACAAATGTTGGGCAATACACTTGAATTAACACACTTTTGGAAAATTACGCAAGAAAACCTATGGTCACATGTTTCCCGGATTCCCTACTGCTTCGTCACTGTCCTCTGGATATTAGTTCATCAAAGGTGTGTCTAGACGCAAACATAGGTCTACAACATGCACATGTACATACAGCCTCACCAATCCGGGTATTAGTCTCAGTGACGTCACCACATTTCCGGTAAAATTACGATCTAAAATACAATGAGAACTAGATGTGCACCTCCTCTGCGAGATACAGTAAAAAATTAACTGGAATGCAGGCTTAAACTGGGATGCCTATAAGGATACTGCTGTACTCTAGTGCGTTGATTACCGGTGAAATTGTATTTGATGACGCCATTGTAATTAAGCCTGTACCCCGGTACCAGTTCATTCCTAGGACAAAAGAGAACACAAACAATCCTCTTACCTACCAAGAATCTTTTTTTTTTTTTTTTTTTTGTCAATCGATCTTTTCAGACATCTCTTCATATATCTCTTAAGCCCAAATAAATAGCCCTGATTAAAGACACCCGCTCAGTCAACGCAATTATCAGCATCTTTTTCCTTCTTTCTCCTTTTATCATCGTAATCTTGAACAGCGGAGTATTATTTCCTCACGTATTCTTGCGGCATTCCCATCTTACCATTACCGATTTATCAATTCGAATTTATTTTGGACAAATTTAATCTCTGACTTATAGCTTGAATCATGTATAAATACGGTTCATCTCGAGCTCGTGTTGTTAAAAATGTAAAGCTTCTAGTAGTAATGGGATTCAGTTATTACCTGTGCTTTTGACAGGAACAGTTTCAAGTTTATTCAATATTATTTGAAAGGTAATTGAAGACTGGTGTAATTTCTGAAGGTTATAAATCATTCTCCGTAAATCATTCCCATCATTACCATCGGGGCCAGAAGCTTCAAGAAGTTGCTCCAGGGAAAGCACGGAGGACTGACTCCCATAACTAGCTTGAACGGTCTTGAGTGACAAGGAAATGACATCGTCCTCATCTAAAATCTTCCCTCATTGTTATTCTATTCATTAACAATGGCAACAACCGGTGCATATTATATTATATTATATTATATTATATTATATTATATTATATTATATTATATTATTAATACAAAATGTATATTCTAAAATGTCCACCATTTCTTCGTAGATACAAATATCCTTGGTGAAGAATTTTTGGGTGTTAGATATGCCAGAACGCCAACTAGATTCGCTGAGCCCCAAACTTTAGCCTCATGGACGGATATCCAAGACGCTCTGGCATATGGCGCTAATTGTCCCCAAAACAGAGACACGTATGGCACTGTCACTACCGCAAGTCCTATCAGCGAGTCTGAAGACTGCTTATTTTTGAACATTTTTGTTCCTAGCGGCGGGGTAGAAGCGTTAAAAGCAATGAACGAAACTCTACCAGTGGTAGTGTATCTCCAAAGTGGAGGCTACGACACCATGCCAGCCACTTTGTATAGTGGCATTGTTCTTGCAGACTCTGGAAACACGATTGTCGTAACCGTGAATTACCGCGTGGGAGTTCTTGGTTTCCTGGCATTGAAAAACGCTGCAGGTAGCATTATAGGAAACAACGGACTAAGAGACCAATCCCTAGCCTTGGCTTGGATTAGAGATAATATTGCAAGTTTTGCTGGGGATCCTACAAATGTGACTCTGGTTGGGGATTACAAAGGGGGTGCTAGTGTGGGGTTACACATGGTTTCCTCTCAAAGTAGGGGCCTTTTCCACAGAGCAATTTCTATGAGCGGGGCCGTCACTGCCCCATGGGCTTATGCGACCACGACCACTGCTGGCGAGGAGTTCCTCCAGAGAGCAGATTGTAATAGAGAGAATTACGATACCTCCTTGGCTTGTTTGAGAGGGAAAAGTTTAATGGATATTCTGAAATACGAGAGGGATCCCTCTTCACAGATGAACCTTCACAGACCAGTTGTGGATGGGACCATTCTCGTGAAATCTCCCGCGGAATTGCTTCGTGACGGCGTTGCTAAGGACATTCCATACGTCATAGGATATGGTGAAAGCGACGGTTCTTTTATGTTGAAATATGTGACGGACGAAGTAGTGGATGGAAACGTTACAAATTATATGTATAACCTTACCAAACTGAAACAAATTCTATCAGATACATATTCTGAATATCTAGGTCTAAGTCAAAGTGTAAGAGCAACTGTTGAGAGTACTCTCTTCCAGTATGACGTGGGGCCGGAGACAGACAATGATGATTTAGGAACAGGAATTGTGAAACTATTTACAGACTTTTTCTTTAAGGCACCAACTGAGATGACAACAGACCTATATTCAAAAAGTAATGGGACGTCAGTTTTCCTGTATAATTTTGCCTACAGATCTACAACACTTAACCCAACCAAGAAGTCCTTTCTCACCGCAGAATTGCCAGATCTACCATATTTTTTGTTCGGCGGAGGTTTAATGTCATCAGACACTTTACAAAATCGATCTCACATTATTGTTCGCCGAGCAGCTGCTTCGTCAGATGAAAGTGACGAACAGATTTCCCAGAACGTTATGGGGTATTGGTCAAATTTTGCAGAAACAGGGTAGGTTTACTTTTAGATCTTATGGTGGCATTACTATAATTAATACTTTCAAAATTCCATTACATTTATTGTTGCATAACATGTAAGTACTGCTTATCAACTGCCAGTTGCAGGCGTTTGTTTTTATTGAGTCTCATTTATATTATTCATTCAAATTGTTTTAGATATTTGATGTAATGGCTGCCATATATTGTCTTGTGATTTTGCTTTAAATATCAAATGAAGCTTTAATAATCTATTAATATGTTAGTTTAGATGGGCCATTCCTATTTCAAAAATTAAAAAGCAGCTGCCAAACATCATGGAAGTTAGGCAACACTGTTCCCAGTATGTTGCAACGTCTGAATGAAACGAACCCATATATTGGAGCCAATGCCGATTATATACAACCAGTGGGTCAATTTAAAACTCGAATAAATACAAGTTAAAGCAATAATAACAATCCTTCACAATCTTTCATCTGTGTTTCAGAAACCCCAATACCGGTTCAAGGGAGCAGTATACTGCAGCAAACTGGCCGAGTTATGACAGTACAAATAACAGCTATCTCAATCTTCAAGAAACACCAACCGACGCAAGAGTTGACATGAACAACAGAAACGTACAGTTCTGGAATAGATATGTCTCAACTGTTAAGCAAAATGAACCCACCCCGACCACACCCACTACGGGTAAGATGTTAATTATTTTCAAATTGTTATTAAGGAACATTAAATATTAAAATGCAACTTGTAATTGGTATGTTTAATGTTGCTGTGTTAGTTGGTAGATGAAACTTTGCCTTTAAGAAGAAATATGAGTAGATTAATAGCTTTATTTATTTATTCTTATTTTGTACTGGTTGCCAAGGCTTATTTGGTGTCTATTTCCACCAAAACACATATTTCGAACGTAATAGTTAAAACTGAAACAAGGGATAACATAAAAACATTTAAGACAGTATATTAACTACTTTTCACACGTTCACGCGTTTGATTTTTTGGTTCCTAAATATCAATGTCGGTATCTGTTTTGATTTTTTTCTGTCTAGCTGCACCGACAGGGTTGGATATAGGTGCTTGCAGGCGATACTATGCTGCGAAGATAGGGCCAGAGGTGTCTCCAGAGACGGCAGCCGGGGTGATGTGGGGGATGTTAGGTAGGTTAACATTGCTCATGTATACATATATATGTATGTATGCTATCGTTTGTTTTTCTCACACAATGTATGAGCTGTTTGATATACACGTTACTATATACTACCAATATGAAAAAGAATATTAAAGGTGCAATAGTGGACTGATGCTTCCTCTCATCTTATCGTTCAGCAGGAAAAATATAGGAAACCAAGTGGGGAATGTTTGCTAAATTTTTTTCTCTTCTATCTCTCTGAAAATTTTGTTCGCTTCCTTTACCCTTATATAGAACTTTGGGTCCTGAATTTTGGTTTCGAAACATGCATTCAGTTGTCAGCAACTCCACAAATAGGATTTATAGTTTTGATTTTAATCGCTTCATCGGTGGAGGGAGTGTTTGGACAAACTTTTGCATAACTTTTGGAATGAAAAACGGTTTACTTTTCTTACAGCTGCTGCATTGTTATTCTTTCTTGTGGCTGTTATACTTGCTATATGCTTGTGCAAAGCACGTGGGTCCTGCGACGAGTACATGTACGGAGAATCGTATCAGATCTCTCAAAACGGAAATCATTATTCTAGAACCACGTATGACAACAAAGGATACCAGATGGCGGAGAGCTAGAATACAGAGACATTATTTACTCTTTGACCAAATATGTATCAAATAGGTAATTTTGACTTGAAATATATATATATATATATATATATATATATATATATATATATATATATATATATATAACTACTAAGGTAGATATTAGTAGTATTAGAGAAACATCGTAGAGGCCGACTTTGTTGAACTCTTTGGTAGGCCTACTTTGATGTGTTTCGCATAATTCTAGACAGCTGGTTACATTACTGATATGTATACTATGTAAGACCGAGGTGCAAGCATACGTTTATTATCTATAGGCCTTGTAGGATATATTTGTGCTTCTAGTTGTCAGTTTTTTTGTACGTTTTCCTTTCCATCTTATTTGTAAGATACATTTGTATATGTTTCTTATTTGCTTTATAATTTAAAGGATTAAACAAAATATATATAAAACATTTATTTATGATATACTGGCTAGGGCATTTATGAACAGATTGGAATCGCTTGTACATGTAACTGGTCACTTTTTAACCCTTCTGACATTCTTTGCCGCAATTTTGAAGCGATCTACTTATTTTAAGAATATTCCACTTTCATTAAAGCTCGAAACTGAGCAACAGAACAATGACAGTGAGGATAGCATGAACTAAATGTCATGTTTCAATTAGTATCAACACTGAGTAGGCACAATATAACAAACGTTATGTTTTTCAATTAGCACCAACACTGGGTGGGCACATTATAACAAATTTTCCAGCTGTTGATAAATTTGAATGTTTCCAATGTTCATTGTAAGTTGTACAATGGAAGTTGTGCCGATTGGGAACAAAATCTAACCGTCAGTTGTTTCTTCTCTTACTAACTTCGTGATACGTGTGGTGTATATTGTAATGTGCTGAAAATGCAGAAGCCACTAAAGCGCCCTTGGCATCCACATGAACTCTGCATTTAAATTAATCACACCGTTTTATCAGTCCTTATGAAGTGCTCATCTTACGCTTCTAAGTAATTGTCACAATAACGGTATAGTTATAGAAACGTAATATCTGCCCAGGATGATATTGCTCATAAAAGCTCATAAAAATGCGTGTCTAGCGCTGGGTGGTGTATGTGCATGACATAGAACTGATGCGTCGTGTAATATGAGAACTAGTAAAGACTCATGTTAAAAGGCTAGCGGGTAGCTAGATCACATCATTTGACTCATTTGCCTGTCTGGATCCTTATATATGCCTACATAAACGTTTATGTCTTCACGGAAATGGGCTAAAATCTAATATTTCAAATATGGTCCCTATTTTACTTCGAACTGTATAGAAATCATTTGTTGATATGGACCTATTGCATTGATATGGATTTATTCCTGCTTACCGACAAACACACACATTGTTACACACACACACATGGCATATATTAACGAATTATATATCCTTCTATATGCACTACTAGGTTAGCCAATAGCTATATTTGAATTGCTTCAGAGCAACAACTGTGGTCTTTTACTTGTACATATACCTCGGTAGGAACACTAACATTTATTTTTCTTAATTCCTTCCTTTAAGTACAGATCCCTGCAGTGTTTATAGCTTAGCTGTTAATTGGATGACCTTTGACCTCTATCTTTGGTTGATTTCCTGCTGACTATTACACAGGCTTTGTCATTCCTGTCCATGAAATATATAGTTTTTACTTGAAACACGACCTTGCTTATTAAATGTCAATATTTGGATGCTAAATTTACAGTATTTTCTTTGCACATGAAATGCAACATGCAGTTGATATTAAATACTCAATCATTTTGACGGTTAATTATAATTACTTATAATACTTACACTTGACAAAATTGGAATGTGTCAGAGTTGATCTACTAAAACAGCTGGACTTTGAATCCCCTGTTTTACATATTGTTATATACTAGTAGTAGAGGATTCAGCAAGGTACCCTACTGGGCGTCTTAAATTATTGCTCGTTTCTAGTTTTAGCCTGTGGTTAACATCCCATTAATAACATGGCTTCCTAACCCTGCTTATTAAATAAATCCCTGCTTTTCTTTTTGTTTCAGCCGCGGCGTTACTTCTGTTGTTGGTCTGCGTTGTTCTAGCCATTGCCATAGAAAGGCAACGTCGGAAGAAACAATCATATAAAACACAGAATTTTGCATACTAAAGGTACCCGTTGTTCATGTCGTATGGATGCTCGAAAATAATGTGATTAATATCTAAAATAGAAATATCAGGGATACAAAGCCAGTGAAGGTGGTTCCTTTATGTATGTTGGAGTGTCTCAACAGCTCGTTTCAAAGAAAAAAATTTAACATTTACGAAATTCATGTAACATTTTCCTGTTGTGCAAGAATAGTACACTTTTAATAAGAACGCTCCTCTTGTTGCCTTAGCGATTAATCATTTCTGCCCGCATAGCAAGAATTTTGAGAACAAAGAGGGAAAAGCAGTTAATTGTTGTTACAGCCCTTTTCATATGCGTCATGTTGTTAATCACGTCATATGGAGGCAACGTTACCGACATGTAATTATGATATGATATTTGTACCATTGTGGTGGGGATATACAGGCATGTAACATCAGAATGCTCATTTTTGTTGTACATTTTAATTAAAATTGTTGTCATAATGACCTTAATTGGGCAATCAATACTGATTTTGGACACTTTTGGTGCCGCATTTGTTACGTATGTTCAAAAAATTCAAAACTCGGTTAGCTTCTTTACCTTTAAAAAAAGATACACAAAAACTAGATCCCCAAAATAGAGACACTCCAAATGGCTTTCCTGAAATTTCAAACGACTAATTGTTATGTCTTCGGCAGTCATCTGATCATGGAAAGATGGCTTCCTAGCGCCTCAGATTACGTGACATCATCAAGTTGCTCTTTAATTCCGAGCAATGCTGGAACAACACGCGTGAGCAGAATGATAGCACACAGCGATAATCAGTCTTATCAGTCTTATCAGTCAGTTTGTCAGTCTTTATTAAAGAGAAAAAGAAGAAAATGTCATTACAATAGGGCCTACACAATACTGATGAATGTTAAAAGTTAATATAATGACTGTTGGCAAAAAAACTTACTTTCGATATTTTTCCTTAAATACTAACGTCAAACAATGTATTTTTGCTATCCTCGGAAAATACTTTTTTTAATAAGTCTATTATATTTGTAACCTTCTAAGTTGCGTCGGCCATTTTGTGTCTGCTTGAATGTTTAAAAGATTAGATAGTCAAGGCAGACAGAGCTAAATTAATATTTATGAATCTCTTTAATTAACGTTTAAATTTGTCCTCTTTTTGAAAGTTTTCTTTAAACTACATTAGATACAGCATTTGTTTTTAAGCGAATTTAGCGAATGTATGTATGGCGTTTGTCAAAATGCTTACAAAGTAATTAAATAGTGCAATTTTTTAACTAAAGTAGGCCTATACACAGTTTACATAGCGTGTAATATAGCGTACGTCGTTAGGCGTCTAAGTGGACAAGATTTTTCTTTCGTTTATTTTGGAATACCCTTGCATGTTGTAGAGTACAGTATTTCTGTAGAATAATTAAGGTATCTGTAAGTGCAATTTTTGTCGTCTCATATCCCTTTTAACTTGAAAACTTTACCAATTACTTTCATCTTCATTTGACGTATATAAAATGACTGTGGTCGCGACTTCTTTATAATGGTGATTAACACGTCTCTATGCTTCATACTAGTTTATAGGAAGGATCTTTTTAATTCTCTATAAACCAATATGTACACTATGTAATATGTCACTTGTCATACTAGCAAAATCATTAAATAGCCATCGGTCATCCTCAAACAAACTGATATTCATGCTGATTCATTAAGTTTAAATAATACCTATGAATTATGTCAGTTATGAGTATAACCGTTCATGCATTACTGTAGTTAAGGATTGCGTTCAGGCACACACACACACACGCACACACACACACACACACGCACACACACGCACACACACACACCTTTCTATAATGTCATAGGGCGCCAGATCCGCGGAGCAAATATGGCTGACCCACTTAAAAGCTTGTCGCATAATCCCCTTATAGACACTTAATAGAGGGGGGGCATTACGCGGTAAAATTTCAAGTGGGTCGGCCATATTTGATCCGCGGATGTGTTAGTCCGTGGATCATCTTTTGTCGTGAATGCAGCCATATTTTCATGGTAAGAAGCTGCGAAAGTTGAATCTACAGTGTATTAATTATTTGACCCCGATTGTCAATCCCCAGCCGTTAAGTTAGCTTCGTTGATTTAATTGTTCCAATCATGTAGTCAACTACAGTAATAACTGTATCTTATGCCTACCCTCAGGTACATGTACAGGTAGAAATAGGAACGTCATAATAATCCGATGGTTTATTAATCTGAAAGGGCTTAGGCACAAAAAGGGGAAAATTTTAGGAGAGATTTTCTAAAATAATTGGGTCATTAGTCTGACGGCTGATAAGGGCAAGGATTTATAATGCAGACGCTTCATAAATTCTGACAACATATTTAAACAAAATCGTCGGTGGAAAGCCTTTAATCCTTTTTCCGAGGACCCTTTTATTATCTTATGATAATTTTATTGTTGATTCAGGCCACGGAGACTGAGCATTTTTTTTAATTCGGACTTGTGAACCTTTGGGCTATTCAGGGGTCCCTGTAAGTAAATCTGAACATGGCGTTAGTCTCATGATAGAGGCTTTTAAAACTGATGTAAATTTCTATCAGTTTTTTTTCATCATTGTTCGTGTACACATCTTCTCCAACATCTAAGGTGAAGCAGTTCCCTAACAAATTTCTGACATAAGATTTTTTAAATATGGAGTGGTAGATAAAAATCCACACAACCGTTAGGACCTTTGCTGTAATACGTCAGCAGACGATTGTCTCCAAAGAAGAGATTAACAATAGGATTTGTATGCAAAAAGTAACAAAAATAAGGATATATGTGGTATTGTGGTTGTAACGGTTAAAATTCCCTGTTAGCAACGGGGATCCGGAGTTACATGCATTAAGACCTTCCTTTCACCGAGTAGTAGTTGAAAATGCAGAATATACCGGTGTTATGTTCCGGGAAATTAGTCATCGTTTGCTAGATTGGCCAATGAAACTGTAAATAATGAAGGTGTTTACAGATAAATGTTTTCATAAACACAGAATATGCAGGCATATTGAATAGTTCAATAGTTAGAAGGTTGCCAATATTAATCTGCAGGGCCTACTTTTACCTGCGTAATTTCAAATATGAATGTCCTATTTTCTATATGACTCTGGTGGTGATAATGCGGACTGGATTGCGTGTGAAATTAGACATGTGTTAGAGTAGAAAATTAGCGCAACCCTGGTCTAAGTGCCTATATTGTACAGTACCAGGTTAATTTATCATAACAAGTCCCAGATATGGTAGCAAGAAAAATGAAATCTTCGTCCATGTATGACTACGCAAGACTAAACTAAAAGATCCTAACAAATCCGAATTTTTATTTGCAGGTGGTGGATTAATTGTGTTAATAAGAAGCAGAGATAGTTTGGATTTTAGATTGAATTAGCAAAACACTGCTAAGATAAAATACACTTATTAATAGTATAGATTATTTTATAGAGAGTAGACGATATTTACGAATGAAATCCGTTTTGTTCCCTTGCTGTAACATGAACGTACCACTGTATTCTATTGCCGCATTCGACTCACAAAAGCACAAGTTCTCGCAAAAATGGATTTTTTAATCTCAAAATCCTCTATCTATGTCATTGACCTGTTGCATGTTTTAATTTATGACTATAAAGGGAAATCAATAAACTATCTATTTATTGTACCTTAAACCTGTAGGTATCGAAGAAGTCTGCTTTCACATTCAAAGACCTGATATTGTCATGACCGTTATGTTTTGCAACAATACGTCTATAACTTTTTATATTTACTGATATTGAGAATGTACATACTGCATGTGTGTTACTGCATCTAATCAAGACATGATAGTTCAGATAGCACATTGACAAAGAGTGTAGATAATTTATCGTTCAAACAATCATTTAATCTGAACAACTGATTTATTTTATGGATCAAAAAGAAATAGTGTAGAGATCGGGATTTGCGTTCCTGTCAGCACCCTTTGATAAAGAAGAATAATTGTAAATAAAATTTGCTGATGAAAATTAAACACAGCATCGGCACTGTGAAAACCAGGAAGGAAAATTGTGAAATTTTTACAAATGGAATAATAAATTATCATCTGGATTACATGCTATATTGCTGATATCGCGTATTTAAGTGATAGAAAATTTAATATGAAAATAATTTATTCAGTGATGATTTCATTGCCTTTTCTTGCACATCAAGTTTGTTCGGAAATTCTTGGATGATTCCATGACGCATGCTGATATTGAACGAAATCTGCTCTTTTAAGAATAAGTCATGTAAACTAGAACAGTTAGAATTATCTTCCCCGGTGATTGACATGATGTGAAATTTTACAATTAAGTAATTATTTATATATTTTTTGTGTTAAGTAAGGGGATGGATTTCTGAAATAAAGAATACAAAATATCAATATGTGTTGAGTTTATTTTTTAGCAAATCAAACCCTTCTACACATTATATTGGAGTTAGGATTGTTTGATATCCACGGGTCGCCATATTCACAAATTTCAACGAGATTTGAAATAGACTAAAGACGTCACAAGACAAGCAAAATGTTCAACCGGGGATTTACATATCTGGGGTGTTATCTGGTGACTTATTTGTACCTATATCTGCGGTCCAAATTGGTCCTAACTATTATACGTTATTAAAGACGTTCCAAGTCTAAAGTAATGGTGGGCGGGTGGAAAGACCTCGCTGTCTAGACATAACCGAAAAACATTACCAGTACATCCTTATTAAACAAGAATGTGCATTATGAAATATGGTAAACAAGTGCATTCCAATTATAGCGCTATAAGTACTGCAGTGATTAATGGGTTTTTACAAAGCTGTCAATTTTCATGTCAACGTTTTTGTGAAAACTTTGACTGAGTCAGAACGTCCTTCCTATGAGCTATATATATATAGTACCGTATGCAGCTCAATGGCCCATCCACAGCTTTTGAGCATCGTGTAGTCGGATAATAGTTGAATAATTCATCAATACTGAAATGCGCGAAACGTACGGGCTAACACCTGTTAGTATGCAAACTGCGATTTGATCAGCGTAGATTTTGGCTTTTATTTGCCACACTGTATCAGCAGAGAGTGGGCTTACTTGGTGATGGGCATCCTTTTATTAATTATGACCTCATTATTCATTTAATCGCCGCCAATAAATTGCGCACAAAATGTTACATTCACACGACAAGTGAAATACTCATCATATCGGAAGGGCGTTTTACCTGAATTTGCCATATTGATAAATGTAACTCATCGCCAGTAAATACTGGGTGTAGACAACGCCCCCCCCCCCTTTCTGGAGACCTGGTAAGTCAGGTGCAAGGGGGAAGTCCCGCTTTGCTGTACAAACCGAAACTCGAAATGTCACTGGTGGATGTCGCGATTCGGGTAGTCAAAATGCGGATCTTAAGAAATGTACAATTACTATGTATGTGCAAGCCCCCCCCCCTTTCCTCCCTAAACTTTGGTGTCCTGGTGGTAGTATTTTTCGGGCCATAAATAGCCTGGGGTAACTTATTTTAACGACACCTGTCGCGTGAAAAGAATAGGCCTGTTTTTTCTTGTACTTTTTTCTATATCCTATTTCATTTCTTAACTAAAGTGAAGTGTGACACAAATACCAAGTACGCTCGGAGGTTCATACCACATTGAAAGAAGAAATAAAATCCGTGACAATAAATGGATGGAGAGAGAGAGAGAGAGAGAATAAGATCATGTAAAGGTGGCAAACTATGTTAACAAGAAGTTGAATCATCCGTATGACAGAAAACAAACATGATGGCGTTTCATTAACAAAGTGACAAAGCCAACATCGCCATCTGTTCATATGATCAGGTCTTCCCATAAAGCAAATATTTAATACGACTGGTTGATGAACTTACGCTAACACCCGAAAATATGAGCGTATTTTTTTTCCAAAACCTTCGCCTCATTTTATTCCTCCCTGTGACATACGTAATCAAACCCGTTGCCAGGACAACGACTCTAAGAAAGTTTAGAGAAATGTCATCTGCAACACAGGTACACTGAACTGAACAGCTTCATTATTTATTAACTGAAAAAAAGCACAATTTTCTTACATAGTACAGCTTGGCAGATTTACACAGAATCACAGTAAATATACTTAACATGATACATTATCTGAACCAGCCACAATGTTAATTTTGATAGGTTATAAATTAAAAACCATTCCAACTTGCCAATTTTCAAAGGAAGTTATCATATATACTGCATTTCGATTAAGGTGCTAATTAAAAAAAAACTTAAGACAAAAGGTTCCTGCATAAGAAAAGGAAATAATCTGCAAGAAAAAAGTGCAAATTTACAGTTTAATTTACCCAAGCAAAGTAGTTGTTTAAAAGACAGGTGCTCTGATACAAACCATCTAAAATTTAAGTTGCTATAAAAATCCACCTTTCCCAGACCCCAGTAACTCAAAAGTCCCAATAAAATATTTCTCCTGCTAAGTAAACATGACCAATGCAGAGTTATTACAGTTTTATCAAGGGTTGTGCAATATTCAAATGCAATAAATGACCACAACCATGTTGCTCAAGGGTTTGGATCCCATTTTCATAGAAACCATGCAAATCAAAAATTTGAGCTCAGTAATCACAATAGAATATTTCCTTGAAAACTAAGTCGATATTCCTGATGACTCATATTAGGAAGTTGCACAACATTTTAACCAGTTCCTTAAGATTATCTTTAGATGAAAAAATATATATTATTCTATTAAATAAAATTTACTCCTTTATCAGTTATGAGTTGTTTTCCCCCTGATATTTGTTTCAAAACAAAATAAGCGTTAAGCAAACAGATCAATTATTTATGGCACAGTGCATACTCGGCATATTTAAACAATGAAATGGCTAAAATATGACAAAATGCAAACTTGGCCAAACAAATCTTAAAAGATCAATAAATGCCAAAGCTTCATGAACATAAAGCAAAGCATATTGAACATCATATGCCCATTTAGGATAGAAAATCCATATAATATAATATTTAATTTATCCAACCAGCATCTCCTTTCCATTTTATGAAATACACATATGGTCTACTACTAACTTCATACTAACTGCTAGGGATCAGCAGACATTCTGTGCTTGGCAGGCAAGGATTTGATTGAAGCGAGCAGGTATATGCCAATATAAAAACTGCCTTAACATAAAGATTAACTTTAACATTAAGAAATTTACTTAATTTATACATATATATGTACCAGTAAATTTACAACTTTACTACCCAGATATAACACTTAGGCTCTATTCCCATAGATTTTAGATCGATCTATCCCCGCGGGGAGTCTCACTAGATTACTTTCAGATAATCCGACTTAAATGTCCGTCCCGCCTACTACAAGCTGTAAGGGGGTAATTAACTTTCGTGTCCGCTCGGCTGACAGCTATTTAGCGTGAACCCCCAGGGAGTTAGGTTGATCTAAAGTAGGTCGATCTAATCTATGGAAATGGGGTGTTAAATACCATCTGGCATTTCTATACAAACCAGTCATTTCCATCTCTGTGTGGAGAGACATACCATTGTTTCTAGAGGACGTAAGTAAAACCTGTCTTGGCACAGATCATGTTAGTATTACTCCAAATTCACATAACAAACTAACAACATCACGTAAAGCACAGTGCTGATCCTGCTGTTGATTCATCCACTAAAACTGGAACTTGTTACAAGCTGTTACATGTACAGAGGTTTCCTGGTGAGCACTCTAAAACAAATGGTAGACGTAAACCAGGTTAACCTATCTTCAATGAAAACGTGCCTCAAGTCACCTAAATTACTGGGTCAGGTTTCAGTCTTATGGATGACACTATCTACCGTATAGAATTGTTAACCTATGGACAGTTGTCCTGAAGAAAGCAGTCATTTTTTAACCACTGGATAACATCAGAAACAAAAACTTGTCACAAGCTGTTACATGTACAGTGGTTTCCCATGCTGAGCTACTCATTAGCAAATGGTAGATATAAGCTAGGTTGGCCTATCTTCAATGGAAACATGCCTGAAGTCTCCTGGTTTCTTCTAATGCATTCATATCACCCAGGCATTAAAAGCCACTCAGCTAAAGCAGTCCATCACAGCACATTTATATAACATTTTGCACTGTGAACCTGACAATAAAGAGTACAGTTTAAAATTAACTTCACAAAATGTATTATCCATTATGATCCAATACTAGAACTCAGCACTAGAACAATTACTTAAAAAGATGACTAAATATAGTCTTTAAAATCAATTCAAGCCAGCTGAAAGATGGTAGTAAAAGTAAAAATCATATTATAACATGTAGTATATTCTCCAAGTCACCCGATCTTATACCCTATCAAACATTTGTAATTAAGTGAAAATTTTTTATCATAGAAATTTATACAGTTAAAGAATCATATTTCCAAACATTATATGTTGATAACAGTCTACAATAAATTTAAGCAAAAAATATATTATGCGCAAAAAAGTCTGCCTATTGGATAGACAAATCTCTTCAAATGAATGATATTTCGTGAAACATAAATGAAAAGTCCATTTATGAATGAATTTCCACCTGACTGTATAACATATGCTAACAATAAAAAAAAGATTAATATAAGCAGTGTTAATAAATTACGTGAAATTATCAATAAGCAAAATGACAAAACCATGCCATAAAAAATAATTGTTGGTCAAATGCTTTCTGCTGAAAATAAAACAATGTTGCACTAACAAAAATCAACCACAAAGAATCAAATTATGGAGAATAATGTACTTGAATTATTTAACAAAACTTAATGAAAACTTTGGCAGTTTTAAGTTTTATCTTTATATGAATGTACAGTTCAAGAAGCAAGTGGCCCATTTCACCATTTGCTCTGGACACAAACTCTGAAACTTAAGAAATTGAGTATGCAACAAATATTGCTGATGCAAAACTATCAATTTTAACCCAGATCTTCCCTAAAGCTCTAATATATTACATTAATTTGAAATACAAAACAAACCACTAATTAGAATGCTTTTTCATCTCTTTTTTTCTAATCTAATGTGTTTATTTGATTGATGAGACAATTCTACTAAGGCATAATAACTCACTAAAGGGCTGATGTATAAATCATTTTCAGAAATCATACTTTCACTCCAAAAGCAATTTTGTAATCAGCATTTGCACATAGGTTGGTTTAATTTTAAATTAATTTTCAAATTACTTAAAGGCATGTGTTGTCATCAAGACTTCCTGAGTATGTTTCCCTTTTTACCCTTAAATATATACGCCATGTATGCTATATATATATATACAGTAAATTCTCTAGAACTCATGCCATGTTCTGAAAATCTGAAGATGCTTATCCAATGTCCATTAAAACTGATACCATATCACCAACAGCATATCATTTTTTAAAATGTTAAATAATTTTCATCTCCAAACACAGAATCTCCCCAACATCTTAAATGTGCTCTGTTCATGGGATGCATGTCTAATCTGTACTATAAGCTAGACATGGTCCTAGCCACTTCTCAATGGTGGCAACATCTTCCTTCTTCCTTCCTGCATAATCCTCAACCTGCAAAAATAAAATAATTAATTCATATAATGTGCAAAATGACATTGATAAAAACTGTTTGTGTAAATATAGATTTTTTAGCTACTGCTTTAAGGTGCTCTCCATTGGATTTTCCTGCCAAAATTAATTATCCTGTTGTAAAGAGCAATTTTTTCCTACTCACAACTTATTGCTTGACCCCTCCCTGTACTTGGATTTGATTTTTTACTCAACTTTTGATTTAATATTTTAGTTTTCAGTGACTAGCTACTCAAAATCACATCTGTCATCATGCACATTGCCTTGTTTTCACACATGAAAATAGTGGGGTGTTTTGCATCTTGGTCCTGGCTACCCCAGGAGGATGAAGAAGACAATAACAACACTACGTACACCTCACATAAATTTGTATTGAAAGGGCTTTAGAGTCTGAATTTGGAAATATAAAAAGCTTTACAGGACATAAGAATGACTGTGGGGGATTTTCAAAAGTGCAGAGAGAATTTCTAAAAATCCATTTTGGCAGGTAAAATCCTCTGGAGAGAACTTTCAAGACTAATTACTCAATGACAGACTTATTGTATATTAATTGATATACTCAAATTGCAAAACGCACTTACCAACATTGCTTAAGAGGTTAATTGACAGGGGAAATGTAACAAATGATACGAAATTGACATGACATCCAAAAAAATGTGACACTATTTTGATTACAACAAATGGTTTTTCTGGTGTATTTCTGTCTGTCTGTCTGTCTGTGTCTGTCTGTCTGTGTGTGTGTGTGTGTGTGTGTGTGTGCATGCGTGCATGGGTATGTGTATTACTGAATTGTGTCAAAGTTCAAGCAATTTTTTCTTACTGGAAACAACAACCCCAACAACTTACAAGGAAGTGACACATTTCAAAAGGTTAAAAATAATACTTGTATTGAAATTTTTGTAAAAAAAGAATCTTCCCTACAGCAAAGACACTGTGCCTTTGTTTGTCATAATAGAGACAAGGCTCAGGTTGTAGATTCCACTGACCTCTGTCTTTTAAGGTATAATGATGAAACCAAAACTTGATTCGACAAGTTCCAGTTCACCGAATCCTTTTATGATTTCCCAGCAGCATAGTCAAATACCAAGTTGTCACAGTACATATCACAAACACAGACATAATTCACCATAACTTAGTTATCACACACATTACTTTGTCTATCAAGTTTCATCTCACCTGATCCTTGTTAATCTTCCCCACAGCAAAGTAGTAGGACTTTGGGTTGGCAAAGTAGAGGCCAGACACGGAGGCAGCAGGCTCCATGGCCAGGGATTCTGTTAACTTTATCCCCAGTCTATCTGGCTTCATCAGTTTCCACATGGTTATTTTCTCAGTGTGGTCAGGCTGGCTGGGGTACCCCGGGGCTGGCCTGATACCCTGGAATGTTATATCTGATTCATCAGAAATAAAAGTGAAACCTCTTATAAAAATCCTGAAAACATGAATGACAAAGGTGTGTAGCTGTATGTGGGATCTTGGGATCATAAATGCAACAACATAATATCTGGATTTACAAATAAATCTTGATGATTTTGATTTGATATCTGTATAATATAACTGTTTGACAAAATAAACCTCAAAATTGTGCATCTCTCTTTGATCCTTTATATCAAAATTACCTAAATGTTGTTTTTCCATTGAAGTGAATGAGTTTATATTTTTAGAAAAAAAATTAATTTGCATCAATTTCGTGAATGATTTATCCAACCTTCATTTAAGCAATATTTCAATCTTCTTAGTTTACTGTCAAATTTTGTACATATACCTGTCATTGTGTTAGTTGTGACTGTATCCTCAACCAATCTCATGAATGTGACAGTTCTATCAATAAGCCTTTGACAATTTCAACAAATTCTGCGTATTGAAGCGTTAAGTATAGTTCTATCCTTCCAATGACTCCAATCTATTTTCTACTGCCTTTTGCACTAAAACTGGATGTATTGTACCATTCTGACAGTTACTAACATTTACTTCCTTTCATAAGCCCCAAAGTACTGATCAAAAGTAATCTGGTTAAGTGACAGTGGTCCGGGGTGCAGGCGCTCCATCTAGACGACTTTCTTACATAATATGTAGGCTCTTAATTTGTCAATTTCTCTAAATAAAACAACAGAGAAAACTGAGATGTGAAATTAAATTTCTGAGAGAGAGAGAGGGAGAGAGAGAGAGAGAGAGAGAGTGCCAACATTTTTCTCTCACCTCATACTTAATCCTATGCAGATCCTGTGCCCCCAAAGTTTCCTGAGTACAGTAGCCCCAGTATTCCTTCCTCACTCTTTCGTGCATTTCCTCCGCGAAGGCCTCGGCCAGTCTGTCAGCCAGGGCCTTCACCATGATGATACTGTAGTCGTCCAGCTGCCTCTCAAACCTGGATATTCATAGATAGGTATATTACTTAAAACGCTTCAGAGAAACACAAGCCAATGTATGATTTGGGAGAGTGTTTTTACAATAATTAAATTGATTGTACTAGTATGTTTAATATGTCAGTATAATTCATCTAAGTATAGGTATGTTTCACACTAGTCTATCCAAGCCTTTCCATGCCACACTTCTCAATCACACTAAAAGCTTTCCGTATCTACAGACACTACTAAAATGTTCATAAAAATAGGTAAAAATCCCAGCATTATCCAGCAAACTTACTCATTGCACATCTTGTCCACTCCAAAACAGCTGACAGCAAACATCCCAATGTAGTCCCTGATACTGGTCTCCTTGGGTGCCACAAAGTCTGAGATACACAGGTATGGATCCTCAACACCTGGCTCCTTCTCTGCCTGGAGAGATAATTGGCAAGAATTATCACAATTTACTCAGTTAGCCATGCTCAGCACTGTAACTCAAGGACACAGGATGGACCAGACCCATGGCACAACAAATCTTTAGACTGGCATTGTCAATGTAATGTGTCAAAACTTAACTGATCTGTGTGTTATTCTAAATTAATTTAAGAAAACGTTATATTCGAAAGAGTCAATGTGGTGGACTTTTAACAAAAGGGATAAAATGAAGGGATATAGTTCTTTTAAAAACGTGACACACTATCTGAAAGAAAGTACCTTCCCCCTAAAAAAATAAATAAAAGCGTATCTATAGAACATTAATCTCTCATCTTGATAGATCAATCCATCTATAACTACTAATAGTAACTGTACCATTAATGTCACAGATAATATAAAATAAAGCATATTACCAGGGGTCGAAATGTTTAGAAAATCATACTTTCCCTGCCGGGAAAGTGATTTTGTACATTACTTTCCCTGCAGGAAAGTAGCTTTCCCTGACAACAAAATCATGAAGACCGATTTCCCTGATATTAAATTAGTTTATTTTAATATGATGATGAATTATAAAGGAAATAACATATCTTTGAGAAATTAATGTTTATTGTTATGAAATAAACTAACATGGCATCCATATATAGTGTTTTTTATAACAACTGGGTATACGTATTTGTCAACATTAATGTGACTGAAATCTTAGTACCAAATACATATGCTGCATATGCAGTGCTGACTGGAAGGGCCATTACAATGGCCGAGAGAGCACAAATATTAGGGTAAATGTCTTTAAGTACAGTCAGCATTTTACTTAAAAAGGTTACTATGTCCTCGCCCTTTTCATGAAGTTCCAGCATGGATTTTTTTAACTGAGGCCATTCAGCCTGGCACATGTTTGTTATAAAGCCAGAGTTATCCAGTGTCCTCCTTAAATGTTCTGAAAGCCTTTCAATTGTCTCATCTCCATACTCGTCACTGTCTATATTCTCCATGGGTCCATCTTTGGCAGCTAAAAAGTAAGTATTAATGGTAATTGATAGATTGAGATTTTATTGCAATTATATACAGTTACAGAGAAATTACTGGAAACTTGTTCACTAGAATGGTAATGTGAATACTTAACTATGAACTGAAGGCAGACTCTGGACGTGTCAATTATCATATAATCATGGTCAAACCAATAAACAATTGGACTTATTTCTAGTGTGCACAATGATTAATTTCATTTGAAACTTGGGGCATTTTCTTAATAGTAGACAATTTTATACCACTTAGTAAAGAGGAAGTTGAAGAAGTGCAGTGAAATTTTGATGTTAAAAACACTCAATTTTCAGAAGTATAAAGGGAATAAAGATATTAGGTCCTTAATTATAAAGGCTAGAATAACCCATGGCATCTTTTAAAAGGTCATCAGTTTGGTAGGAGTTCAATGAAAAACAAATTAATCACTAATCAAACAAACTAAATAAGTCCAGGTGGAGCTCTTGAGCAGAGCCGAAAATTCGAGGGTAGGAAAAACTCGGTCTGTGAAAAGGGCCGATTTGTTTTTCAGTACGTCATGTCATCAGCAAAGAGAACGAGGTAGGGCAATTTTAATGTTTACTACGTAACAGAAAGGTAAAAACGTCTTCTTTATCATAAAATTTACAATTCGTTAGATATAAAACTTGTTAGGCGTTATTATTGTTTACGACGTACCTGCATCGTCGCCATGTGCACCTGCTTCACCTTCATTTCTTATCGTGTCTTGAAGTTTACATGTGTCTTGTTTAGCGAGTTTGCTTGTTTTTTTTCCTTGCTTTCGTCTTTGATTTTCCACTTGAGGAGCTCATGCTCAAAGAGATTCATTTTCTGACTATCAAACTCCGTCAAACTTGAGCCCGACTAAGCGCGCAACCTGAATCTTGCATCAGCTGATCGTGGATAAATGGCTGACTGATATTCGTTCCCCGTACTACGCTCTCTGGTTCCCGTTATTTGTGTAGGCTTGGACGATGCGTTAACTTTGTTCACGCACATTAATTTGTTTCCGTGAGCTGCGTAGGTTTGTACCTCTCTATGTTATACATGCTAGCTACACAGCTTTATCCTTTCTATGTCAATCATTGTGTAAATGGTATAGGGAACGAGTCAGATATACCACTGTAAATGCCTCGAGACGATTTTGATTGACAACGCTCTTGAAATTCAAAAGGAGGCCCCGTAACAATTTCTAGCTAGTCACGTGCGTGCGTCCTTAGTTTCATAGTGAGTACTTACGTCTAGCTTACTTGCGTTGTGGAAAATAGTTAAATAATTAACGGCTTGTATCAGCACAACTTGGTGCCAGGAAATGAATTTCATTATAGGTAACAGTTCTTCGGGAAAGCGACCTCTAAGCGCGGTTTCCCGAAAGGTTTTTGCATTTCCCGGACATTTTCAATGATTTACCGGACGGGAAAGTAAGATATGGCTTAGATTTCCCGAGCTCGCAATAGCTTTCCCGCGGGAAAGCGGGAAAGCAACATTTCGACCCCTGATTACCTGTTGTCTCAACCCATACAGTGTGTTAAGGTATGCCCCTGTGTCATCATAAAGCTCTATATCATCCCCTATACTGTTAGCCTTGTAGAATGCTACCACTCCTCTAGCTGTTAACAATTTGTTGTCAGTGATCTTCTTTAACATGGCCTGGGCCTCGTTGTACAGTTTTTTGGCTTCCTCACCTGTAACAACATGTGAATGCAGTAACATGCACGTATACAGGTGATTATTTACTTAACAGCAAATTTGTACCCATGCACAGCGTAGTTCCTCCTCTAGACATTACATCACATTTTTAGCATATCAAGGCAAGAAATATTAAGTTCATAATTTTTTTAAAGTTTATATGATTGATTCAATGAGCCATGGTGACAAAAGCAATGTAACTGCCTCTTGAAAGCCTTGCTGACATGGAGACCCAATCAAGACCCATCAATACAGACAATAGAATCACCTACCAACAGTTGGGTCATTGAAGATTTTAGGAAAGCCACGATTTGGGTATTTTCCCCTCAGCTGCCACACATCAAAGAAAGGTTTCCAGTCAATGTATGGAATCAGAGCAGACAAATCGTACTCCTCAAATGTCTTCACTCCAAGGAATGTTGGGGCAACTAAAAAATAAATTCCAACCTTAAAATTCTCAAATTTATAACAGCCACATGCAGTACCATCAAATTCTAGCTTCAGCTTGTAAATCTGAAATAAAGCCCTTTAGCAATCCTTTCAGAATCTTTCATAAAATACATTAAGAAACAGCACAAATATGTTATAACTAAAATTAACATTTACATATATCAAAACTGTCACAAATGTATACAGCACTGTAGCAAGCCATTTCAAAAGGGGACAGGTTCTTTTTCTGATAAATTGGACTTTTCTCTCCTGTAACTGACCCAATTTGAGCCATGGCACAGAACCTAGATCAAATTAGAATTCAAAGTGGCCTTTTCCGGCCAGTCAAAAGTCACTTCTTTCAACCCCCCCCCCTTTTCCTATAGGCCTGCATCAGCAATGAAACGAAAGAGAAAATAAATTTTGAACTGTACCTGGAGCTGGCTCCATTGACCAGTCTATTTTCAAAGACTTCTGTCTTGCTTTTTCTAATGACAGATACTTTCTTTCCTAGAATGAAAAAAATCCTGAAGAACAATAGTTTTCAAAGCAATAAATCAATTACACCTCAATCAAAATCAACGGTATATAATATTCATGTTATAGCAATAATCTTACAGATGCAGGAAGACAGTAAAATACCTTCAGGGATTCGTAGTGTTCCTCTCTGATTTCTTCATATTCTTCAGCTATTTCTTCAATGTAGTCTGCATAGTTTTCTGTCTTATCAAGCAGGTTAGAACACTAAAGAAATGATTACAGATTACAAAATATCAGAACAAAAAATCACCACTATGATATATGGTTTACCCACTAAAATTACCACCACATGTATCTTGACTTTGGTCAGAGGAATATCAACAAATATCAGTATTATAACATGTCAGTTAAAATATCATGTATTTACCCAAGCATGCACTCAAGCTCACATATATTACTCTGATTATAATGAAAACAGTTAAAAATTTTAATTCAGATGAAAAAGATTAGTTTTTTACCACTACGACGCTCTTGGATGCATCTAAAACATGGATGACAGGAGAAGAATATCTGGGACTGATCTTCACAGCTGTGTGTTGTCTGAAAACAAGGAATGAATCAATTTAATTGCAATTTCTAAAGCAAGATTCATTTCAGTTTAAACATACATTCAATTTATACATTTCATTTATTGTTCCAAATACTACAAGGTAATTTGACTATTGATGTATAAGAGATACATTTTGAGGTATTGCCAAGTAACTTCTAAGAAAAGACTTAAAAATTAAAAAAAATATAAATTATACATATATCAAAATATTCTTACTTTGATGTGGTGGCTCCACCTATCAGCAGAGGGGTTTTCATGTCTCTCCTTTCCATTTCTTTGGCCACATGGATCATTTCATCCAGAGATGGAGTAATCAAACCAGACAGACCAATAATGTCTGAATTAGAAAAAAAAAACCCATGCCACAACATACATAGTCAGACCAATCACAGTTTATAAATAACCACAAAAATTTTAGTAGACATACATATATGTAGATGTACAGTTTACATGTATGTGTGATCATTGTTTAAGGAATAGTTGAGACAAACTAAAATTCATCGTATTTTAAAATCACTGCAACTTTCAAAGAGAAAGCACACTGGGACAGGCCCAGAGGCTTCTTATTACAACTTGTATTAAAAACAAACAAAATACCAGGGATGAAAACAGAGAATGCACCCTGCCTCTCCCACATCCTCAACTGAAATGATACTCTTCTTATGAAAACTTTATATAAATCATCAAGCAACATTCTAGGCTTTCTTTTCATTTATAAATAGGGGGGTCTTTCAAAAGAGGAAAATTTCCACCAAACAAATTTGCAGCCCACATTCCTGCAATCGTTCCAGTAAATGTCTTACCAGCCTTCTCCTGTGTGGCTGTGTCTAATATCTTCTCACAGGGGGTCATCACACCCAGGTCAATCACCCTGAAACACATTTGGATTGAGAAGTATGTAACAGGTTAATACAGTACAGTATTCCATGAAAAATCTATCTACTAGCTGCTGATACAGTCCTTTGTGTGTAACTTTTAAAATTATTTTTATTATTTGAAATAATTATGCAATAAAATTTCAGTGAAGCATTAACCATCAAAACTCCACATACTGCTACTTAACTTTTATAGATTTCATCATAATAAATTAATAAGAAGTTTAATAAGAAATTTGTAAAAATATGAATTCTTACTTGAAATTATTGCAGCCAAGTACTACTCCAACAATATTCTTCCCAATATCATGGACGTCTCCCTTGACAGTGGCAAGAACAACAGTGCCATTATAGGCATCACTCTAGGAGGAAGAAAATAAAGACATTCAAACTATAGATATAGAAAGACAGAAGCTATGATACATATATATTTATATATCATTTTGCAAGACACAGGAGCTCTATGTAAAATATCTTTTCTAAGAACTAGATAACTGCTAGCCTGAAATATAAACGTAATATACAAATTCATACCAAATCCTTTATTCCAGTCTCTTTCATCTTTTCTTCTTTTTCCTTCTCCATAAAAGGTATCAAGTAGCCGACAGCTTTCTTCATCACCCTGGCCGACTTTATCACTTGAGGGAGGAACATCTTCCCTGCTCCAAACAGGTCTCCAACAGTGCCCATGCCCTAGGAAAGAAAAATACAAACTTCTGCTATCTGCTATCGTCTGTGCTAAAACCTTTCAGCCTACTGGACCTAAGAGTTGCCAGGGTCTAAAAATCTACTGGTCTACAGCAGAAAAAGTAACTGGACAAATTTACAAAATTTTATTGGCGTGTCTTAAATTCTGTATGGGGCCAGAGTTGACATCGCACATTAAAATGTGTATCACAAAAGTTAAATTACCATTTGTTTCATCTCTACTATCATTTTACATTTCTCAGTCATATCACCCATGATGCCTTTAAAATCTGCTTATTACCCCAAAGGAATATAATTCCAATTATTTTCTATTATATAGCAAAAAAAATCCCTAAAATTTACTTTCCCAACTTCTCTTACCAAAATCAAATGGTCATGTTCAATATCAAGTGACCTAGAAGCAGGAACACTTACTGCCATTAATGGTCCTTCTATAACATTCAATGTCCTTGGGTATAGAGCCTTGTTTGCTCTTGCTTCTTCTGTGTCCTCAACAACATATTTGTCTATGCCCTACAAATAACCACATGATATATACCACAAATTAAAAGGCACCTTTTTCTTCTTAGTCTTTTTTTATTTTCAAAACAACTAAAACACCCACTGAATTCAAAATTTATGATTAAATCAAGTAAAAACTGAACCTTTTGTCGTGTATTGAGGATTTTTTAGCAAGGTTGACCAAAAACATTATCTGGGCTAGCATGTCTGTTATTTATTCCTGCTTCAACTTGTTTTACATTCTGCCACTAAGGAGTAAAAAATACCTTGATTAAACCATAAGCTAGTCTTTCTTCCACAGTGTTTTTTCTCCACTCTTCACTCTCTGTAATCTTCTTAGCATCTTTTCCAAGACTCTGATATCGAGAATAACATAAATATAATTATGTTAAATAACAGTAAATAAACAAAAGATATTATTAAAAATTTTTAGGCAATTAATAAACAACGAAGCAAAATATTTCTTTGAATCAGATTAGAAAAAGGGATAAATCTATGTTGGTTTTCCCCATGTTAATGTTTTCAAAGCTATGTACCACACCTGCCATAAGGCTTCAACTTAGGAGAAGAAATCTATCAGTCAAAGAAACTGTTTTCACCTGTGCGTATGTGAGGAGTTTCTCCGTGCCCTCAGGGTCTTTGTTCCACAGCAAGTTTTCACAAAGTTCCAAAAGTTCTTTCTTGATGTCATCATACACAGGTAGACAGCCAGCATTCACTATCCCCATGTCCATACCAGCCTGATCAGGATATAATCAATAAATCAATCAATTAATTAATTAGTTAACAGATCGCCACCAAAATCTAAGCAATCTAAGTTAACCTATTTCTGACCTATCCTGAAAATTTCATCAAAATTCATCTATAGCAATTTTATAAACCCACAAAGGTAAAAGTAACCTTCTTGGTGGGGAACAATAATAATTCTAAACGACACTTTTTAAAATATCCTAGTCAAAACTGTACATGCTCAAGTCATTCTTCTTTTCTAATGTAGCACATCATTAAATGATACCTTGTCTACTGTTTATCTGTTACACAAATAAGTTCAATCTTATATAAAATAAATCATAAAAGTTAATTTTATATTATTTTGTATAATAGCGCAACAGGGCAGCTCTGGGTACAAAATGTATCCAATATATATGGCAGCACAAGTTAACAGTATACCTTAATGGCGTGGTACAGGAACACACTATGCATAGCCTCTCTCACAGCGTCCATGCCGCGGAATGAGAAGCTGAAGTTGGACACACCACCACTCACACGTGCTCCTGGTAAACGTTCCTGGAAATGCAATCCATTATTGTTCAGTGTTTTGTCTTGGGCTTCAAAGTTTTATTAATCATAGGGTACAACAAAGTTTGCAATAGCTATGGAAAGATATTACTGCAGTCAAAAGATTGATTTTATCAAAGAATGTGATATTTCAGATTCTGTTAGTGCAGCTAATGGGTTATAGATTTTCTTTCATGATTTAATATGTAACATACCCACTTTTCTAATATCAAATGCCATACCAACATTTAAAAAAACTCAATTTTCAGAAGAAGGGTATGAAAGGACGTACAGATACGTTTAATATTTAATGGAAACCCAACAAGTCCCGAAAACATAGTCTCACCTTGATGGCCCTTGTAGCTTCAATAAAAGAAATCCCATATGGATTGTGTTCCTCTATCCCAGTGGCAATGGTGAGAATATTGGGGTCAAATATGATATCATACGGATAGAAGCCAACCTTCTTCACCAGAATATCATAGGATCTCTGACAGATAGCTATCTTCCTCTCTGTGTCTGTTGCCTTAAAGAGCACAAGTAAACATATCACTTAAAATATTCACATTTCTACATCATCACCACATAAAGAAAATTTTAAAAAATAAATCAAAAAGACTTAGCTGACATGCTCCTGATCAAACTGCCAAGAAATTTAACTTGTAAAGTTTTAAACTGCATTATTTTCAACATTTAACTAGTACTGCTATTCATAAAACTGTAATTTATTCCAACCACATATCTACATTTTATTCACTTGTCCTTAGTAAGCCCAGTGCACAAATCAATCTGTTTTCCACCTCAAACTCTCCTACCTGTCCCTCCTCATCAAATGCCATCACTACCACTGCAGCTCCATGCTTTTTAATGACCTTAGCTTTCTGTATAAAGTCCTCTTCACCTTCCTTCAAACTGATACTGTTAACAATACACTTGCCCTGGGTACATTTCAGTCCAGCTTCAATTACTGCAAAGTTTGAGGAATCTATGCACAATGGTACCTGAATGATAAATGTAAATGTATGTATAATTATATCTATATAAACATGAACATATAAATGAAAAAAAAATTCTTAAAGGTTTCTTTGCGATTTAAATTTCCATCATTAAAAAATCTAATCTTCAGACTGGACAAAACTCATTTAAATTCTGTGGCATGTTTAATTCAGATATTGTAACTTTTTGAAAGCATAATGAATTTATAAGTACTAAAATATGTAAATTCTTATTGTATATTGGGTCTTTCCACAAACAAAGTGTAATACATTTTGTGTGATATCTGCATAACTTTTTATTCTTGCCGATTTCTTTCCATGTTGGAAGGTAGTATAGTATAAAATGCACAAAATAACAGGGCAAGTCATAACTGCTCAAATATTACACAAAATGTGAGGAGCAACGAAATCTGTTCAACACTGCCAGTAAGTGAGCATGGTGTACGTCCTACCTTTGATATGTCAGGTTCTGAAGAGATAAAGTTGACAAACTTTGACATGGCAGCCACTCCATCTAACATGCCTTCATCCATATTGATATCCAGTACCTGAGCACCATTCTCTACCTGGAGCTTGGCTATGGACAAGGCTTCCTGATAAGAATAGACAGGTGTTTAATTTCACCACAAGCTTTGTCTACTTACAGATCAACACTTAATTTTCCCATAGTAGTAGGCTGAATGGGCAAATTCTTCCACATGCAATCCTGGCAAATGACAACTAGGTATACATACTTATGACTACTAATGGGAGATACATACACATACTTTGTTTGATAGTGAACTTTCTGAACTATCCATAAGAATATTCTATATCATACTAAAGCTTCTGTTTTCATATTTTCACACACAAACCTCATATTGATTATCTTTGATCAGCTTGCAGAATTTCCTCGATCCAGCGACATTGCACCTCTCCCCAATATTCACAAAGTTAGTGTGAGGACCTATGAGCATGGGCTCTAAACCTACAAGACATAAACAAAAGTACATGTTAGTCTGCACGGGTGGATTGAGGCTGTCTTCTGGGTCTTCTGGAAGACCATCAGATTTTCAAGTTTACATTGACAGGTATCTAATTTTCTCTGTCGGAAGAAAGTCAAAAGTGGAGGATAGATCAACAAAGTTAATTCGGAAGACTGTAAGAAAATATCTCTGGGTCTGCCCCTGGTCTGTCTTTAGCTCCTCATAATATGAAATATAAGATCCAAAATATAATACTGACAAGTAAATAACTACAAGTATTTTCGCCTCAAAACATAAATCCTACCTGATAGTAATGTGTAGCCTTCGCGTAAAACAGTTGGTCGCTTCCTTGGAGGATATTTCTGGACAGCTTCTTTTATCACCCTAGATAAAAAAAATCATAAAATTTACAAAATAACCTTGAAAGTATACATTCCCAAACATAAACATAAACAGAATATAATATTAGAATATTTGATCATATAAATACAGCTTTCAGTATAATTTCCCATGTTGTCATAGCATACCTTATGTGATCTGGAGTAGTTCCACAACATCCTCCAATAATGTTCACCAACCCGTCCCTGGCAAAAGACTGAAGAAGAAGATAAAAGGCCATCAAAATACTCATTAGTTAGCCTCACCTACAGGGTAATTTCTGAGAACAGCACCTTGGGATCATTTAAATGAAACCAAGGCAGAGATAAAAAGGCATCTGGGTTTAGAAAAATGTCACTGAATACAATGTTTTAATTAACTTCATTTAAAATAAGTTAAAACTTGTAAACAATTCACTGAAATGAAAATACCAAACCAAACCCTCTTTCCACATGTATACAAATTGTATAACACAAACCCATATTATAAACCTCTTTTCTGTTCTCAAAATTTAATTATTCCTTTTTTCCAAGCAGCAGTCTTTCAGTAACGACATTGGGTTTAATCATAAATAACTTACTCCCAGTTTTTCCGCCATGAGCTCTGGGGTCTCATCATATTCACCAAATGTATTGGGCAGTCCAGCATTAGGATAACATAACACATAGGCCGTGGTGTTTTTACCTATGGACTCAATGAACGGCCGCATCTCACTGGCACCCAGGGCACAGTTCAAACCCAAACTAAATGAAAACAGTAACAAAAATATTCAGTATTATCAATATTAAATGAATTACCAAATCTACGTACTTCTAAGAGTCTCAAGATGAATAGGCTGTAAAGGATCTCATCAATTTACCAAACTTAGGAACTTATTCAAATCTATGTCCAAGATGAACAAATTTTGATTCAAAGCAGGCCCTTTCCTCCTAAAAAATGACCCTTTCTAACCCTCTGATCCCCCCTCCCCATCAAGGGGCCTGGCTTACCACATAGGATTAGAGTGGGACACACTAATGACAAATGCCTCCGTTGTCTGTCCTGACAGCGTCCTTCCACTCTTGTCAACTATGGTGCCAGATATCTGGAATATAGGGAAAATTTGCAGACAGAGATTACAGCTAATGAAAGTATAACATTTTTACAAATAATGTTACTGAAATCATGCTTTCACTTTCACTTCTTCTGATAGGAAAGCTAGGGTTATATGGTTATGGTTAATTGCAAAGGCAAATATGTACTGTGGCAAATATTTACTTTTTTAATAATACCCAAATAACTAAGTTATTCTAATAAAATGCATTAGTCTGAAAATTTTCAGACAAGAGTACTGAGTGAAGTGATTCATTCACTTACAAATATAGGAACAGGTTTGTAGTCTTTTTCAAACAATGTCTCAATTGCAAACAAAGCTGCCTGAAATTTAACACAAAAATCAATTAAGTTTGTAAAAAAATTCTTCCCTAATCAGATTCATTGAAAAAAGTATCAAATCAATATTTATGTCAAGTAAACTAAGACTGTGTGGAAGAATAGAGAAAATCTAAATTTTTACTACAAGTATTTTCATAATTATAGCTATGCTTTATCTATTCTATATATCCTGAAATAGCCAGTGTGCTACAGTATATATTACACAACACCTAACCAAAGTAACTTGTAGATCTACCACCTTAGAATTTGCAGTGTCAAATATTGTTTCAACTAAAAGGACATCAGCGCCCCCGTCCAGTAACCCCTTGGCTTGCTCTGTGTACGCTGTCACCAACTCATCAAAGGCTTTCAAGGATATAAAGACAAGAAATCAGAATCCATACAGTCTGCTTTTCACAAACAAAGTCATCTGGTTTTAAATTCTGACTTCAATATCTCAAATATGGAGCTATGGGATAAAATAAATTTTTAAAAATAATTTCTCAAATGTAACATATTATAACTTATTTTGCATTACTTCACATCATTCATAACTTTCAGATTTTTGGAGAATATTAAGAAAAATGTAGAACTTACTTATGTTCCTGTACTCTGGTTTTTCAACAGAAGGAGATATGGATAATGTTCTATTGGTTGGTCCTAAAGCTCCAGCCACATATCTACGGACACCTGTAGTAATCACATAATGTTTGTAAGTTCATAATAATAAAAGTGTTGAAAATACTAAAAACCTTAACCATGTATTGAACATAAATAGCAAATTTCTCTATATAGTTCCTTTTGTGATGCCTTAACAAGTAGTGTCCTTAGTTATAGATCACTCCTTAAGCCACTATCTGGCCCATTACTGAAATCAAATATCTTCCAGTGCCTATTATTAAAGTGGAAAGTAACAAACTGTACCTGTCTGAGCTGTCACTTCATCTGCAGCTCTGCGTGCAAGCTTGGCAGACTCAAGATTTATCCTGTATGCCTGTAGTTTTAATAAAATAAACAAGTATAAATATATAAAATAAATAAATAAATAAATAAATAAACAAACAAACAAAACATTAGGCAGTATGGATTCTAAAATTCAAATAAACATTTTCTAATATTCTTTGCATTCCAAGACACAGAAAAATGACAGGCCCAAAGTAGAAAAAAATATGACTAACACATAAATAATTCAAAATTACACTTCTGCAATAAATCAATATAAATTACCAAATGCTCCAGTCCATAGTCAGCTTGGGCTACCCAGGTCCCACTGAATGTGTTGGTTTCTACAAAGTCAGCTCCTGCTTCTAGATACTCCTACAATGACAAAAATGTATCACATTGGCAGACATAGGCAGAGATTCTAATAGAGAGTCATTTAACAATAGTCCAACCTCTATCTTGACATCCTGCATACACCACTTATATTTTTTCCATTATAACATTTTAAAATAATTCATAATTTGGCAACCCTAGAAAGTATTTCATTCAAGATACCAGATGAAATATAGGAATTCAAATAAAATATTATTTTCTGATTATTCTTTTCTGATTATTTAACTTAGTACAGTACCCTATTACAGATTTTTTTCTATTTTAAGCTGTCATAAGAACTTACCTTGTGAATCTTCATAATAACATCTGGTCTAGTAAGGCTAAGGAGGTCATTGTTGCCTTTTAAGTTTTTGGGATGGTCTTTAAAGAGCTCTCCCCTGAAATCCTCCTCTTCCAGTCTGTTTTTCTGTATCATTGTCCCCATAGCTCCATCAAATATCATGATCCTTTCTTCCAGGGTAGCAGAAATCTCTGCTCCAATGTCTTTAAAGGTAAAGAAAGGAACCTTTTTGTTTTGATATAAAACAATTTGGAAACTGATTATTATAAGGGCTATTATGAATTGTTTAGGAAGTAAAATATAAACATCTTTCCAAATTATGTAATCAAACACTCTAGCCAACTGGCAAAAGAGTAGGCAAAAAAATATATTACCGTTTGTTTTAAACATTTGAAATAATGAACACATCCTTCGCATTATACGCATTTTCCAGCATAAATCAATGTCATCAGCATCAGTTTAATGTCATATTAACACAATGCTACACTTTGATACGTTGCAGTGTAAATGAGTGTTCTAAGTTACACTGTTATGGAAAGTTTTGAAAGTTTGAAGTCACTGGAGGTGCAAAGTTCACAAGTCCAAATTGAAATCATTGCAATTTTAAGGAACTTTAACAACTAATGTCATACATAACGTATCAATGTTGCTGTCTGCATTTGAAAAATAATTATACACATGATCTGAACATCATTTCATAGACCACACTTCTGACGCACGTGTGGCATTTGTTTACTACAGATGGCGCTCCAATCGACGGTGGTGAAGGAAAGTTCCACTGTCATAAAGTTTTTTATTTTACCTGAGGCTCCATGAGAAACGCTTGCATCTTCTCCGATTGTTGGTGGCATTGCTGAAACTTAATTTTCCACATAAACGATTCTTTGTTTAAAATGTTCAAGTGTTTTATTTAAAATATAATTCAAAGACAGAGCGATGTAACTTTCCGTCTGCTCCCGTTGATAGCCGATAAGAAAATGATTACGGAAGTAGTATCCCAGAATGCTCTCACTTGTAGGTCATGCGCATGCGTAGAGGTGGTTTACTGACGTCAGTAAGTTGCTTCGTGGCCAAATAAACTCTGAAACAAATATCGTGAAAAAATATACTTAAATCTAATATTATCAAAGTACCTCGGTCTTATTTGCCCAGCAGTATTAGCCAGTGATTATTCAAGACTACTTATATGGTAAGTATTATCTTGAAATTCGTTAACAATTGTACGGTATGTCAAACATGGGGTGATGGAATGTCGTGGTTAGATTCCCCGAGTCACCGCCGGCGTCGTAATTATTTCCTACATATGGCAGCGTCGTTGTTTACCCCTCGTTTAAAAGCCCTTGTGTAATGACGGGCCAAGGACCTTTTATGTCTCTGGTTAGTTTTTAAAGTTTCTCATCTGAATAAGGGGCCGAAGATGTTGGTTTCATATCTGTTGATGAGAGGATCCATAGATCATAACTGTCAGTGTCACTGTCATTTATCTGTCACTGACAGGTGTATATCAACAAAAGAAAAGTAGTTAATATCTTATTACTCACTAAATTGCACTTCATTATTCTTTTTCTAATAATGCTTGTTCGTCTGTTCGTGAATATTTGTATTTGATGTAGAAGGTACTTAATTGATGGTATTTAAAAAACGCAAGTAAAATTAATGCACCAAGTTGTCATATTTTTACACATTTCAGTGGAATATTTGGACTTTTTCCCTCAAATTGGAGGCTTTGAGAATTTATACAGACAGAAATAATGATTATCATTGTATGTCTTTTATTGCTTCCTTAATTTTATTTATTGCAACATTCTTGCAGGTTGGAAATGTAACACATTGATGAAAATACCTACACATATTCTTTACTTTTCAGGTTGAAGATCAAAGAAGAACACCGCCCCTTATTTTAGTTAGTTTTAGTTCACCATTTTGTGCCCCTATGACACGTGCTTGTACTGTCCTCAATGTTAGCCAGACGCCGTCGTACCACTTCTGGTTCTGAAACAGATCAGAAAGAGAACACTCCGCCGAGACCATACGCCTCAGGTGGAGCCACTGCATATAACACGCGGGGTTCTCCCTCAGGATCACCAAGTTTATCGACAAGGCCACAGGCCCCTCCTCCTTCGTTAAGACAAGTAGACCCAGACATGACTTGCCGCGATCGGACCAACGAGTTTATGTCAGCTGTGAAGTCCATGCAGTCTAGACAGGTAGAGTTTTTTATTAATTTATTTATTTATTTATTTTATTTATTTATTTATTTTTTTTTTTTTTTTGTCAAGAATACAAGTTAAGTATGATTTTAAATGTGGAAAAAATTGACTTGAAAACATATTTGACTTGAGAATCAATATAGGAACTTGCTGGTAGACTTTTCTTTTTGAGACAAAAAGACGATGTGAAATAAAGATTGTTGTTTGTGTAATTTAAGAAGGAAATCAATCAGATCCCCAGGCACTTTCATTACTTACCAAATGTATGTGAACCATGTATATTGATACAAGGATTCAGGCCTAGAAGTCTTGTGTGATAACAATTTGCCTTTTGAAAACTGTCAATATGCATGTGCATTTAGCAAAATCAAACAAAAAAAAAAGACTTTTCATTTATTGATTTCCTGAACTCTACCTTTGAATAAACAGAATAAACAAGATGTGGTTATTGTGTAAGAAAAATGTAGTTTTGTTGTTTTTGGAAAAGTATATTATAAATTTAAACTTTATTTTATAATTTAATGAAGATGTTAAAGTCAGGTGTATTGTTGTCCTTTCCCAGGTAATGAATGGCAGCCTCCCCTCCAGAATGAGTAGTAATACACTGAGGCAGAGAAGTCAATTCACACAGTTGGCCAAGTAAGTCACACTGTAGTAGAATAAGTCACAATATGGTAGAATTTCTACTCCATTCAGCAGTCTGTTACATCTGTAGTAGAGTTCAGTGTTTAAATTAAATATTATTGTAACTGGAAACTTTTAAGAAGCTCATTTGAATGATATTGTGTTTGATATTGTGAATGATATTGTGTTATTTATTTTATATTTTACTTTGATGAAATGATCAGGCTGGTGACCTGTATCTTTTCTTTTTAGAAAAATTGGAAAAGACATTGCCAGCACATTTGCTAAACTGGAAAAACTTACTATTTGTAAGTACTGTTGAAATATCTGTGTGTTTAGGATATTAGTGTGCCACACTTATTGATTTTGTAAATTAAATTCTTAATATAAGTAGTTATTTCAATCTAGAATGGTAGACACAGGCATATTTATGCTCTTGATTGAATAATTTTACATTGCATATGTACTTTTATACTGTGTATTTTATTTAAATTTATTAATTTACTGTGTTAAGTACTACAGTGATACATTTTAGTGACATTATATTTTATCATAGTGTCATTCCCTGGTATAACAATGTAGACCTGAATCTAATATGTGAGGTGTATATTTTCAGTGGCCAAAAGAAAGTCCCTGTTTGATGACAAACCCGTGGAGATCCAAGAGTTGACCTATATCATAAGACAGGACATTGGCAGTCTTAATAAACAGATATTCCATTTACAAGAGGTGAGGGGGGGCATTGTCAGCCAAGTTTTTTTCAAATTACACATTTGTTCATAGTGTACATTTGCCTGTCACTTAGCTCTAAATTATTGATGCAGACATTATATTTTTAAAAATGAGCTTTTTTATGATAGAACATATTTTAATACATACTTTTCTTAATGTATTATTATTATTATTATTTTATTTATTTTTTTTAGCTGGTGAGGTCCCAAAGAAATAACAGCAAACATGTACAGTCACATTCAAATTCAGTGGTTGTAGCACTTCAGGTAGGATCACTTGATCTTCTTGCTGAGTTATCAGTATCAGATGAGTATTAACCCCATAGGACCCAGTTAATTCTGACCCATAAAGTTCTGCTGTGCCCAATTAATTCTGTGAGCTAGCCTTGAAAAGCCGGGTCACTTCAGTAAATTGGCCATAATTTATTTGTTTGCCTTTATTACCCATACAAAGTACACATTTTTAAAAAGCCAACATTTCAAGCTAAATAAAATTAGAATTACATTTAAATTCAACGCGCTGTACAAAGAATTATGGCCGGTTAAAAACTACATTTTCATTTGATAATGGGTGAAATAAAACAAAGTTGATTTATCTTATGCACATCAATTTTTTATTTCTCCATAAATTTGCCTGAAAATTCACAGAGATGATGTCAATTATAGTAACTTTCAATCCAGGAAATTTCAGCAAGTTATCTCCATTAATTTCTAAGTTATGCTCATTTTGCTAACTGGTATACCTACTTGAGCCAGCTTTTAAGCACACCTGAACATCGTGGCCAGAGCTGAATAAAAGTCAATTTTTAACACCATCTATGGCAAAAACATCTTTAAAACTTTTATCATGAATAAAGGAATATCTTCCTCTCTGTCTATATCATTGTCACTCGAAAACACCTGATCAGTGTCGTAGTTTTCAATCATTTCAATAACAGTATCCATTTGCAGGCCTCTTCCGTAGTGAGAAGTCGCCATTTTGATTTTACTTTCTTCAGCTAAGTCTAGGAAATAGCCGATTTCTCGCTCATATATATTTCTATCGTCCTTTACATCATAAATAAATGAATATCATCGTCACTGTCTATGTCACTGTCACACGAAAACTTCTCATCAAAGTCCGGGTTTTCAATCATTTCAATAACAGTATCCCTTCGCAGGTCCCTACCGTAGCGAGGAGCCGCCATCTTGATTTTACTTTCTCCACCTAAGTCTTGAAAATCGC